ATACAATAACCATACACACAATAACTATACACACAATAACCATACACACAATAACCATACACACAATAACCATACACACAACAAAACCATACACACAACAAAACCATACACACAACAAAACCATACACACAACAAAACCATACACACAACAAAACCATACACAATAATATACATACAATAACCATACACACAATAACCATAAACACAATAACCATACACAATAACCATACATACAATAGCCATACATACAATAACCATACACAATAACCATACACACAAAATACATACATACCATACCATACACCAACCATAAACATAATAGCCATACATACAATAACCATACATACAATAACCATACATACAATAACCATACATACAATAACCAGACACACAATAACCATACACACAATAACCATACACAACAATAACCATACACACAATAACCATACACACAATAGCCATACATAACCATACAATAACCATACACAACAATAACCATACACAACAATAACCATACACAACAATAACCATGCAGTGCTCTGATACAGTGGTGAGCAGGTCAATTTTGTTGGGATCATGTTTTCTGTGGAAGGAATGTCATATGAAAGAAAACATGATCCCAACAAAATTGGCCTGCTCACCACTGTGTCAGAGCACTGCATCGGCACAGTTGGTCAGAGCACTGCATCGGCACCACAGAGGTCATGGGTTTGAATCCCGTTGAGTCACCTGAATTTTTCATGTTCATGAGACAATTGCTTAAATTGTCCAGCAAAGTGCGAAGATTATATCTTTATTTAATTTAAAAGTTGAAATGTTATTAAAACTATACTTACAAAGAAGGGATTGGTTAAGTCGGGAAGAGGCTTGGCACCCAATTGTGGAACAAAACTGACAATTGCAAAGATCAGAAGAATTACTGCCATGACGACAAAAAAAACGTAAGGATGATCCACGATAAACGTTGCATATCTAAAAAATATAGTATAAACCTAATTCAATGCAAAAAGCTACAGACAAGGTACAGGAATGTAAACTCTAAAACTTTATACGCCAACACACTAAGCATGGGATGAAAGTAGAGAGCAAAAGCTATAATAAACTAAGTCGATATATGCTCGGATTATATTTGGTATTTGGCAGCATACTGAATTATCAAACAAAATATTTAAATATTTATCGTTTAGCAACAAAAATAAATTTATATGTATGGGCGCAGTGGTGAGCAAACGCGAGTACTGTGTGAAAATAGCTACAGATTTTTTGATTAAGACGTAACTTTTACAACACTGCAATCAAGATACTAAGTCCAAGAAATGAGATTTTATCGTAAAAGTTAACCTACTGAAGACTTTAAATGTTTCAGAAAAGTTATAAAAAACTCTGAGTTACGGTGTAACTTACAAGACAAAAGGAAAAGCTAACTGTTGTAATGTATAAATTTAGCTCAAGTGTTTCACGAGTTCCCTTATTAAACTTGAAGTTCTTGGTGTCTACCACAACAACAACGAAAAATACTCTACCATGCATTAATTGAAAGAGCTATCAAAAACCAATAGTGCTCTTTAATGAAAAACCCTGACGGTGAAAGGCTCGTATTGACGCAAAACGCGAACATGTTTAACAACTTTTTGATAATGTAAGAAAAATATTAATTGTTACAAATATATATAACTAAAGCAAAGCAGAACTACATCTATATTCTAGGGTTCATCACATCAAAGGTGCAAGCAAAAATTACTTCTTCGAATTTAATACCTGACTAAAAGAGATTTCTCCTCGGAATGAAATGAATCCTTTTTCGTTTCAAGAATGACAACATCTCCCTCACAAGAACCGCCTTTTCTGGTCGTCATTTCATTATCACTCTTACGATCCTCAACAAACTTAGACTTTTCAGGAACAGATTTTTCTTTCCCTTCACTCATTTTGTACCTAACGGAGTCAAAACACCACAGCCAAATGAAAAAAAAACAACCCAACTTTTACTTGGTAAAAAGGTCAACGTATATTTTAGTACACTTACAAGTAATTTTGATTGACAGAAATTCAAGATTTTTAAAATCGCATTGATAAACCACCTCAGATACCTCAAGTGTCTAAGTAAAAGTTCATGCAGATATCTTTTATGGATTCGAAAGCAATTCTACACAAGACTAATACCTGCTAACTATATAGTTGTCATGCGAAGGTTTCGGCTGCTTGCATTTTTTAATGAACCTCTTTCACACAGAAATGAACACCTTCTGTGATGCAAATGAATGATAAGAGTCATCAGCCATAAAAGGATATACCCAAATGCCTGCTGTAGCTATTATGCATGAATAAAGTTACATTTCAGATTGTCTAGAATTTTTGTTTGGTACAAAATACATTACAAGTCGTATAATAAAAGATGCCAGGATAAATTAATTATGAAACGAATCACTGAAATGATTTAACACAATATCGTTAGCATCACTGGTTAGCATTCGAAATAGTTTAATGAACTTGACAATTTTGTACCTTTGGGATTTCATAAGGTTCATAAAGTAGTTAAAGCAAAGCAAATTAAAAGTACTTTATACATCCCATATTTATTTCGCAAAAGCTTTGTCAAATCAAAGCGACATTAACTAGAGTTGTAACGGCTACAATTTCATGAGTTGCAACGAACATGAACAAACGTGTAACTAAATTTAACCAGAGGGAAAAAATCGCTATTGCAGACTAAATTATCTATGCAGATCTCGTTAAATGCATACATAATTATTTGAGCGGGTTCTTTTTTTGGAAAACCCTGTAGTTTATAAAACCGGACCACTGATCTGATAATAGACCCGACCTAACAGAAACAGTTGTCAACCGATATGTAAGTTTCATAAGCAGATATATACTTTTATTGTTGAACTCTTTCGAACACGAAATGCAATTGATTAACTTGGCTTATGTGTCCTCGAAGAGAGAACAAATACATTTGAAACTCAATGCAAGTCTGGTAAGTCTCAAAACTAGCTGGCCTTCGTTTGCAGACATTAACCAGTTACACGTACAAACAATATTGTGAGATACCTACTAACTACACTGGTACATCTCAATGTTACTAAAGTTACGAAGAGAACTTTTTTGTAATTAGAAATAATTAATGATATATCAAGCTCTGTTTACTGTTCGCTTCTCAAGTTTGGTTTGCATGTCTTTGTGCCTCATTCATTATATACACTTTATTACTGTCTTTATTATTTTTGAAAGAAATATAGGAGTATTTTTCTTTAGTTACTGCAGCGATAGACAAAACTTCTTTAAAAAGACTCACCCAATTTATATGGATAGATCACCAGGTCAACCCAACCCAAATTCTTCTATGCAATGAGAACGCCGGTTGCATAAATCTACAACACGCTATATCAAGACACCGAGAGCATTCTCATATTTAAGATCAATTGAAGTACCTAGACATTACAATTCACAACACGTCACTTACTTTGGTCATTGGGCCAATAGCAATACTCGCCTATTTTTATCAACCAATGATATTTCTGCTCAAATTGATCATGCTCTTGGGAAGACCTTTGCTTTTGGGACAACGATATTTTCCAAGATTTTCATTTTCCACGAGCAAGGTCTGAAAGCATTTCGTCAGCCTTTAAAGAGTATCTTCTTGGATAAATGTTTCTAAAACGATCTCAATTTAAAATGATATTATGGCACAGCAAACTTTAAAAACAATAAAAAAAGCACGTGTCATTTGAAATTTGATCCTATATTTGCATAGAAAGGACAAACGGAAATCCCTAAAATAAACGGAACACGCACAAATACTTATGTCTGCATTACCTATTAGTTCCACCTGATTAGATTTAGTCATACCTTAGTCCATGTTGGTTGCAACTTATGGAAAATATGATTACGTTTTTGTGGCTGTCATAATCTCAGTTACAGTCGCTTTGCCTTTACAAAGGTTTTGCGTAATAAATTTAAGATAATATTCAGGCTATGAGAGTATTTGTACGTTTTAACTTGTTTTACTTTAAAGCCTAGTTTTCATAAGCGACACATAAGCACAAGCAAGAAAAGAAAGCAAAACATATTCTCCAAAGGTAGGAGGAAACAAAACAAAAGGTTTTTTCTTTTGTTCCACTTTACTTGTGTCAAGTTGCTGTGCTTGAACTTTGCTTATTGTGTCCGACGCTTCATTGCACTTATTTCTGTTTCTTTTGTCTTTGCTTGCCTTATGCTTATGTTGCAAAGTGAAAATTCGACTTAACTGTACAAACCCTAATAAATCTCAGAAGTGCAGAACTGTGAAGTTCATTGAACAGTTTTGAATGCTAGTTACATTATTGTACATAATTACTTCAGCGAATACATAATTAATTTATGTGGGTTCCGCTTTTTTGGGTGGGGACCCTGTATATTACGATCACAATGTAAATATAATTCAGACATGCAAAAATCTTAATTTTAAGACTTAACAAGTCTTATTAAATCGGAATGTTGATGCAAAAAATCTTTGAATAAGTTTAAAAGATTGTGAAAATAGTCGAGAACCTGAGGCCATAAAAATTTTCAGTTTATTATATTCTCCTAACCACGGATAGCAATCGGCAACTTCACTACAGATGTCACAACCAAGCTCTCTTCACAGTACAATATCAATGTCTTGTATCTGATCTGATTCAGGATGAAATTACTTTAGTGAATAAATCGTCTTGCGATGCAATTGCTAGCTAAGCAAACAATTGAAAAGAAACAGAAAAAGTAATCAATGTACACACGCCGTTCACATGCGTTTCACATGTTTGATAGTCCTGTTTAACATCACACAGTAAACAAAAACTGAAATGAAAACCATTTTAGTATATCCAAAACATCCCTCATTCATTCCACCTCAAAAACAAACATTCCACAGTTTATGGCGTTTATTTGTGACTCCGTACATGCACGAAAAGATCAAAACTAGAATTTCAGCATTAAAGATGATCAATAAGCACCTTCAGCAATTCAACTGCCACTACAAGTCAACTGTCAACCGTGAATGATTTATTAAAGTAATTAATATTGTAGTCGACTCATGTACCAAAACATCGTTAAAAATTAACGTAATTTTTTCTGAGTTTTTAAAAGTTGTACCATAGTATTGTAATAAATTAACATCGATATGAATAAGTACAAATTTTGCAAAAGTACGAACGACGAAAGGTATTGTTTTTGACTGAGGTTTGAAAGTTCATTATGTACAAAGAAAACGTATTAAGTAGACTGTCGTGACTCGTCAAGACGTCTGCTAATCACGTGTGCATCAGCTAACTGCCAACCAGAAGTAGGATAAGCAAACATTGTGTACTTCAAATGGAGCAATACGCGTATCGTTGATGTTTTTGCGATAGAAATTACGCTGCATAAAATAATACCAAACTTACCTAATGTTGAAATTGTCGGATTTAATGCTAAGTATTATTATCCAAATGTTCATTAAGGACTCAGTCCGTGCTTTTAATGCGAATGTTCGTTCGTCTGTAACGACGTAAAACTTATGTCCGTCAAGTGTACCTTTCTTATCGCGAGAATATACATCACGTATTTTATTGCATTCGATGACGCCTTTCGGTGTTTTATCCTAAAAATAATAAATGTTCTCATTCTGCGAAAAGTTTGTCAAACTTAGGGGGTGTTTACATGAATCCAGAATGACTTTCAATCCCGATCGAAACGTGATGTCAATCCGTGTTTACATGGGAAATCAGCACACGGATTGACCTTTCGCAGGAATTTTGAAAATTTCTGTTGTTCCTGCATTAATACAGCTTAACACTTGCATGAAACTAATTGTTACTTTTTTTCGCACTCATTTTAGCCCATTTAGCCGCCTTATTTGCTTACGAGCTTCAATTTCCCAGAAGACACTACGCATGGCGAATGCGTGCTTCGTCATTAATCACAATCTCATTCCAGAATGAAACTCAATTCGCGTTTACATGAGGTTAAAACTAAATTTTGATCCGGAATGAAAATAGGAATGAACTCAATCCGGATCGAGTTGTAACTCATTCCGGATTCATGTAAACATGCGAAAGGATTTCTTTTAAAGTGGAATGAGTTCATTCCGGATTGAAAATCATTCCGGACTCATGTAAACATCCCCTTAAATCCCGTGCGCGAGGGTTAGCGATGACATCAGCAAAATGACCAAATGAAATGAAAACCAACGAAGAAAAAAATTTGCCACGAAAAGGTTTAAAAGACAATTAAAGTGCTTATGAAACGAAAATTCTGCTATTTCAATAAAAGTTTTATCGAAAATAACTTTTAAAATGAAAATTAACTTCTAATGAAATTTCAATTTTCAGGTATATAAGTAATATGTTACTTTAAAATAGCAGAGTTCCTTCATTTTTGGAAGTGTTAATGGTATAATACACCACATCACACATCATGATATATGACATTATGTTATATGTGTAAATCGAACATTACAAAAACTTCAAAATCTGAAAAGAATTATGTATAAACAGTTTCAAAAAGTCTAATGACACTTTAAGAGTTCTTTTCAACTAATGTATAATTTAAATAGCAAAATTTTCGTTTCATAGGTACTTTAACATCGGATAGCAAAAACACTATCGAATGGCTTACCGCGTAGTTTTCAAAATAAGCGATGTAGTTTTTCCTTAAATCATATTTAAACCAACGTGGTAGCCAATTCTTTCGTACATCTAAATGGTATACAAAACTTCATGTTAAAACAGACAACTTTCTGACGATATTGACAATATTGATATCTGAATAATTATGCAGATAAATAATCAATATTGTTTGTACCATTCCTCGATGAAAAACGTTCATCATAATCCAAATCATACAAAAAAAGGCAAATAAAGTTTCATTTCTCGTAAATTTCATTGGTGAACGAACAAAACAAAGGTAAACAACCAGTAACGCAAAATAAAGGGAGAACAAACAAAAACAAAGGAAAACAACCAGTAACGCAAAATAAAGGGAGAACAAACAAAACAAAGGTAAACAACCAGTAACGCAAAATAAAGGGAGAACAAACAAATACAAAGGAAAACAACCAGCAACGAACAAACAGGTAAACAACCAGTAACAAAATACAAAGGTAAACAACCAGCAACGCAAAATAAAGGGAGAACAAACAAATACAAAGGTAAACAACCAGCAACGCAAAATAAAGGGAGAACAAACAAAAACAAAGGTAAACAACCAGTAACGCAAAATAAAGGGAGCTCAAAGATGCAAAAACTCTTACTTCCTCGTTTGATAAGAACTCCAGAGCAACTAGTTTGCGTGACAGTTATTTCTTTCTCTATTTTCCATTGAACACCTAAAACGAGATAATGTAAAGTTCATATAACTAATAGAAATGGAAAGGAATTTATACTATAAAACGAGGGAGAATAATTCTTCAGCACGCTATAAATCGTCCACTCACTTAACCAAATGCATCAAATTTGAAAAAAATGTTGAGAAGCGTTGGTAAGCATTCTTCTTAAAATATTGAAATGTTTGTGATGTGTAAATGAGATGATTTAACAAACGAAATAAACTATGACATCAACTGATGAAAAAAACTTTCCTTGATGTAAAGAAATAAGAATAAAATCGTGTCACAAACACTTTAAAAACCCCACATAAGGACAAAGACACGAATGGCGTCAGAAAGACCGAGAAATGATTCAAACGAAGCATTACCTTTCGATTGAAGATAATCTTCTATACCATTAAAAATCGTAGCATCTCCCTTATCACCATCCAATTCGGAGTTTTCAGTTTCAGCAAGTACTTTGTATGGGAAAATTTACAAAAATACATTCTTTAGTGATAAATTATATGCTGCTCAATTTAAAGATTACGTAGCATAACCAAAACTAATAAGTTCATGTGCGCTAAAGTGAAAAAAGTCATTTTTGAAAGTGATTTATGACGTGAAAAAATCGGAAGACTTTCTCTTGACACATTGCCGTACTAGATCCAGACCCCACACGATCTAATCGCGCTATACCAAAGAAAAGTCGACTTCAGACTTTTCTTCAAGAAAACAATACTAGCCGTAATATTATCAACGTAGAAAAAATACCTGGCCCACAAAGTGTTCGTCGAGTTGATTTGTCGACATAGAATTTGCTCGATCCAAAACGTCGTTTGATTATACTGCTTGTATTATGACGTCTGGTTTGTAGAAGATCCTCAAGCGACTTGCTTTCCCTTGAACGAATGCTGGTTAAACGCTTGGATCCCTTCGGCTTAAGTGAACCTGTTTTAAGCTCGAATCTTTCAGCTACGTCATTCACAAGATCTTCTTTGCTCTCGCTTGTTACCAGAGCTCCCATGTCATATTCAGCAGACGATTCTGAGTTCGAGCAGTCATTTTTTGACTGAATCTTCTCTTGCAAATCCTGGTGCTTACCCAACATGTTCTACAACACATTATAAAATAAAGACAATAAAACGCGTACGCTGATTGGTCTATAGCTTTGATTGCATTAGCACGGGCAAACCGATCTGAGCTCAACCAACTAAATTAATGGAAAAAATTTTTCAAATCTTGTTATTTACATAGCATGTTCTACAACACATGAAAATGTGGCTCACAGTCACAAGACCATCCACCTTAAGTTTACTTCATGTTTCAAATAAATCATTATACCTGCTGTCTAGTTTTATCACAAAAATACCTGATTTTGAAGTTAAAACGTAGTATATAAACACATCATATGCTCTGTCCTGATAAATCACTCATTAAAACAGGAGCATAAATGGGATCATTGTAATTTTTAATACTTTGGGAGTTTTAACTCATAAGAGAGTGGCTTAATGCAAATCGAACACAGTCAGTTGGCCTATAAAGCAGTGACGTAGTTAGAGGGGCACCCCTGGCGAAATTCTTGCCCCGTAAAATACTATATTTTACATACATTACATTATTTAAACGACAGTCATGGACCCCCTTCCATTTTAAGTGCTCCCCTCCCTCCCTGGCTACGCCAATGATATAAAGGGGTCACATAACTACTATGATTCCGTTCATAAAACTGAACAAAACTCTAGAGACTGAGAAAAAACAAGAAAATAATATTAAATTCTCACTGCAAATAAATCCTCCTGAAGTTTACATTGTTCTTTTGCCATGTGCTTTGCTTCCAGCAGATTAGCCTTAAGGAAAAAAATACATATGTAAAATCATTGGTAAAAACAGAGAGATTGCGTGAAATACCAAATTTTATCATTACAATGCATGCAAATGATTATAACTAACATTACCATTTCATAACATTACCTCAAGTCGCGATTTTGCATAATACGAGTCCCATACTTTAAGCGAAGCAATATGATATCTTGGAAAAAGCACTCTAAAATGGCGAAATAAATCAAACAAAATAGGCGATCGCATGCGTAAAAGGAAAACATATAAATAGAAAACCTTTCTGTATTCGTTTTCATGTAGTTCCTGTTCAGATATATTTCTGGTTCTGCCATTAGAGTTAGATTGATCCATGTCCATAAGGACATTGTTTTACTGTCAATCTAAAGAAAAAGGGGAGAAAATTGGCAAAACAACAATCGATGCTTGTCGTTAAAAAATAACATGAGTTAGTCTGAACGCTGAAACAAGACGCAGTGCACTGCCTACATAAGCAAATAAAAAAACTCAAATAATGGTAGCAAACACCAAGACCAAACCGACCGAGACACTCTAGGCAGAGCATCAAAGCAGATCCAGATGAGGAGTACAGAGGGTGCGCACTCTCTCTGGAATATCCGAAGGATAAGAGAAGGGGTTCGTAACTTCCCTAAAAAATCCAAGGGAAAGGTGTAGGGGGTGCGTACCCTCCCTTGGATATTTGATAGCTTGCATTCACATCGTGAACACAATGATGGAAATTGCTTTAATGATATGGACTCCCATACGCTACATCATTATTTACGAAGGAAAACCGTCAGCAAAAAGTGTTGAACATTTTGGTGAAGAAATTGAATGGATGTATTTTTCACTCTTTTTTGCTGCAACCCATGAAATTACAAAAACCAAATCTTAGCAAAAATTATCACTTTCAAATAGGTAAAAGAAACAACACCTTTTCTTCTTCAAACTGTAGCTCTGAATCACATAGAAATGTTCCAAAGCGACACGAATATGCATGTTCCGCAATTGTCTAAAAATTACAAGTTCAACAACAGTATTAACAACAGACTGTTTGTTAAATAAATATTTGTTGTTGTGTTTTGGTTGAATAAACATTACTACCTGTAAAAAGAGCTCGTTGAATTCAAAAGAGATTGGAAACTGAATCAAAAGCTAAAAAAGGAAACATTCAATCTGTTGAAATCAAAATGCTAATGGACAAAAGCTGTTTATGGAAGGATTGGAACGAGGATTATTCACTGATCAAAGGACTGGGACGAGAGCTATCCACTGAACACAGGATTGTGACGAGAACTTTCTATTCATCAAAGAGCTGGGACGAGAACTACCCACTTATCAAAGAATTTGGAGGAGAACTATCCACTTATCAAAGAATTTGGAGGAGAACTATCCACTGATCAAGCGGCAACTTTCAGTATTGGCTATTTTCGGAAAGACAAAACTTTGGTTAACAGTTGATGATATAAAGGACTGTTCGTCGCCAGTGAGTGATCTTACTCTTCATATGATCTTTAATGATTGCACATGATGTATATGACGTAGCACCACGTGACATAAAGTGGTATAAAGGGTAAAGCGTTGAGCATCAATGAAATGACCTTAAACTTAAACATACAAAAGATTCCCAAAACGAAAAATCCTTGCAGATTATTAAGCATTTTTACTTTAGAGCTTGCGTTAATGAACAATACCAGAATTTTTTCGCTAAAAGCACAGAATTTTTTTAAGCTACAAGCAAGTTCAAATTTACAAACCTGCCACACACAATCGAGCCATTGTAGAAATATTGGTCCATGTCCTTCGTTTGACTTCGAAATACAGCGTTCACAAAACTGGTGACCAAATGATATCCATTCTTTTTGAATTAATATCTGAGACAAAAATTCAAAGGATAAATTAAGAAGCTAAAACATAACAAAGTAAAAAGACAGAATGAAAATAAAACGACGAGTAAATAGAATAAGCAACCATTTGTATAAACTGAAATAAAAATATTTTACCTGAAAGCCGTCAATGGTGCGGTAGTATGGATCAAGAAGCAACTGTGATAGACTCGATAACTGCAAAATAAATGAATAATAGCTCGCTAACCCAAAAATATGCTCCTTTCAAATCCCATAATGCCACGCATTGCGTTAGACTATGAAATTGACCTTTCGTATTTGTAACGATAAATGGAAAATTTGCTACCTGAGAGGTTCGATCACAACCAAATTCATAACTTATTAAGACAGAATGTTTTCCATTACTCAAGGCAGTGATTATGAGTGAAGTCGTCTCCAGTAATTCGCTGATCTGTGAAAGCCATTGGGTTTCGGCAAGGCCAGAAAGAAATTTGTCGTCGCTAAAAGAAAAACGGCTACATGATTATTTGCAACAATTCACGAATTTTAATCAAGAAAAAAAGACCTTCTGAGGAATTCATTAATGTCACAAAAAGTTCCCCATTATGTTCGCTTTCAAACAACATTTTTAGCGCACACAAACACTAAGACCTGGTAACTAGTCTTTATCGCAAAGGAAATGCAGCTATACGTTTTCTACAAGGTTTCCACTAACATCAACGTAGACACAAGAACATTAACTTACCCTTCCGCCGCCAGTAACGTTTGAAGTCTATACGAGCTTTGTTTCACCGTTTTATGATCAGGAATAATTAATTCGTCGGTGTAAACAAACTTTACGTGAGGATAATAGAACGCTGTCAAGAAAACATTATTCAGATAAATGAAATCAAGAAAAGAAAACAAATCAATGTGCAAACTCACCAGCATTCATGCAAGCATACGTTTTTCAGGCAAAGCATGTATTTAGAAAAAAATGAATCAAAATGTCTTCAAATCAATAATACGAGAAAAGGAAAATGTGAAAAGAGAGAAGAGAAATTTGAATCAACGTGAAAAGAAAGAAGAGAAATTTGAATAAATGTGAAGAAAGAAAAAATTTAATGAATGTGAAAGTACGGTTGAAAAGAAATTCAAATTACTGTAAAAAAGACCACGTCTTCTGATCACAATCCCAATAAGATGTAAAGTAAAATAAAAATGTATTCTTTAGATAGAGTTTTTAATATTTTTACCTTTTAATTGTTTTGGAGTGATTTGGCCACTAAGCTGTTGTGCAAGTAATCCACTTGCGTTTTCATTATTTCTGTAACATAATATGATTTATTTTCTATATAGAGTTCATTATCTAGATAAATTTGTCGTAAGTGCAGTAGAACAAAACTAGGGATTCAAGGATGGTGCAAAATTTGAAAATGACTTTTGAATTAAATTTAATTCGACCATAAAATGCTATCACGTATCATGAAGCGAACATCCATTGACTTTATGGCAAATAAAAACATTTTTCAGAAAACCTAGCACAAGAAATAGTTTAAATAACTAGTTGTTGTTTTGTAGTCAGGAGTTTACAGGTTTCCTTTTCCTTTTTGTTCGCGGTTTAGTATCTATGGTTTCGGATTGCATCACGCATGGCGGGGGGCACACTAAATCGCTAAGGGTTACTAAAGCATTTTTTGAAACAAGCTAAAGAAGAGATAGATTGATGGATAGATGTTTATATTAAAATTCTGATGAAGCTGAAAAGACAGATAACATGCTGATTGAAGCAAGCTTAAAAGATAAGGTGATGGCAGGAGCCGAAATCTCCTTTACATACGACGCCCTAGTGCTCATCCGTCTCGGCGTAAATGCATGAGGCATGAACAAAACATGGAATTTTTTGTTTTCAAAAATGTTCTTATGTCTACACGTGTGCTTCACATGTATTAAACTAAGAAGGCACGTCTTTGATGATTAAATTTTCCAGTCATGACAATACACCAAATAATATAGCAGACGATGAAAATTAGTTTGCCTATGAACAGCTTTGCCACTTACTGTTGAGTGAAAACAACCAATTTATTACGACTTGACTGTTTATTTTGAAAACAAACTAAGGCCAAAAAGTTTTCATCTTCTTCACAACGTGTTTCGATGCAACCTCTGAAATAAAATGTTAGTTTTTTGATTAGAAATTGTATAGAGAAGCAAGTTAAGGATCATTCCATACCTTTCGTATAAAGCTGAACCGGAGCGCAATAAAACTGTCCCTTCAATGGTATTCCTCCAAGATATTGAAGGAAAACTGCAATTCCTAAAACCCAAGGAGTAGCATAACTATAATAGTGGGTAAACATTTGTCGTTATCATGTCAAACTATGGATGACAAACATATTTATATAACACGCCTTTTATGAATGATACATAATACAAAAATACGAGAGCATGATTGACACTTTTACTGCAATTTTTAGCAGCCATTACTGAACACATAAAATTACAAAACTCTGTATATATCCTTCCTGAGTTATTTCAAAGTCAACCAAAACACACCGATGAAATTCAATTATTTTGTTCATTTCCACATCATTGACACCATGTGGTATAAGGGTTTTCTTTGGAGCTTTCAATTTAAGATGATCGGTCGGTGCTAAACCATTTGAATAACGTATATACATAAATTAGATTTAGTTATGAACGACAGCAATAGAAGCAGGCAACAGGAACCATGATAAATAGTCAGGAAAGAGATAACATGACACAAAATAAGCCATATTGCATTGTACGTAGTTTTGCTTATTTATCTTGAGCAATTAATATATTGGTAAGAATTAAAAGGTGAAAATATGAAAATAAGAAAAACAAGTCATACAACATAATCTCCCGCGCACCATCACAGGAAGTCTGGAATTAGTTACGTCATTACACACACATAGTTCAATTGACGAAAAGCTTCAGTTAAATCGATTTATCAGTCTACATGAAGCATCACAAAAAAAGTTTTCTCAAAATGCAAACTTACAATATTCTCTCCAACAATCCAGCGATCGTAAGCCAAGACGATCAAATTCGTCTTTAAATGAAAAAATATAGTTCCTAATTACAATTGTTTTTTCAAACAGTTCATTGCAAATAAAATACGTACCTTCGAAGTGGTAAAAATTTCTCGTTTTCCTCGAATTGAACATATCACAAGTTTGGACTTTATAAACAGCTTCTTTGTACGTCATGGCAAAACTTTTCGAAGGCAACTAAATTACGAAGCAAAAAAAAAAAAATTACAGTTTTTCTGTAATGGACTAAATCTGACAAATCCAACAGCCTAAGCATGAAAGTAGATTGGAAATGGCATACTTACAAGATCCTTTGTGTACTTCGAGAATATCTTGACAAGTTTATCTGCATTGTAGTCGGATTCTATTGACAGTAAGAACTAAAGCAATGAAAAGAAAACAAAATATAGAGAGAAGTTAGAGAGCACCAACCATCAGCAATAAACGAAAAAATACACTCCCTAAACTACACAGTGTTCGTTTTACTTTATAGAAACGGCATGAAATATTTAAAAGCGTGCGAAAAATCCTTGTAATAAATTTGTGTTTTTCTTTTCAAGTAGCTAATCAAAAACTGCCTATCAAGCGCTGTTTTGTACTAGGTTTCAAATCCTTTAAAATTGTTTACATAACTTGATTTCACCTTGTAAATTTGCAGTGTGCAACACAACAATTCGATGCCGTCAGTTAAATCAAGTAATCGCGGATCTTTGTTGGTCACCGAAGTTCTTGATAGCTTCATGACGTCATAAATATTTTTACACGGTATAGAAAGGAAAATTTTCTGAGGAGGGGTATCTAAAATCAGAAAATAGGCAAGACGTGACTTTTTTCATTTAAAGACAATTTTTTGAGCGCAAACATATTTCTACGTTATCAGAATGCCATCTTTACTGGATAATGGTAAGTATTAATTAATATGATACAATATATAGGAAGCTAACATATGAATAAATTATTTACAATGAATAGGATTATGATTTAGTGACAAAATATCAAAATATTTACATAATATATACATATATATATTTAATTATTGAAAACTTATAACAGAAAGAAGTATTAGAAAGTAAATATAGAGTTGCAATGGTGAACTTGAACATTTAAATCAGGATTAGTTTTGTTAATGTGGAGAGCTTCCTGATAATTGAAGATGGCATTCTGATAATGTCGAAACACAAGTTTGCGCTCAAAAAATTGTCGTTTTTCTCAAATATTTCTACACTTGCTGCTAGTTAGAAATTATAAAGACCTTACATTTTGATGTTATTTTGACGGCAAAGCACAATAGGAAAAAGGATATATCTAGCTGCTCACTTATGGAAAACGGCATTTTTCAAAAGCAAAGACTAAAATTAACCTGCATCATTAGCTATAAAGATATATAAGTACGGAGTATTTCGCATGGTTTTGCAATCGCCGATGTAACGCAAACCTTTATTTTCTTGGTCTATGTCGAAGGCGCTGTTCATCGGTATCAAACTACCGTTTTCGTTCTTGTCATCAATTTTATTTTGTATAACTCCGTTCTTGCCCCTCTGACTGTCTTCCATTGGCTTCGTCATATGTTGAGATTTTATAGATCGACTATCGAAAAAGAAATTGTTCAATTTTTCAACAATCTCGTCTTACCATATTTTATTTTTTATGTGTAGGAAAAAACAATCACATTGGATTAACATAACGTACCGTTTAATTGACTGTGATTTAGATTTCTCACGAATACGGTCAAGTGTGCCTGATATACTTTTCTTTTTTCCATACTGACTGATGGCTTTTTTTGATAATAAGTCTTGGTCATCTTCTAAATGCTTTACAAAGTCGAAGATCTAGAGTTAGTCAAGCTATATTAAGATAGCTGAGCAGTATACAGTGTTTATAAAAAACCCTGTACAGTTTGGAAAACGTCGCTGAAGTCATTAGCGCGCAAGATTTGCAAAAATCTTTGGTGGAATTACTTAGTTGGACTTCCAATGGTTTATGTGACAGTAAAATTGTCGCCAAAAATAACAACTATTAGAATGAGAATTGTGTTAACGAGAAACAATTTTGTAATAGCTTGAGCACAAAAATGAATCAGCTAAAAAGCAATTTGAAAACATTGGGTTAAAGTATGACACATGTTGTTCAAGCTAACAAAGTTTTGGGAAACTTTGCTATTTGAATAATTGATGAAGGTTTTAAGAAAATGGCATTTCAAAAAGAAAAACGCAATATAATTCGCAATTTGGATGCCTAGCGCAGTTCGGCAAAATCTCCCAGAAGTTCGTAAGCTTGAAAAACATGTGCCGTTATTTAACCATATGTGTTCCAATTAGCTATGTCATTTTCGTGCGCAAGCTAGTTCCAAAGTGCTTCTCGGCAACACAATTCTCACTCTAAAAATGGTTACTATTTGCGAAAATTTTACTGTCAGACTATTGGAAGTCCAACTACCTATTCCAACAAAGTTTTTTTGCGAATCTTGCGCGCTAATAACTTTAGCGATGTTTTCCTATCTGTTCAGCTTTTTTATACACCCTATGTATCCTTGCATATACTAGTAAATCATATGCTTTCATCACGATTCTTGATGAGTTTCCGAAGAGTAAAATTTTTATGATCTACAGTAAAGTATCTTCAATCATGAAAGAGCCGTGTTGATTTTTTTTTTGACTATGCATAGTTCAACATTAACGTGACATATCGTTGATGAGTGAAAACGAAACCACGAGGCTGTTCCAAAAAATGTCGCGTTCACTGAATGCTTTCAAATCGGCAATCGGCATAGGCGTTTTAGGGGAACGGGGTGCAGCTAATGGAGGGTGCGCACCCCAAAATGTTGGGCAGACACGGGCAAACGTGCATTATTTGCTGGAAAGTTGTGTAAATTGAATAATTTAAGATTGAAAACCAACCAACCGCTTCCCTAAAAAACTTTGCCTCACACACTCATTGGCACTTTCACAGATTGGGGGGGGGGAGGGAGGGGTTGAAAGGACTTCTGTTTTACCTGGTTGTCATTTATTTAAATGATGGACACATACAGAAAACTAGTTCAACTAGACCATGGTACTAGCTACTGGCCTCCATATAATCAGAGTAAATTAGTAAAATTAGTAAATTAGTTAAAGAAAGACGAAAGAATGCTATGCCATTTGATTTGAGGGTATTTTTCCCTAATCTGCCTGACTGAATAGGTGCTGGATTTTAATTAATGCTCTTTATTGAAACATTTAAATTAAATAAAAATAGTTTGGTAAAAGTAAAAGCAACATATCTGCCCAGACATGTTTCCTGTCCAATATTACAAGAAAAACAAACAATAATACAACAAAAACAAAAAAATGATACCAGCCTTATCAACACCTGTCTGAGTCAACAATGTACATGCAATAAATAGAAGTTTTTGTTTGGCTGCTTTCCCTTTGAGTTTGCTTTAAAATTTCATTTTAAAACTTTGTTTAAAATGAATTGGTATTTTTTATGTTTTTAAAAGCTCAGAGCTGTCTTTTTCCTCATCCTTCTTTATTAAATACAGTCTAGGAAGTAGGAACTATTTCACAAATAAAATCTTTTAATTTCTCAGCATAAAAAATGGCACTCGCTTTTACTACAAGAAAGGTTATCTAAACCTTGATGTTTACACATTCATTTTATTCAGAAATATGCTCTGAATATAATTACAAAACAAAGCAACTAATTCAAATAAAGAGCAATGCAATAGTAGAGAAAAATTGTGAAGATAAAAAGAGAAAACGAAATGATAAACTTTTAATGATCTATATATTCATCTCAAATAAATAATTTTAGATAACCCTTTATCCAAGTACACATTATAAAAGGCAAATAAGATTCGAAGTTACAAATTGGTCAAACACAAATCATTACATAAAAAACAAACCTGCATCACACCACTGAATATAACACGATATGTAGAAAGATGCAATATTCCTTCCACAGGACAATGGTATGTTTCCACACATGTGACATTAAGCTGTAGCAGAATTTGTTCTCCTGGAAGTAATTTAGGATAACTGGCATGTGTTGATAACTTGGAAGCTGACGATAGAAGAGGCTAAACAAATGAGTTAACAAAATTATCAGTTAAAAAGTTCCTTCTAAAGAGCTAATTCCACACAATACATAATTGTGTTTTACAAGAGAAATAGTTTATTACTTTCATAGAGACTAAAACAAGCACCAGATAATTTTTATCATTTCATTGTTAAGCAAAAAGTATGATTTAGACATACTATAAAGAAGAGCATATTCACAGACAAGTTTGCCAGGCAAAACTTTTTCCTTGATGGAGCACATAATGCGTCAATATACACAAATAATATTGCTAAGGAAAATTAGAGATCGTCATTTGAAGGCTTTGACCTCAATAACTATATTCACAACTAGAGTAATTGAAAAGGCCAATACATAGTTGATAACATGGCACGAAACTTCCTCTTCACTAAGCAACTCTTTTCCCTGAAAGAATTTCCTTTAAACAACAATCATTTACAGAAAGTTTGCTAACAACACAAATAGCATAAACTGATTAATAACTACCGCTAACGACTTAATATCAAAATAATAATTGGGAACAATAGAGAGACATAAAACTTTAATAGCAATTTACTTCGCAAACACAAAATATATTTAGAACAATACATAATTAAACTCAAGTTTAAACGAAAGATTACAAAGCACATGCGAAAAAATTTAGATAGCATACAACAACATACCAAGCTGAATATGGCTTGATGAAAGTTTTTAATGAATCAGATTTAAGAAAGACATACCGGAGTTGTGCTGTAGGTCGAATCCTCGTTGTCGTTCAAAATTTGGAGCAACCGTGCAGGTGTCAAAGACGTATCCACCATTCCACAAAAAGTTTACAAACCATCTTAAAAAAGTGGAAATAATTTACGGTCATTTCTAATCCGCACGTTGTATGGAAACGTCAAGTACTAATTTATCATATACTTATACAACGAGAATGTCGACACTTTAAAAATGAGTTGTAACTCATTAATTTTCATGAATCTTTCCCCTGGAGGATATGTAATGCCTCTTCCGGTAATACACGTAATACGTGTTGACTTTATGCCTCCATTCAATAATCATCCTTTCCCCTATTCACCCTTTGTCAATTGTGGCTAACACAACAGAGTGTGCCATATAGTTTAGGCTGCCAAATGCCAAATTTACGATTCATTGGATACAACACAAATTTATTTAAATACATGAGAAGCGAAATTATTTGGTGAATGCCATCTGCCGCGCATGTGCTATTTTTATGACAGTTGTCAGGTATATTTGTAAATGTAGATCGTCCAGGTTGGTATAATCCTGAGGACTGTTTTTGTTGTTGTTGACTGACGTTTCGACAACCTTAGCGGTAGTCATCTATGTCGAAAATTTTTTTTTTTATTCTGAAGATGACTACCGCTAAGGTTGTCGAAACGTCAGTCAACAACAACAAAAACAGTCCTTCTCAGAACTATACCAACCTGGACGATCTACATCTACAAACATGTAACGATACTCCCGAGTTGTCAGGTATATCGCAAGCGGGTCAATTCAACTGGGTCATCACAGTAGGTCATCCGTAATGTGTAAAACGTTTCATCATTTGCCCACAACGGAAAAACAGCAAGTAGCTATATCTATTCGTAAATAGCAACACGATATTAAGTCAACCATGGTTTTTATTAAGAGTAAGATTGGGGAATATTAGCAACAGAATAATAAAATTACATTACACATGACAACATAAATTATTCTAATGCGTTGTTGCGCATATTCTAATGCGCACATAACGTGTACATCCGGTTTGAGTAAAAACACAACACAAGACAACGTGAGGAGTCGCAAAAAATAGTTATCAACTTAAAATATACCGAATTATAATGGACAGAAAATTCCTATGAGGAAGAAATATGAGTTCTGGTTTCGGTCTTCTGGCCGTGGGACTTTTGGGTCTTATTGTGGCGGGTTATATTGCTCAAAGTCGGCTACCGCCACCAAAACCAAAAATTGTAGGAATTGATTTGGGAACAACATATTCCTGTATCGGGGCTTACGAGGCCATTACAAGCAAGGTTTTCATATTCCCAAACAAACATGGTAAAAATACAATGCCAAGTATCGTCAGCTTCACTAATGAAGGAGTAAAAGTAGGGCAAAATGCGTTGGCAATGGCAGAAATTATTCCGCGATCTACAGTCTATGACGCTAAGCGATTTATTGGTAAAAACTTCACTCAGCCAGAAATTGACGAAATTTCAAAATTGTATCAGTTCAAAATAGCTATGTATGACAATGGTCTAGCTTATTTTAAAGTAGACAATAAAGGATTGGAACGAGAAGTTACTCCTGAGGAAATTGGATCATATATTATTAAAGAATTAGTGCATGATGCCCAGATGAATTTATCAAGGATCATCACGAAGGCAGTTATGTCTGTTCCAGCTGAATTTGACAAGAGTCAAAGAGAGGCTACAAAGCAAGCTGCAAAGCTGGCAGGGATTGAAGTTCTAAGAATCATTAATGAGCCCACTGCTGCAGCCTTGGCCTATGGCTTACATGAACATAGCCACATAAACTATGTCATTGTTGTTGATTTAGGGGGTGGAACCCTTGATGTATCATTGCTAAACATCCAGGGTGGTATGTTTGTTACCATGGCAATGGCTGGTAACAATCGCCTAGGTGGACAAGATTTTAATAATCGCTTGTTTCATTATATTTTGAAGACCATGAAGGAAAAACATGGTGAACTGGATTTGAGTTCAGAAGATCTTCAGAGATTGCAGCACATAGTGGAATCTGTGAAAATAAACTTGACCACAAACTATGTTGTACCAATTCAAATGCCTCTTGCATTGCTCTCTAATGGAGGATCAATTGGTGCTTTTGAAATGAATATAACTCGTTCAACTTTTGAAAAACTTAATCATGACTTGTTTGAGAAATCTTTGGATCCATTGAAAAAGGTTCTTGAGGTAACAGAGTTGAATAAAAATGAAATTGACGAAATTGTTCTGGTTGGTGGTTCTACAAGGATCCCTAAAATAAGAGAGATTATAAAGAATTTTTTTGATGGGAAGGAACCCAATGTTGCCATAGACCCTGAACTTGCTGTTGCCACTGGAGTGAGCATACAAGCTGGGATTTTAGGAGGAGCATGGCCTTTACATGTGTCTGCTATTGAAATTCAAAATGAGCAGCTAAAAAAGATAAATGTTTAACAGTTTAAAGCAACATTTCAAAAAGTATTTAATTAAATTATGATATTTTAAAAGGACCTTTTAGTTACATCATCATCTATGAAAGTTGTAAACTATGATTCTGACATTTGTTGTGATATTTTCTACAATTGCCAGCTGGAAAAAGTTATTAATAACGTTTATATTATCAACAATAAATACTCATGATACTAGTAATTTAACTGTCCAACATTTATTGCAAACTAAATTGTTTTTTCATACAATATTCAATAATTGCTAAATTAATATGAAATCAGTTATAGCAAAGTGCAGAGACATTTAATGGATATGCCATTACAGAGCATCAAAATGGAAAATTGTGTGCAATTTTTTACAGTGTTGGGTGAAATTATTCTTTGAATTAGACAACCACTAGCAATGCCAAACATGACATAGTGCTCATTCAACCTGCTTGTTGCTGTTTACCAACTACTATTCATCAAATTTTCTCAAGGTTGCCACCAGACATTTTTGCTATATGTGTTATTTTAAAAACATGGTTTTAATGACTCCCAGATTTCTTTTGCATTCGTTTCTTTTTCTTAGCCTCCATTGCCTCAGCTTGCAGAAGTTTCTGCATTCCCCTGGGATCTTTCGGATGATAACCCATACGTTGAGCTTCAAATTGTTTTTCCCTCTGCTTCTCTTTCAACTCTCTTTTTTTTTCACAAAGCTCCTTCATTCTTGCTCTATATTGTGCAATGATTTCGGGCATTTTCTTCATATTTTCTTCAATCAACTTTTGCCTGAATACAAAACAATTCAGAAAAATGCCATATATTTCTCCAGAGGCTGAATTGTGTACAGATATACATAATAAGCAGAACTTTATTATATTGCTTTCCATAGATCCCAATAGATAATTTGACCATTTCAAATTCTCCCCAAGGAGAAAATTTTTTGTTGTGGAATATAGAGCATATTTTAGTAGACATTGAATTTAAAATGTAGTATCAGATACAAGTACCTTTCCTCTTTTGCTTTTTCTTTTTTTGATCCTCTGTTGGTAAAATCTAATGATTTGTCTCGAAGTGGCTTTTCAGGCCAAAAATACCCGTCGGCAATATATTTTTTTCTTAAATTAGCCAATTTTCTTGCACTGATTTTTGCTTTAACATATCGACCATTCACAAAAGTTGGTTTGGACATTTGCAAAAGTCTTGCCACTTCATCACTTACTTGCTGCTGCTCTAGAGAATGTACTTGGTGTCAAAATATATGTATTATGAATGCATTACTATATTCCATGTCTTTCTAACTTAGAATTAAAAGAAGTATACTACCTTTATAGTCAGAAAATGCTCTTTGACAATTGAGGATCAAATTTGTAGGCTGTAATCTATGATTAATAAGATGCAGATAATTCTATGATCAGTCTGAAGAGTACATCCAAGTTTACAGAATAAGTGGAATGCTAAAACCAGCCCAAGTATACCCCATTACTCATTGAGCAACACAGGCGAGTGTAGCTGGCGAGCAGTGTTGCAAAAAGAAAATCTCCATATAGTGCACAAGACAAGACCAACTTTCCAAAGTACATTTGGTAGAGTCATGTTGCTGCAACTATTAGTGCCAGGCAACAACTTATAAGTAGAGCACCGCACCCTTTTTTTTGCAACTTTTTGAAGATAACAAAACTACTCACAACTATTTAGGCTTGTTTTAAATACTGACTAATCAAAAAATAGATTTTCATTTACAAGATAAGAAAACCTAACAAGTGCTATTGCTGCCATGAACAAGCAATTTGCAAAACTTCTTAAATTATTTCCTTTTATAATACTTTCGATAGTTTTTAATTTGAAGTTGCAAATTACAAGCTTTGACATAAACGAGGAATTGAAGGACATTGACAAACATCCAATGAGGAAAATATTTTTTAGTTATACAATTCATGCTGTTTTCTATCATTCAAGTAAGGAAGGTTTCATAAAAATACATGATTGAAAAATCTTATTTTCTACAAAAATCTCATATTAACATATCAAAATCTTCAGGGCTGCCTCTTACCTGTGCATACATGAACATCCTCTGAAACAAAATTCCACTAATCCAGTATGTACAGTAGAAGTAAATTGCAGCAAACGACTACATCTTAAAAACATCGTTTTTCTCAAAATATGGTCAAATTTTTTTAAAATTAAACCTCAATCGATGATTTGATACTGTACTAGTACCATTAGTACAGAGTGGTAGTACTATAATGTACTTATAACTGATGTAAGTTATATGTCTTTATGATCGCAGGCGCTTTCCCACGTAAAATGCTGTAATTGCTCAATAGTTTAAGCATAGATATGTTAAGCTTATTAGAAGGAAATGAGTTTGTCTCAATAAAAGCTACTTTGAAATAATTAATGTTAGTTTTCTATTCCTTTACGTCGCAAAAGCAAAACTTTCATGTTTAGTTGAATCGTAACTGCAAAGGTGCCAAATAATTAATGTAACATGAAGTAAATACGACGTTTGACTCGTTTTCAGTGCGCATCAATATTGCGCATTAGGAGATTATATATTTTCTTGGCATCGTACAGATGAATTATGTTACAATAGATTTTGGGAGGGCTTGAAGTTAATAATGGCGGAGGGTGAACTTGTTGTTGACAGTGTAATTTCTAGACTTCTAGAGGGTAATCTCAACATTTATCACTTTATATGGTAGGAAAAAAGATGAAGAACACAATGCAATTTTATGTGTTTTAGCGCGAGGAAGACCCGGTAAAAACGTTCAGTTGACCGAAGCTGAAGTTCGCGGTTTATGCCTGAAGTCAAGAGAAATATTTTTGAGTCAGCCAATTCTGTTAGAACTCGAAGCTCCTCTCAAAATATGTGGTATGTGTACGTTAACAATGACAAAATATTTCTTCTGCGTTTGAAATGAAACCTTAGAAACCTAGTGTAGTATACAATTTTATCAAAAAAGCTTCATTCGACACATGTCGACAATATCAATATACGAGATATTGTTTACAGTTACGAAAGGTGTCAAATGATGCTTGAATGTGGCTCTCACATTTTTTAGTTTCGAATCTTCCCGAAGTTAGCTTTATTGAAATCAGCCTTAGTAAATTTTAGGAATTTTTTTGTAATATGTTAAACAATGAAACTATGTTGATAGGTATACTTATGCCAAAATAAGGAAATGGTTTTCTCTTGTACAGGGTATAAACAATTTGGGAATTTGAATTATATCACTACATATTAAAGTTGAGCACTACATATGTATATTATAAGCACAACATTTTGCATTCCATTCCATTTCATTGTTTTACCTATTTCTATTATTGTGATTTTACTTTCCAATTTCCATTCTAACCTTATCCGTGTTCTTGTTCCATTGCATAACATGTGTAAATAAAATAAATGTAGGTGGTATCAATAAACTTCAGAGAAAGACATATTTTTGTTTTGCTCACCAATTGTGAATACTACTGGAACAATTATTGCTATGATTTCCTGCTAAATTCAGACCTTTTCAATTTAGTCTACAATCCAGTATTTAAAATCATGAGATTGTATGGGCTTTGAAGAAATTTTGCGATTGGGCCTTACTTTCTTTTGGCCCTTACCATAACACAGATTTACCTTAATGAACTTTAAAAATGTAAATGTCTAGGTGATATTCATGGACAATACACAGATTTGTTACGTCTATTTGAATATGGTGGATTTCCTCCTGAGGCCAACTACCTTTTCCTTGGGGACTACGTGGATAGAGGAAAGCAATCTCTTGAAACAATATGTTTGCTTCTTGCTTACAAAGTGAAATATCCTGAAAACTTCTTCCTACTTCGTGGCAACCATGAATGTGCTAGCATCAATCGTATCTATGGTTTTTATGATGAGTGTCAGTTTAAAGTTCTCTTTTGCAATATGAATTTGGAAAAAAAATGTGTACCTAAAACTATGATTATTGAATTTTTTGTAATTTCATTTTAAAACTTGTTTAGGTAAAAGACGTTATAACATAAAATTGTGGAAGACATTTACAGATTGCTTTAACTGTCTACCGATTGCTGCAATTGTAGATGAAAAAATATTTTGTTGTCATGGAGGTAATGGTTTAATAATCATGTTAATGTTGGCGATTAAATGGACTTTAGCCTTTAACATAATTTATGGAACAACAGCATATTATATATAACACAGTATTGCTAGTCATGTTTCTAAGAAATGATTCTACACATGTAAGTTTTGTCGTGAAATTGATCTAGTTTTGATTTTGCCTATCACAGCTTGAGATGGGTTTGTTTGTTTCTGTGTGGAAAAACAATTGTGTGAAAACTAATTTTCAGATTTTCACCAATAGTTTTTATCTAAAGGTAGTATTGCTTTTTTCTCTGTCCAGGTCTTTCTCCTGACTTGCAATCAATGGAACAGATAAGACGTATTATGCGACCAACAGATGTCCCAGACACAGGGTTACTTTGTGATCTTTTGTGGTCAGACCCAGATAAAGAAACCAATGGTTGGGGTGAAAATGATCGTGGTGTCTCTTTCACTTTTGGTGCTGACATTGTCAGCAAATTTCTCAATAGGCATGATCTAGATCTCATTTGCCGAGCTCACCAGGTTTAAAATAACAATGTTTCATCCTTTGGCAAATTGTGTGTTGATGCAGTGAGTTATTTAAGTTGTATTTGGTATGTTGTTTAGGTGGTTGAAGATGGGTATGAGTTCTTTGCTAAACGACAATTAGTTACATTGTTTTCTGCTCCAAATTACTGTGGAGAATTTGACAATGCTGGTGGCATGATGAGTGTTGATGAAACCCTCATGTGCTCTTTCCAGGTGTGTAATACATTAGTATTTACATTCACTAAACACACTCGCCCTTATGTACATTCACTAATCATAGCCACTATTGTGTGTTGCTTGCTTACAAGATAAGCCTTTTTCTTTAAACAGACCATTTAAAAACTTTTTCAGATTTTGAAGCCATCAGAGAAGAAAGCCAAATATCAGTATGGCGGTCTCAATTCTGGACGTCCCGTAACACCTCCCAGAGGTGGAGCTCAACAGCAAAACAAGAAAGGAAAGAAATAGATCCTTCAGCACATATTAACTTAGTATAGAGTAAAGCTATCTGCTAAAAGACAAGATAAATGGTCAGTCTGGCCCTTGTACTTTATCTAACCTGAACAGTGTTGTAACTGATGTGTGCAAAATATGACGAAAAATGTCTTTGAAAGGTATTAATGACTTAGTAATACCATTGGCTGATTTTCCATGTTAAGGATAGCATTGTTGTGATGTCTATTGATTTTAATTATTTGTAAATTGTTTGCTTTATTAATTACACTGTTATCCTAATCATGTGTGATTCCTTCTGTTTATTAATTTATTGTCTAAATGAGTCAATACTGACAATTAGGACTGTTATTTTATTTCAAATGTTTTAAAATGTCCTGAAATGATTCACTATTTCCCCACTCACACCATGATGTGAGATCACTAACAATGAGTTAATCTTAAAGCTGAAGCACATAAACTTATGCTGTTCAGTGAAGTTCACTCACCATTCAACATGGATGCGTTACTAACCCAAATATCTCAAACGTAAATTAAAGAATAATGTGAACATGTGTACTGAAAAAAAAAGAAAGAAAGGTTTGACAATAACCAATCTTGTTTTAAAATGCCAAATGAAGTGAAAGTTTCAGTGCTTCATGTGCACCTTCACATTCTCCCCAGCCAGTTAAGGCATGCTGATTTTTAGTTCCATATTACACTCAAGTGTGACCTAACCCTTTACAGTTTCCTTTTAACTTGTTTAATCAATTTTCTCTTACTGCACAATAGTTGAATTACATAACAGTATTAGATTCTTCTTTCATAAAAATATATATATATATATATATATATATACAAAGTGTATATACAATGTGCCCTCCCGGCTATCACCAAAGTGCAATGGTGACTCCAGCACTTGGGACACAGGATGTACGGTTGGTATATATATATTCAGCGTTGTCATAAATTTTTTGATGGAAAGTTTACTTTTATAGGTGCTTTCTACTGTGCATATACATTTATGTTCAAAGTCTGTTAAAGATTGCTTCAAATTGTTGATGAAAAAATATTCTGCAGTCATGAAGGTAATGCTTTATGGTCATAGTAATGTGGTATGATAAATGGACTTTATCCTTCAGCATAGTTTGTGGAGTAACAGCATATAAACAAAAAAGGCAGTGTTCCTGGTCATGTATTTATGAAATGATTCAACACATTTGTTTTTCACATAACATAATTGATCATAAAACAAAAACCGAACAGAATTCTTCCATTTCCATTTGACACTTTTATATCAAAGCAAACAAATCTGGCTGCATTTTAGCAACTTTGATTTTACAAATGTCCCAGTTATATTAAAAACTCTCAACTTGTTCATTGTATGCTAAACACAATGTTGTTTCGATAACATTGATTTGAATATTTGCTATACTACACTGTTTCTACCCATTAATTTCCCAAAGATATGGTTCATCTCATACATATATTGAATAAACATACCTTCTGGTTCAGACTTCATGGAACGCAGACCAGAAAACAGCTACAGTCTTGTATTTCAACTTTGCGTTGTAGGACGCCATAGTTTATAAGATGGAAATGATTAAACCTAGAAACTGAAATACATTTTTTCATTCAGAAAGTAATAAGGTAAATATACCTAGATTATTACACTTTATTTGCGTGTAATACGATAAGAATGAGCTTTACATACTCTGGCAAGCGATTTTATCATCATCACTATGTCGTTTTTAAGCTGACACCTTTAAACGAGTAAACCACGGCTTTTCTGTGAGCCATTTCAGTAATAAAATTTGGACCGCCATTTTGAACTCACAACTGTTTGTCTTTTTACGATTTTACCAAGATTTCTCATTCCATAATTTCGTAAAAGCACTATTGCCAATACACATTTAATATAAACGACAACTTTTTTGAAAATAGACATGTTTCGACATCTCATGAAGAAATAATTCATTCACACATCCACAAAATATCTTGTCAGAAAATGAAAGTGAAATGACCCACATACGATTGCCAATTTACCACCACAAAAACTTTTTTACCCATGAAAGGTGTAGTGACCGGTAGTGGCCTTTAAAGTTTAAATTTACCGCGCAAATTGCTTGCGCATCTTTCGACTCTCTCGAAAAGGGTGGTGAAAGATACATCGTGCATGTTCGTTGCTTGCTTACCCCACGCCCTCTCCCCACCCACACACAGAGTAAGTATACACATTATAAAATAAGTGTAAAATAAAAATTTACAACTAACAAATACAATATGTATATGCCAAAGGCCTCGGGCCACTTTTGAGGCCGAATGAAAATATTTTTTAAGTACGGACTGACCTAGACGGTACATAACATATCTATTTTTTATTTTTAAAGCAAAGAAATTCGCGTTGTGAAATGGCCGATATGCGGCTTGTCTGATACTGAAATTGCATTGTTTTGTACAAAATTCGCTCTCGGCACTCTCGGTCAAGGTATTGTAAAAAGCTTCCCTCTGGTGCAGCTAAACAGATTACAGAAAATCAAAAACATCACATGCATAAAAAAATTACCAATTATTGATACTTTTTACATAATACATAATTACACTATTTATATACCAAGTATTACATTTTAACCAATTATTAAACAATTATTACAAAAATGCACAGCTAACTTATATATTGAACCAGTTATTTTAATATTTACAAATACTGCGTTGCAACATTGGGTCTATTCTCTCCTGGAACCCACAGGGCCTGAGACTCCCAACGAAGGCAGTTAATGATGGTGTTGGCAAAGATGAAGTTTACATTACTTACAATCAAAAGGTAAAAAAAGCAATAATATTTTAAAATACACGAAAAAAATATTCTAAGGACCAAACGAAAATTGCAAGAAGTTAATCTTATTATCTAGAGGGAAAACGTCAAGGATAACGAAAAACATAAAATTATAATTTCAATATTCAAACCAATTTTAACGACATGCATAAAAATCAAAGCTAAAAGAAAATTTCATTACTAAGAATTACTTCATCGATTTGATCAACGTTTTCCTTGACCGTTGTTGTTGTAGATAGTCAAACAGACACATAAAAAATTTTCCTTGAAATTATATCTTGATACATCACTAAATTCCTCGCCTTGTTTCAATTGTAGAATTCATCTTTCTACATTAACCTCAAATGGAAATGTTCTAAGAATGCTTCCCATCGCCCTAGTTCGCCCTTGACGAAAGAATATCTTTGTGCCGACACGAACAAATTCTGGATTTCTGAGAAACTTGAATGTAACGGTCGTCCATTGACCAGTTTTTACACGCTTGATAAATTCATTGAAAATAAGTCAATAAAAGTAACTGAGTAAAAAATGCGTCATGGAAAATGGCCATACGAAATGAAGTACAATAAAGAAGCTTTCCTACCTGGGAAATCTTATCAATAGTTACAGTTTGAACAACTTTACCGACATGTAAAGTTCCTTGAAAGCGCTCTGACAGCTCGCTCGTATGAAAGAGCAAGAAAAGGCGAGCTTCTACAGCAGAAAAACATTCCAGTGAAGCATCAGGGGAGAGCAACGCCATTCCCTATACGATAAAGAAAACAACACCGGATATTGTCATTTTAGGTAAAAAGTCAATTCATACAAACTCATTCTAAACTCTGTCATTGCATATCATTTTTTTCACGAAAAACGAAGCCCAACTTACACGTCGAATGGACATTTTTTCAACGTAAGAGAGCGCTAACGTAGCGGATTGTCCAGCTTTGATATAATGACAAGGCACGCGATTTCTTCTAATGGATACCACGCGTGTCTCCGTAAAATCACCTCGTTCCGATGGCCCTAACATCATTATGTCACCTTCACGTATCAGACCTCTAAGGAATAAAAGAAAAAAGATACTTCTTGTTTCTTTCCATACATAGAACATTGGTATTTTAACAAGAAGTTTTATTTTCCATAACCCAATTCAAAATTTCTACAAAACAAGTATGAACAATGACGTAGACTTAATGCTATTATGTCATTGCAATAAAGAAACTCCTGTTACTTTCCAAGTATTTTCTGTAAATATATCAAACGAACATCACAAAATGGAGGGAACATGAAAATGAAAAAGTTAATATACGTATATTTCAAAGACATCATACCTCATCAACGTACCACCCAAAACTATCCCAATGTTTGGTACATTGAATGTTTCGTCAACCTAAAAATGTAATACATGTAATGAAGCGTGCACGCTTGATAATAGCTAATATAATATAACTGTAAGAACATCCGCCATTGATGTTAATTCAATATATTATACGTATAAAATGTCCTCATATTGTTTGTAATTTTGACTGCCTGTGTACAGTGATGGATCCAGCGAGGATTTTTTAGGGGGGTGCTTGGCTTAGTGATCAGCTAAAGTTCAGCGAATAGAAACCAATTACATATCAACCTACTCGTCATATAAAATTGATACTATTTCCCGTTTTAGTCAATTAACGCCTTATAATCAAAATAAATATGGTTGGTGAGCAGCCCTGCACCCCTTTAATAAATCCAACACTGCCTATCTACAATACTATCATGAAAACAATATGCATGGTCATACACTTGCTGTTCTTACAAAATACTCTGGTTTTTCTTGCATTAATTTTTCCTGTTCCTCCTGACTCTGACGAGGTGGAATTATATTGAGAAACTTCTTTAATAAATCCAAGTCATCGCCAGTGACGCTGGATACTGTGAATATTGGAGTAATCCTAAAAAATCAACGTCATAATGTCCAATTTACTGCTAACATACGATTCTCCTCAATTTACTAAGCAGTAAAATACTTACGGTGAAAAATACATACGGTGAAAAATTTAAAAATTGTTTTAAAAAGAGCCAATACCATGGTGAATGATCAAAATAACGCAACAGTTCTTAAAAGAATTGTTTAAAACCACAACACTATACCAACAAATCTAAAAGAACTGTCGACAAAAGCATTACGTGTTTAATTTATCTCTGTTTATGCGTCATTTCTCTATTTAGAGATGACGTTAACTTTTTTGTAACATTATAAATACTGAATGATTTTGAAGCTCACATTTAGCAGACGTTGACATGTGATGAGTAGTCTGCCGAAATGCATAGTATCTTTCAGCTTTAAATTTTTGATAGTGATAAAACAAGTACTATATCTTGCGAAAATTGTTTTGCAGAAACTCGACTTAAACAGAAGCTCTGTAAAACAATCTCCAGGTTACAAAACTACATCCCAAATACATTGATGTGATTCTCTCTCAAGGGAAACGAACATTTCACGATCAAATGAATGCTTAGTTACTATGAAAGGCGATACTGCCTCGTCTACGTCAACAATATTAACGCACTACACAAGAATGACACGATTGCATGTTGAATAGTGACGTTCCCTCCTACTCATGACGTCAATTACGTCACGAGATGAATTTTTTCCATGTTATTTTATCAAAATTTAGACCTCCCGATTAATTTTGTGATTTTTGCAATATAAAAATGTACATCAAATGTAGATAATTTGCACCTGTTCGAAACAAGATTCGTAGCAGCAGTAACCGCATCCTCAGAATTCGAAACTCTTAGAGGCATCTTTTTGCACCCGGGACTTTTGAGAACTCTTTCAAGTCCCTTGATGGTTTGCTCGGTCATTGCAGCTGTACAAGTGTCTGTCTTATTAACGACAATAAACATTGGGACGTCCATAGCAATACATAGACCAAGATGTTCGCGTGATGTTCCAACTAAAATATCACAAATTAATTTTTAATATTTTCAACAAAATGTACATGGTTTAATTATGTTCACCTGTTCCACATCAACCATTGACCGTGCGGCGTTCATAAATTGAACATTTGTTTCGTGTTTCAAAACTTGACGTTACTAACGGCTAACTCATTGTTGCTAAGGCATGCGCGTTAAGTTATGGAAAATGTTGTTTTTATTTAATAAACAACCGTGACATGTCGAAATTTGGCAAGTATGGAAAGAAGTTTGAAAACGTTGAACTCTATCGTTAGATATAGGACTTCAAATTGGTATTGGTGAGAACTAGTGGGTCTTTGTCGTCGACTAAGAGAGTTAGTTAACAGTTTTCTTATTAACCAATGCTATATCAGGGTTACGCCTTAGCAACAATCAGCCGTATAGTAACATCAAAATAGCCGTTAGTAACGTATGACAAATGTCTAATTTATACACGCCTCACGGTCAATTGCAAATGACTGTATGGTGTATTGATCAGTGTTCACTTTGTAAACCAGAAGCTCCATTGGAAAATCTTCTTAATCTAGCATATCATTTAAGTAGATGTACCTACCTACTCCAGTATTTGCAGCAATAACAAGCATTGCAAAGTCAGGTATGTGCCCAGTAAGACCAAAGATTGTTGTCTTCAGATACTTCTGATGTCCAGCCAAGTCAAGAAAAGTGATGATCTTTGATGACATTTCACAAATTTCTTCAGCACTACCGGAATCGCTGTAGTTGACAACCTGAATAAATATTGTAAAAAAACACCTTTCCTGAAAACTATGTTCTCCTGACTTGTGTAATAGTAAGATATAATTCTATATATGTCAATTATAATACAGACACAATACAAATATTTTGAAAAATACGATGTGTTTTAGAGTCCACATATATTATTTCAAAACTAACTAAAATTATCAACAATTGCATCCATCCTCAACATAAAAATCTGACCTCAAATTATTAAGTTATATTTTGAGATTTTTTGTACCTCTCCTTTGCTGTTGAATCCAAGAATTTCATGACTGATACTGGAAGTTCGTCCAGACTCAATTTCATGAAGATGTCTAAAGAGATTAAGACGAGCCCGACCACGGCCATTATCTAACTCTCCTTGTGTGAGAACACCAACTAAAGTACTTTTACCAACATCAACATTACCAATGACTGCTAACCGTATATCTATCATCTATAAAACAATTAGAAGTTTGTCTAACAACCTGTATAATGTGCTGGGCAAGACAGCTATGTAGCTTTACTGATGGGGATCAAAAGAAAGAGCGCAGAAATACTATCTTTCTGAACATGGCACGTTAAAGACTTCAAAATATGTGCACCAAATTGGAACTGCTGGCAATAAATCATCACGGTGAGTCACCTGTTCATCATCAGAAATTTTGCGCACAAGAACTTCAGTAACTACTCTCTCATTTTCATCTTCTTTGCAACCTTCAACAAGATGTTCTCTTAAAACAGTAGCCTCAGAGCCAAGTCTTGCAGCCATTGTTTTTAAGGTCTCTAATGACAAATCCATCTCATATTGAGTGAGACCTGCCAACATACCATTGTCTTCAACTCCAATCTCATATATGGCTTCTCCCAATCCTTCCTGTAACCGCCATTTTAATTGGGTAACCAGTTGTTCTAAGCGTGCTTTGGTTGGATTCACAAGTTTTAGCTAGAAATATCAGAAAAATAAATGTTCTGGTAGCACATTCAAACCATTGATTGCTCTTTATAGTATTTGGGCATACAGGACCAAAAACATAGGTGTGAACACATCCTTCACAAATGAAATGAGAAATCCCCCTGTATTGGACCAAATATTGAAAATAATGCGTAGTAGTCTGGATTGTTAAAAAAAAACAAGAAATGAACAGACAAAATTACTTGGTATAGATGCCCAAATAAAAAGCATCTAAAATTGTAAACTTAAATAGACAAACATTACTCTCATTTATTGAAAATATCATTTTCTGCCTAAAACATGAGTAATAAAGAGAATTTACACAAACCTTGTATTCAACATTTCCGACTTCCACCTAAAAAAATGAAACATCTTAAATATTTACAGTCCAAAGTTCCAAACCTCTAAGGCAATGTTTTAGTTTTATCATCACACTATACACACTTGTAAACCAGAGCAAATAAGCATACCTCTGGCGGTAAGCAACGGCTTCTGTTAACATTGTCTCCATTTGAAAAAAAGTTTGAAATTCCACCTTCGCTAACGTCTAAAAGATACGCCATTTTAAGCGAACCACAGATTCAACATTCGCCTTCCTTAAAGCAATAAACATTCCTAATTTCTACAGTTTCTAAAAGATCCACTTAAATCAATTCCATACAAAAACTGCAGAATTGCTCCGACATTTCGTCAGATATTTGCTGGCGCAACAAGTGCCAAAATTGTGCAAAACAGTCCAAAAATCGCACAATAAAGGAAAGTAAACAAAAATGAAATTAAAAAAGTACTTGTTCTCAAAAAATAGGTACGCCAGCGTACATTAATACTTCCCACTTTGCATGATATCAAACTTGTGAAATAACATATTTAACTTCCTTATTTTCTTTAACGTTGACTTACGATGTTTCTAAAAATGATATCCCTAAATGGGTCAATCGCGATCATCAAAGTTACCACGAGCATAAGCACTTTTGTGTGAATTTTCTGATAGCTTTTCTCCAAAAAGAATTTTTCGATTCCCTAGCTTAAACGACCTGTGGTGCCACAAATATAGACTTAATAACTCTTAAACTTTTCAAAATAAAATGTCTGTTTATCTTTGAGGAAAATATTTTACAAAAGTGATAAAGACAACATAAAAATACAACTTAATCCCAATTCCAAAGTTCATATAAATAAACTGATCACTACAGTAAAGATACCCACAAAGTCCCTTTTGAAAAACTCATAATCCAGTTCACAGCACTATTCTCAAGCTTCGTGCAATCGGCCTCAAGACATCTAAATACGAAGAAAACAAAATTGATAAAATACTAAAAGAAATGCAAAGTGATATACACATGAACGTTGTCCTAACCAAAGAAAATCTTACTATAATGTCCAGGGACTGATTGTATGAAGCCTTTATAGCGCTACGGCACTGAATTAAATCAAAAACCTCTATTTAATTTACACACAATGTTATTCTAACCGTAAAAAAGTTAATATAGTGACAAGGGGTCAATTGCAGGAAGCCTGCATTAATTGGGGATTCTATTTTTTTGAATTCTTTATTAAAAAACTTCTTCTAAAACTCTAATTTACACAAAATATCCTGGTACATAACGACCTTTATAAACCACTTGAAATCCCAACTATCCATGCAGGCAGCCGGACCCTCGATCATTACGCTCATTACAATGAAATAAAACTGATTTTACAGAAAATTACACCTTCCATTTTGTTAACAGTTTAAGTAGAGTGTAAACAGGCTTTCCTTTCACTTTCCCACATTCTCGAATACAGATGTCATATTTCATATTTCTTATCTCTTTTGAAACAAGAAAACTTCTCAAGCGTTCTTGTTCGTCTTTCTCCATGAGTAATTTAAAGGGATCAGTCTTAGTGAAAATTTTTGCAGTTTCGTCTGCCAACACTACATGGTAACCCACACCACAGTCATCTTTAAACTATATGTGAAGGAACAGTGACAAATTCATAGCACATCGATGGCAGAATACTTTGGTGAGGTTGTCGAAGGTCAGTTCTTTCAACTGATAACGCTCTTTGCAATGATCACAGAAAGCTACGACAAATTGAACAGGATGACGAGAATCCACTGTAGAAATTTTGCCAGTGAATGATATATCCTCTGTATCATCTTTAGTTGCTACGACCTGTGGTATAGGTATGATGGACTTATCAATGAATCTTTCACAAACTTTTACTCATCATCAACAAAGTTGTGTTTGTTTATCTTTGAGGAAAAAATTACATACATAAAAACTTAGCAAAACCCAGCTAATATCAAAAAACCGATCACTACAGTTTGGTTAAAAAAATTCTCACAAAATTAAAAAACTCAATCTCTAGTTGAAGCACCATCCAAACTTCATAAAACACATCTCAAGAAATGTAATTTCGTACAAAACAAAACTGATAAAATACTAAAAGAAACACAAAGTGATATACACATGAACGTTGTTCTAACCAAAGAAAATCTTACTATAATGTCCAGGAATTGATTGTATGATACCTGTATAGCGCTATGGCACTGGATAATGATCTCTTGATTATTTCAAAAACCTCACAATATAAGCTTTAATTCAATCACAATGTTATTCTTTGTGTAAAAAAAGTTAATATATTGACATTAAGGCTGTATAGATAGTGGATTGTATTTTTTGAGTTCTTTAAAAAGCTTCATCTAAAACTCTAATTTAAACAAAATATCCTGTACATAACGACCTTCATAAACCACTTGAGACCCCTACTATCCATGCAGGCAACCGGTCCCTCGATCATTACGCTCATTAGAATAAAAGAAAACTGATATGATAGAAAAAACTACATCTTTTGCTGTGTTGACAGTTTAAGTAGAGTGTACACCGGTTTTCCTTTCACTTTCCCACATTCTCGAATACAGATGTCATATTTCATATTTCTTATCTCTTTTGAAACAAGAAAACTTCTCAAGCGTTCTTGTTCGTCTTTCTCCATGAGTAATTTAATGGGATCAGTCTTAGTGAAAATTTTTGCAGTTTCGTCTGCCAACACAACATGGTAACCCACACCCCAGTCATCTTTAAACTCCATGTGAAGGAACAGTGACAGAGACAAATGTTTAGCACATCGAGGGCAAAAGAATTTAGTGAGTTTCTCGATGCTCAGTTCTTTCATTTGAAAACGCTCTTTGCAATAATCACAGAACGCTGCGAGAAATTGAACAGGATGACGGGGATCCACTCTACCAATTTTTCCAGTTAGTGATATCTCCGTATCATCATCTTCAATCTTTACTTCTGGCTCCTGATAACACTCGCATAAATTCTCCCTAATCATTTCGACATCTCGTTCTGATGTCTCCGAGATTGCTTCGTCATCTACGATTTCAGAAGAAGATGCAACGATATCAGTTGGACCTACATCTTTGTTTGAAGAACGGCCAATTTTGTAGTACCACCACGAACACGACATCCAATTTTTTAATTTTGCGACTTTATCTAAATCATCTTTCGTGACAGTCGGCTTACCAGCCTTTGAACAGACTGGTGGCACATCCTCGTCGCTTTCAAACACCAACCAAGGTGACTCAATATCGTATGTTCGTAATTGAGGCCGTAGTTCGTATTCAGTTACACGCATTGGCATTTTTACAATCTGACCCACTTTGTCAATTCTCGGCATGTCTTCTGTAGTTTTTTGAGAACAGACACAGCTAACTGGTAGATATTCATCCGGAAAGGATTGATCTACGAGGGAGAAGGTTAAGATCATGTCGGTTCCTCTCGTTTTTCTTGGTTTATCGAACTTTAATACCACCCCAATAACGACGACATCGCGATCAGTTAACTTTACAGATTTCAGTCTCTTGATTTCCTGTGTTTCCCAATTTGGCGGGAAAGAAATGGTTTTATTCATCGTCAACTATTAAGAAAGAGGATATAATGGTACATGATGAAAAACATTTTGAATTTAAGCCTACAGTTTTTTCAGGATTTAATATAGCTACGTGAAATTTGTTAGTATCACTAAGTGGGCAACCCTAAAATAACTTTTTAAACACAGGAGTAAGAAATTATCAAGATACAACCAGCTTTTCTTTTATATTCAAACAATTTTTTACGGTAGTTTTAAAAATGCGATAATAGTGGCAATATCTACCAGATATCGTACAAAAAATGTTAAGAACTTAAACAAGATCTTACAGTATGTGCGTCTTAGCCACATACGATCTTGTTTCCAGAAATGTCGATCTCAAAATAAGATCTAGCTAACGTAGGAGGCTACTTTCAAGACTCTACCATATTTTTAGGTAATAATTACAGAGTATTTGTGGCAGAAATTTAGCGGAAAATATAGTGAAAATAATCATTACTATTATTTTTTAAGAAATCAATAGTTGTGAACAAAAAGTTTACGTTGAAAAGTTCTTTTTTAAAGTATTGCTTTTATTTACAATGATGTGCCCATATACACATAAATGCAACTTTAGAAACCACAATGACCTTCATTTTGACAGAGACTTTAGCAACACATTTCACTAAAAAGTATTTACTTTAATTTAATCTTTGAATCCTTGAAGACTCACAGCCTTAAATGTAAAAAGACCTGAACAATTTTTAAAAAGATCTGAAGTTCTCAAAAGCAGTGAAAAAATCTACCAAGGATTCTGCAAACCCTTCCAACTTAGTGCTGCTGTGCCTTGAGAATTGTTCTTGTTGGAAAAATGTTTTGTGTCCAGAAGTTTTATGGATAAGTCTGAATACTATTACTCTTCATAGAGCCTTCGTCATTGACAAAAAAGCAAGCGAATACATTCACAGTTTCCAGCAAAGGAAAAAAATTTTTTGTTCAGGGCCATAACCGAAACGTTAATTGGGGTAGGGTGGGTGTGTTTATTCATACATTCAGCTGTTCCAAATTTAGTCCTTCTTTGGAAAAGAATTCACTTTTAAAAGAAATCAGTCGGGCACAACTGAATACAAGCTCCCCCTCCCCTCCACGATAAAGTTCTAGTTACAAAAATCAGCAATAGTTATATACACTGTTTATACAATCCTACATACTCAATGAACAAATAACTTTATATAATAACTGTGAAACACACCACAATGACATTCAGTATATATTTGAGTAAATTTGATGGAAAGTTTGGGTAAAATAGTTACTTGATCAGTTCTAGCGCTTCATTGTAGAAATACTGTACGGTGTTTTGGCTAAATAATCTTAATGGAAGTGCATGACCAAACCAACTTATTCCTTCTGCTTATGCAAGCCTTGGGGACATTTATGATAACTTTCACTAATCTTCTCCTCAGTTCCCTCAAAGGTCTCCACGGTTTCCATTAGCCTGTGCTAACACAGTAAACATCTTTTATTTCTTAAGTACAAAACCAAAATGTAATAATTTTAATGCAAAATCATTGTATGTAAGCTGATAAAACGGCCATGCTAATTTTTTTTGTCATCAAAAGTGGTCACTTTTTAAGGCATGTCTTTGTTGGGAACTATAGCCCACCTAGCTGGCATGGCTTTGAATGCTGGGTTAAGTTTTGATTCATCCATTTTATTTATGAAATCATTCCACTTATTATCCTACCTACTAGTCTGCTTTTAACTACCAAGCATGTCTTGTCAAAAAGTGAGACACAGCTGTTAAATAAGGGAATAATTCAAAATAGCAAACAAGAGCATGCTGTTGCTCTTCCTTTCCACAAAATTAATATCTGTCACAGGCTAACAGCTGCCTACAAAATTCATTTAATACAACTTCACTCATGCACACATGTCCACCAACTGTTTGTTTTTATCCAGGCTTACAGAGACAAAGTAGAGAATTTGTGTTCATATGGAACAATTTCATGCCACTAAACTGATATCTTGTATTGCTTATGCCAACATCTCAACAAACAGGGCTAGCTCACATTCCATATAAAAACAAGATGGAAAACATATTAACTACTCTACAAGTTGGGATCTTGTCATATTGTCATCATCCTGATTATTTTCTCAACCCATATAAACAGACCTTGAGAATGGACATTTTTAATATCACCAAATATGCAAGAATGTGAAGAATTGCGAATGAAAATAATTTCCAAAACTCAAAAATGATTAAAATCGCTGATATTGTAGTGGTGGTTGGTCTTCAAGAAAATTGTCCATTTGAAAATGTTTCTCAACGAAGTCGGTGTCAAGTGTCAACAATCAGGTAAATTTCCCTTGTGCAAATGATAACATTTTGACATGGAGATATTAAAAGTTATGACAAAATTATAGGCATCACATTTTTAAATGCTCTTTACTAAAGAATAGAGGACCGTGTTTATTTTTAATTAAAAAATATTTCACAAGTATTTCACATTATTCAGATGGAGTATGTTATACCCTGGCCAACGAATTTTTGCACTTCCAGTTTTTGAAGCATCAAGCACGTACTTTCCGCTCAAAATTGAGAATAAAATTAAGCAAATTTACACAGAAATAAACAAATATCCCTTACCAATTATGTTGACTCATTTAACAAGTAAATTATCGACTTCTCCGAAAGCAACTTCAGTAAAAATTGGACCGCCATTTTGAACACCACTTTGGCGGTTTTATTTGAATAAAAACACGTGCTCGCTAAGTGAAAAACTCGGACAAACATGGCGGAAGTTATAACAATGACTAATTTGCTATATGAAATAGAAATATGTTTCGCTCTCTTGCAAAATAAATTTTAACATTTCTTTATTTCAAAATATAAGCGCTTAAATGGAAGAAAGGTTACGTTGCGTCTCGTTTTAAACGATCAGGATACCGCGAATAGCTTTTGCAGGTTCCCCAAGCGCACCTCTTCGTCGTAACCATTGTTAATAAAATTACTCCGCCATGTTTGTCCGAGTTTTTCTCTTTAGCAAACACGTGTTTCCACATATATGAAAACCGCCAAAGTGGTGTATTGTTTGTCTCTCACTCACAAAGATTTCTCTCTTCTTTATGAGACGCAAATGAAGAAAACATTTATTCAAATATCCAGACATACCTGGTCGAAAGACGAAGAACTACGTTTTCCAAACAAAATGTTTTTAAACCATAAAAATTTCAAAGATGAAATCACGCTTTTCTCCCAAAGAAATCATGCCGGGGGGTACGTTAAATTTCAACGACTCCTATAGAAGATTCATAGAGATACGTAGAGGAAAGAACCTAGCTTCAACTTTGACTGTAAAGCAGTGCTGTAGAACTAAAGTTATCAGATGGGGGGCTCTCTTGACGTTTTTGTCAATAGTGCCCTTTGAAAATTACCCATGTCAAAGGTAGAAGGGGGGCAACTCCTACAGCACTGCTGTAAAGCTTAGTTCACATATAGTGGTAACTGTTGTAATTCTATCGGCGATGTAGGTTTACAACAATTACAACAACCAAATGTGAACCAAGATTAAATATTTCCTGGGTCCTTAAAACTGAATTTTTACAATACTGAAGAAGAAAGTTTGTAACTTTGGCATGCCCCATCATTTCAAGAGATCGAGAAATCAAATTCCAATTTGGCAGTAGAATAGTAAAACGAAATAATTACAGTAAGTGATCTAATAAATGCCCAGGGCATTCTACAAGTACAGAGGGTGAGGCATAAATAGATGAGACATTTAATAGGAAGGCACTTATAAAACTTTTATCACCTTAGTTTTGCTTTCATTTGTTCAAATCTAGACTTAATATACAGTTTTCTGAACCCTAACAATGACACACAATAATGACATCATGATAGTAAATGTTGGTGGATTCTATAAGAGAAAGGTCATTTATTAGAGAGAAGCTTCGAATACAAAATTACCAACACAAAGCAATCATTTGATCAGGGACATTTGTTGGATTATTTACAATATAGTATGTTATGGTGCGTTTCGATGGACACAATGTTTTAAGCTGTTAGTTAAAATGTGTGCATGCTTACAGGAGATTAAGTCGAAGAAAACAAAATGTAATGATCAAATAAAATTCATGTTTCTTAATAGTAGTTTTATTGCTTGATAATAATATAAATGATTGCTAAAAACAAACAAGTTTTAGCATTACAAACATTAAAATATAATTTTCTTATTGATGACAAAATCTCATTAATGAAATGAAGAAAATACATACATATTTTATGTTTGTTGAAAAATCTCTTTGTACTTTTGACATTCTACCTACAATGACAGGTATCAAAGTATTTAAAACTTATGCATGAAACAGACCTTACTCAAAATATATTCACTTTCCATCCCTTTCCAATGATGAAATTCAAGCTATGTTAACATATTTAACATGCGACAGACTACAAAACATGTTGCGTAAACTAATTAAATACTGGTACACTCAATTTCTGAAGAAAATAAATAAATGTATGAAAAAAACAAACTATTACATGCACAAAAATTTTGAATACAAATTCTTATGTCATGACACAGTACAGCATCCAGCACAATAACCTTCACCTGACCGAAAGATTTTTACACTTTTATAGGTGGATGATGGTCCTTTGGATCGTAAGGCCTTTGCGGTTTCAATGGAACTAGGCTTGGAACTAAAAATACAAAAAGTAGTATAAAAGAATTTAAATGAAACAATTTACCCCCTTCAAGTGCCATTCCCATAAACTATAGGCCTGAAATAAAAACAAATCTTTCACAACAATTGACAAGATGTATCCATAATCAAATAAGAGTACTAAGAATGAAGAAATGCCTCATGAACTCTGAGGTTTCATAACAAGCTGGCAACCAGTGCTTTTCATTGGATAGTTTGAATATAACCATCGAATACTTTGAATTGTGTATAAAATATTTTGCTTTAAAATAAAGGTTGAAATTGGTCAACTTCCCTCTCCTAAGAAATGATGTTGCTAGCTCTGCTCTATTTCCCTTTAAGCATCTGCAGCTTTCAAAAACAATGAGACCCTATGACCAAGCACCTGAGCATGTATCTTAGCTTAGTAACGGTAGCTTACAATGTATCAAGATAACAATTAAAAATTCACTATTGTATCATTTTTCATAAATTATTGAAGAAATATTAAAAACCATTATCTGTTAAATAACATAATCAAAATTTCTTTTGAAATAGCTAAACGACCATTACCGACCATTTTTAAGTCTGCTTAGTTCTATGACTCATATTCAATGAGTTTCACAACTATACATGTCATCATTTGGGTTCTGAGGGGAATAACATTCTCCTTTGCAATGGCTATTGATTACAGGTATTGATTGAAGATTTAGGTTGAAAACTCATTCAAGAGCTTGCAAGGTTAACTCACCAAATCCCAAACCTTGAAGGAAAAGTCTTAATGCGTTGGCCATTTTAGCTGGTTGCTCTTCCAGTGGTGTGCCACCACTGTCTGCAACTTCCATCAAGGATGAATACACTGGATCCAGATGAGACATTGTGTACAAAACATCTTCAAGATGTGGTGAATAATCACCAGCAACAAGCAACGCCTACAAAACATCAATCAACAATAAATTAGTTATAAATTAAGGCACCATGCTTATACTTCCATGTCAAAGATTACACGAAGTAGGTTGGTGCACAGATATGTTAGAAGTAACTTAAAAATGTATTGTTAGAATTATGACTCGAGGTTTTCCTTTTAAGTATTGTGGCACTAGTAAGAAAAATTGAATGTGCATTATCCTGATATTTTTAAGCATAGATCTATCTATTTGATATTGTAGCCAGAGTGATGTCAGATGGTAATCATGTTTTTTACATAAATATGACAACAGGTTGAGAGTCTGTATATCTATACCCCCCTTCACATTATACTGATATCACATTGCAGAAATGCATATGACACTACTTTTTTACATTGTCAAACTTCAAACCATATCCATCTCACATATTTTTGCCTTGCCCTCCATATATGCTTATGTTGAAGACTTACGGGACATTTCAATGAAGGTGGGTTAGATGTAGCCCCAGGCACAGGACGACGCATGTAGATCTCACTTCGTTTACTGAAGGACTCAACAAACAAACCAAGATTGAAAGGATTAAAAGATGTTTCAAGACTATTACGATAGGCTGCAACCAAATCCTTATTTTCCTCAGTTGATCTTTTGCCAAAATGATGCCAAACCAAATAGTCCTCTGTGAAGGGCGTCATACCCTTATTCTTTAATTGATGAGATGAAATCTGGTATTTAAGATAAAAATACCTATTACTTTAATTAAACGTGTGTTTATGTATTTTTCATTTACCACATTTACTTGGCAATTTAGCATTCCTTTTATTCTATAATAAAAATTTTAAATTATAATGTTCATGGTTTTGTAGAACACAGTTGGTGTTGCAGAGGTATGCATACTTATTGTAAAAGTGACCATTGAATTTAAAAAACCTTCCCGAAATGAATTCAAGCATTTATGCATTTGTTATTCATCATGCAGCAAAAACGCTAAGCCCTTTTAACACTAATAAGATGAGCAAAAGTCATCAATTTATAAAAAGAAAATGTGCAAAAAATGTGCACACATGCAAGCACCTGCAGAATACATAATTATTTGTGATGGCCACATGAAGATTATATTGCAAATGCTATTTGAAATATCGGGAAATTATCAGCAGGTTTTCCAGCAATAAGGAGATAAATAGAAAATTATTACTTTGGGAAACAGAGGTTTTTGGAAAGTTAGCCTTTTACATGGCCAAATTTAGGTAACTGTTTTAAAAGCATTCAGCTTTTGCTTGTTTGAATGACAATAAACGTGTTTTAAAGTAGAACAGGTGAAAATAGCCAAAGAAATATACATATTTCTGAATGCCTATAAAAAATATATGCTATACAATTATAAATTGCATAAAATAAAAATTATAATCTTAAAATATTTCGAACCCAAACCGAGCATTTTAAATGGTAACCTTACAGACTTAAAGTTATATCTATGTTTGCAAAACACCTCATGTTTTTCTCAAGGGGATATGAAAAACTTATTAAATTTCATTTCTAAGCGTATTCAGTCCAAAAAGAGACAAAGAAATGTTTGTTCTTTCGCATCAAACTTCTAATACTTCTACCCAATGAATATCAAATGCGCAAAAATAAAATGAACAAGCTTTGAAAGTTTCTCTTACTTTCAAACAATATGTTAACAATGCTTAAATGAGAATCCAGCATCAAAGATTATTGTACAAAAGAAAACACTTTCTTAATATTTAAAGGGAACAAAGAACTTTAATTACTTATCACACCTCTATATATTCATGTCTGTATATTCATTAATAAAATACTCTACCTTTTCATAACCCCATTCGACCCAGCCACTTTTTCCTGAAAAACAGTTAAGAAGTACAAGCCCATCGACAATTTTCGGGTATTTTAAGCCATATCGACACAAGATATTTGCTCCTGCGCCAATCCCAAGTCCAACAAAAGATTTCAATTTGAAGTGGCCCACCACATCGGCGACCATTTCAGCCAATTCATCCATAGTCGGATAAACATATGTCTCCGGCAGTTTGGCAGCTCCTTCGTGTTGTCCCGGTGCGTCTATATGGTAGATCGTAAAACTATGCAAGATGGGAGTCATCTCGCGACAGTTTAGGAAACTCTGAAAGGCCGAAACGTGATTTTGTCCAATGTCGTGAAATGTCACTATGGCTGGTTTACCTTCGGTGCCATGTAATGTAACTTGAAAATTACCACGGCTAGATTGAATTTCTTCTTTGCGTATACATGCTTTCTCTTCGGGTACATGAAAAATCTCCCCGTCTTCCTTGTCAAGGAGTTTGATGTTTTGCAATTCCATTCCTCCTGCGTGAGTGTGTTCACTGTATTGTTTTGATCTGTTTACTTCAGCTTGAAAAAAATCTGTTGTGACAGATTGGTCCCCCGTGGTGATTTCCGCTTTCGTCGCATGTTTACCATTAAAATTTGAGACAGACATGAGTCTTTGTTTGAACAAGATGCCCACTCGAACAACGCGATCTACTCGAGAAACACACGCATTAAGCGCGTCCACACCTATTTTCCCCTCCAGAAACCAGGAAATAATAGAACCCAATGCATCAGTCTCATCAAATCTTTTCCAGTGATCTTACCCATGGGTGTTTTGCCAAAATTCTTACAAAAATCAGCAGGACGACGAACAGAAAAAGGACTGTTGTGTAAGCAGTTAAAATAAACAATTAAACACAACTTCATGATATGGTAATCTAATAGCTTGCATTTACTGTGACAAGTGATCAAGTGTATAAAATCACAAAATCATAAGCTTATTGGAGGTGAATAAGTTAAATAAATACTTCACAATTTGAAATTATGCAATGTTAAAAAATTATAAAGAAAGGGGACCCTACCCCCACTTCCAATGCACCCCTGATCTTTCCTCATTTTCTGTGAGTGTTTCCATTCAAGGCATAACAATATAGATAAATTGAAATTTTTTCTATCTCTAGCATACTCATCATCTACTCTTAGAAATTTATTGTTGAAATTGTTTCCAAGTAATTGTTTCCAAGTTAGTTTCCAAGTGATGAATAGCCATCAAAAATTTACTACAATATTTTAAAAAATTTTACTTTTAAAACTTTTACAACAATTTACTTAAATTAAATAAACATCAAACTATCAGGATATTTTGACAACAAGAAGAGTAGATTTGATTGCTGGAACTTGTTTACGTTAAAAACCTTGTTTCTTAACATTCAGTTTGCAATTTCTATTGTGCTTTCATATAAATAGGGAAACATTTGATTCCATGAAGACTTTATTGTTCCAACTAAAATAAATGCTATCTTAGATAAGGTTTACACATGTTACCAACATAATTTTAAACATAAAAAGATAGCATGCACAAAACACAATTCAATATCCATTTAAAAATTTTCATGTCTATAAGTTTATGCAAGGCATGCAAGTGATATTTAAGAAATTAACCAATTATTTCACACTTCAATAACCACCATTTCAAATGACTTATTTTCAAATATTGTGTAACTGAAAATTAATCATTTAACATGTATAAAAGCAGTAATGCAAAAATTAGTGCAAAGTTATTCAATCTACAAATAAAAGATGAATTACGAAACTTTCCTTGTTTGTAGCATTTTTCCGCTTTACATTCTCCTTTGCATGGGTTTTCACCAATACATGTTCGATGACATCTCTTAACTGTATTTTCACAAATCATAGTACAACCATCACAACTCATACGACATTCTTCAGACCGACATGTATAACTCTTTTTTTCACAACCATTTTTGCAAGTTATATTGCAAACTTTGTCACTGCATATTTCATTTTCTTGTATGGGTTTTTCTATTCCTGGACAGTTACCTTTACATTCTGTTTCGCAATTAGTCTTATCTTTGTCACACTCAATGTTACAAGTTGAATTCTCTGGGCATAATTGCTCACAAGTTTCAACATTTGGAGAACATTTCATATTACAATTTCTTGATGAACAGCTTTGCTTGCAACTTTTTGAAGAACATGTCATAGTGCTGCTACAGTTGAAACATATCTGCTGACAACTGCTTCCTGAATTGCATGCCATCTCTGGACATTGCCTATTAGCACAAATTTGAAGACATGTGTCATTCCCATTGCAACTGAATGGTGGGCAATTTACGACACTAGGGTTACATATTTGTTGTATCCCAAACACTCCACTGACAAGAAAAACATAGAGAACTACATTTTCCAAGGCTTTTGAATACATTGTGTTGACAAAAATCTAAAAAAATGAATGTACTGTGAGTTATTTCACGAGTCAACTGAAACAAACCAAACTTGCATCATAAGTTGTGTCAGTGTCAATCAAAGAGTCTTTTGAAATAAATATAAGGCACTTGTTTCATATATGATGTATTATATAGGAGAAAAACATCGCCAAATTATTTATAACGACGACTAAATATTCAATTAGTTCTATTACTTTCAAAACCGAATTCAATTATACGATAATGGTTATTGATAGAATGAATTGCACTTGACACTTCATCAATCATAATAGTATAAGCAAAATTTGTACCAAAAAGAAAAAAGGTGTCATTTTTGATAAAAATATGCTATAGAATTTGGGCCTCATGGGGTAGTGTCGAGCTCTTAGTCTTAGAGCTTTAGATCACATGTGCAGCTCGCAGGTGAAGAAAAATTTTGTTGCACAAAAAACTACACCATTAAAAGATGTAAAATGTAATCCTTTTTCTTTTTTTAATAGCTAGCTACAGCCTAAACAGTTCTTACGGCTGTCGGCGCTTCCATCAATCTTTCGTATTTCGTTATAAGCCAATGATTACATGGCCACTTATATGTAGCATGCCCGAATCCATGTGTAATCAAGTGCCGAAAATGTTATATTTATTCAGTATACTCTTCCGTATACATACATATCAACTTTGATTATACATTTGTGGACAAAAAGATTTTCATAGCACATAACACAGGCACATCGACAGAGTGGCATATATCGAACCGCAAATATCATTACAACATATTAAACATACATATACAGGCTTATCTCAAGGCAAAATACCATATGGTCACAAATTAAATTTTACTTCAACGTTAACATAATTTAGAATAAAATAAAAGTGATATTAGAAAATGCTACATTAGGGAACACTTCGTAAAAAATTTCATATCTTTTCTTACTCTTATCACCATAGGCAAGGCCCACAATTTGAACCCTTTCATCAAGTAAAGTTATACATAAACTCTAGTTGTCGTCTCAAATCATTCAACGGAAATAAATTGCTAGTGAACATAATATTTTAGTCGAAGCAAAATAATAGAGCGTTACCTTTCAAATATGGACGTTTTTTTGCACAGAAATGGCTGTTAGATTTTTTTCGATACGCCACGCAATAATTTGAATAATACTGACAGAAAGGAAGGGCTTCTCGTCGCGTTTCCGCTTGTTAACCAAGTGTATTAAATATTAATGATTACGAATAAGGAGTGTCTCAGGTCAAGCTTATGAATTGACAACGTGGAAAACGTCGCTATTCAATTATGAATATATTTCTTTAGACTGTTTCAAGATATCATTGGGATAAGGTTTGCAATTATAAAATGAAACTCCAATGCTCATCAGTAATTACATTCAACCTTGCAGGGTGTACAGTAGGCTTTTTGTTAAACATGTAAAGTTCAAATTCTTTACCAAAAATTCGTTATCTTTTACGTTCCAGTCAATCCTTATCATCAGATCAAAATGCAACCAGAGATTTTTGAAACATTCACGAAAATAGCTATCCAGTGGATAGCGCTGTTGGCCTTCCTGAGGTAGAGGCTTCAAGTTATCAGACAGCGATTAAGCACAGCTGTCAGGATCAAACAGGCAAATATGGTATGCAATCTCGATATTCCAGTAAAAGTTTATTTAAGACACACCTTACAAGGTAACAATAACGATTATAGTTTGTCCTCCACACTTATAGATCGTGAATCTATGAAACTGGAATTTCTCATATTCGCAAAGGCAGAACTGCTTCCCCCCTCTCCCCATCCCGTACGCCTATGCCTATTTGGACTCTGTAGATCGTTAGGTTTTTGTAGATCGACGATATGTTTATTGTTTTGTCAGCCGTTGTGAATTTTTTTTGATATGCTTCACGAGACTTTAGGCATTTACACCCTATAGTCAGATTATAAAGATAACTAGCATTCATCTTACGCAACCAATAAATGATAAAGCCTTTGAACTTTATGTACTCATGACTTGCACGTTTTACTTTGCCGGCCACGATTTGTGTTTTTCTAAATAAATTGGCAAAGACAAAATGGACAATCTAGAATTGGAATCAAGGAAATCCTGGTCTCTAAGACTACAAAAGATTACCTGTTTTTCTCGATATCGTGGAACATTAGAAAAAGTTTTTTTCGCTTTATTCGCTATTGTATCTCAAGTTGGTGTCAACGTATTGCTGCCCTTGTGGATTGACTCAACAATATTGAAGAATAAAGATGCAAATGGTACAACAGTTAATCAAAGCACGATTTCTTTCTATGATTGTTTGAAATGAAACACACAAATAGATGATAATTTCACAAGCAAATCATTAAACAAGACACCCTCCTCAGGCGTTTAATACGCATGTGTGGCAAAACTTATAGAAACAAAAGTGCACCTGTAAGTCACAAGTGTCAGAACCTAAATTTATTTTTGTTGTATTCCATACGGACATACATATATCCTCAGAAAAATTTGCCCAAAAAATGCTATAAGCATAAAAAGGCATCGCGATCAATGTAATGCTTCTTAATTACACACAATATGTGCTAGATCACGAGCCATTTAAAATTTCAGGACACGTGTAAATCATACGTAGATTTGCAGTCAAACACAATCTCGTACATATATATTTTATTGCGGTGCTATGTACATTTGTGTTTAATGTGCGACAACGTTCCGAGTCGAAGAAGGAGGTAAAAAATAGAAATTCAACATGCACGAGGAAGATTATGAAAAAACAGTAACATTCGGCTGTATTAAATCAAACCTTACTATAGCAAACATAGTATTCGGTTTCCTATCAGTTTTTGGTCAATTTGGTTATCTTATCTGTCTACCTTTGTGGATCGATTCCGGTTCCTCATTTCAAAACCTCAACGACAAGAGTGAAGTTAACGCATCAAGCAAAATACGTGAAAGTATTACATCTCCTTTGGCGGGAAACAAAAGCGACATTTACAAACCAAGAATCGATCCAATATTTATCTTGTGCTTTACAAACGTGACTTTACTTCTCGCATTCGCAATATTACTGCTCATTGCTCACGCATTGAACAGGAATGAAATTGGCGAGACAGAGAGAAAATTCTCACAACTACAATTTGTCCGGACGGGAATTCTCGATGCGGCAGGTTGGTTTTTCGCATCCTTCGCAGGCAGTGGTAACCGAACATCACCATCATTACAGTCCATTTTGATCAACGCAATAATTCCACTGACAATTATAGTTCGGTACGTAAACGTTGAGCAGGTATGAGAGGTCTAATGATTTTTCATAAAGAATACCAACATATCGTTCCCATTGCTTTTGGAAATGTCATCTACGTCATTGATTCGCCAGTCGGTCAATGTAGGAAACAGTAATAATTCCCAGCACAATCTAGGGGGGGGGGAGGGGTAGTCATCTCTGATTCCCGCCCTGGCTGAGTGACAAATCATGCAATGACGTAAAGCAATGACGTTGAACACAAAATCAATAGATATTATCTTCTGGATGTTAGTATTTTAGCTGTGCTTTATCATCATTACCTTAAAACGACCATCTTTCCAACGATACCAGTTATCCGCCCAATTATTGATTATTGTTTACAAAAGTTTGCTGTTCTCTTTTCTTTTCAAATAATAGATATATTGTACTTCGTAAAGTTCCAACAATTCGTCAATTTTTGTGTGCAATGGTCGTTTTGGTTTCATTATTCATCTGTCTTCTCCCCAAAATATTCCCTTCCGTTGACTCAGAAGCCGTCGGTTCTGGCAATGGAGCTAATGGCGTTGCTGGTGTTCTATGGCCGTTGTGTTTTATGATGTATTGCGTGAGTTACAGCTCTATTAAGTGAGACACTGATAGTTTGTACAAATATGAATAGATTATATGCAGTGAAATATTGGTATGAATTAATCGTGTTTACAAACTGAGTATAGCATTGAATGGAAATTGAACACCATATTCAGTATGTACTCAATGCATTAACACTGTATTAACACAATATCAAAACTATATTAACACTATATTAGTACTATATTAACACTACACCGTACATAATCTACCGATTTGTATCAACTATCAGTGTATCATATTACTTCTTTTGAATGAAATAGCGAGTAAAGTTGAAGCTAAGCCATGATTCCATGCATAGATCGTCGTTACTGATCTTCCCCAAAACATGAACTGTCAAACTTACTGAATATAATAATACATTACTAAGCATCCTATCTTACATGTTCCATTAATCTCACGCACAGGTTCCAATCTCAGCCTTTACTGTGTATGTTGAAAGAACACTGACAGTAAAACTTGAATCGACCGGTCGTGCAGTAAATTTGATTTTCTTCCTTTTCTGGTCGCATGTGTACAAGCTACTCTTTGTTCTTTGCATCTTCTGGGCAAATTTAATTCCTGGATTTGGTTACGCAGACAACATTCACAATTTCTGGGAAAAGTAAGTGTAAACATTTACGACCATTTGACGGTGGATAAATAGTTTCTTTGTGACGGATAACTAAGAGCACATTCTCTCTCTACTTATTTCAATTGTAACGTCAATGTCAATTCGCAGTTCATAAGCGACTATTTGTGCAAAAACTGGACATACTTTAGCGCACACGTTGTAATCGAAGCACCTAACCCTCGGGTTACGACGTTTGTTCTTTTTAACCAATAAACACATAAAATGCCACGTGCACTTCTTGGCCATGATAGACCAGTTCACCTACAGCTAAGATGACATAGATGCCACGTGCACTTCTTGGCCATGATAGACCAGTTCACCTACAGCTAAGATGACATAGATGCCACGTGCACTTCTTGGCCATGATAGACCAGTTCACCTACAGCTAAGATGACATAGATGCCACGTGCACTTCTTGGCCATGATAGACCAGTTCACCTACAGCTAAGATGACATAGATGCCACGTACACTTCTTGGCCATGATAGACCAGTTCACCTACAACAAAGATGACATAGATGCCACGTGCACTTCTTGGCCATGATAGACCAGTTCACCTACAGCTAAGATGACAAGGATGCCACGTGCACTCCTTGGCCATGATAGACCATTTCACCTACAGCTAAGATGACATAGATGCCACGTGCACTTCTTGGCCATGATAGACCAGTTCATCTACAGATAAGATGACAAGGATGCCACATGCACTTCTTGGCTATTTGCTTCAATCCTTTACTCAACAAGTAGCATTTTCATTACAAGACTTTTCTCATTTCTTCACCAAAATGAACATTTGTTTTCATGAGATTTGACTTTTGTTGTCCTGTGGCAAACAAAAGCTTCAATACATCATTAAATATTTCTTGCTTGTCCTCGTTCTCTTGCAGCATGTCTTTTGGTTTCAAGTGTTTTTTTGGAGGACGTGGATGTGGCATAAATAGTGGGACATCAGGAGCTTTGTATATTTTTTCATTACTCTGTAATGTTACTGGAACATCTTTCATAAGAAAGCATGGAAAAGGAGCAACCTTTTCTGTCCTTCTAAGTGTAAGTTATTGGCAGGAAATGTGTAGCTGTAGAAAGTTTGTAATATTTTTGTCTTACTTTTGTATCTTTATCTACCGCAATGTCTTTTGATGTAAGAACGCCATAACGCTCATTCTTTATGTTAAACAAAAAGTAAAATATTTTTACATCTCATGCTTGCAAGAATAGTTAGCGCGTTAAAAACAGTTATGATCTTCAAGACACATACTGTTACCCTTAACTGTAAAAATATACAGGCATCGGCGAATTAAATCTTTCGCCTTGATTCATATCTTACAGCAAACAGTGCTCATTTTAGTGCATACATATTTGGGTTATGCGCTTCACAATCCTGCTCCCCTTAAAGACTTTTAAAGTCCACCATAAGGCTAATTTCACTTACCACCTATTGTTACACATCGCAGTAAACTCACCTTCTTCATGACTTTTATAGGCCGTTGGCACCCCACTTTGTTTTCTATTTTGGACATTATTCCGCGAGAGTCCCTTTGGTTTTCATCCAAATGTGACCACAACAACGTGGTGTAACATTGCAGGACTTGTACTAATGATGCCAGCAATATTCATCTATAACATTGAGTAAGTAATGGTTTGGTCATCTAAATCATTCACAAATCAAATCAACAGTGATAAATCTTAGCGGCGAAGCCAGCAACTTCCACAATGCATAGTTTCAGCAAATTTATCATTAATGTATTTGAAAAATTGATACTATTAATTGTTCAGTGAATGAACACAAAAACAACTTCCATTGAAATAGTAAAAAAAGACTTCGCTTCGCTACTCACAAGCAATGACGCACACGTTCAGTTCTTGACACTCATATTTTTGTAAATGTATCTTTCCCTTGCATCAGGAATATATGAACAAAAAATACAATGTACAAGACATGCAATGTAAACTTATGTCTATTCTGAAAATCTCCATTCCATTTGAAATGTTAATAAACGGACAGACACAAAAATAGTATGTTCTCCAAATGCATCGAGGTGAGTGTACTGTATGTAACCAAATTCCAAGAATTTGTTGGGTATTATTTTTACTCTGGTATTAAAAGCTAAAATCAATCATTATTTTTGTCACAGGTCCCAACATGTTGCAGTGCCTCAGAGCAATAACGATGAGACTGAAAACGAAAGAACACGTCTTCTGCAAATTCAATCAAGAGGTAGACAGACATCTTTAACTCCATTCGATAAGAACACAGACACCCTCCTCTCCAATCTATAAGAACAAAGACACCCTCCTCTCTAATCTAGAATAACACAGACATCCTCCACTGTAGTCCATGCATACATTACCAGGAAGGCAACACCGAGTTTTTGATGGTAACATCAAAAAACTTTGGCAACAATTGAAATACTAAAATTGCTTTCAGTCTTTGTTTATAAACAATTTATTTAGGCGCAATTGCACAATTAGCATCAGTAATTGAATCGGGCCATACTTTATCAAAAACCAGTTATTTGGAAAATGTATAGATAAGAGGAAAAACTATTATTGAGTGATTTAAAAACTTATTATATTGCAACGATTAATTTATTAATTCATTTATACATTATTCATAGCTTTATACAACTGTAATATGGTAAAACAATAAATAACACAAAATATTGCGACATAAGGCTTTATTTGAAAGTGATCCCTGTCACAGGAGTAAGTAAATGATGATAATTTCGCAAGTCTTGACAATTTATGAGCATGAACATGTTGTGAAAATGCATCATAACCACAAATCGAACCTAGATTGACGATCGATTATTTTTGTTGTTCGCAAACGTTTGAGAAACAACAAAAAACCAACAATCAAGAGCAATGACCAGATATGTAAAAACTGCAGGTTTTTCGCTCAAGTCGTCCCTAGCAAAAATACTATTTTCTATTTTTGCCATTATCGGCGAGGCAGGAATGGCCATTACATATCCACTTTGGATCGACTCCACAGTTTCGCCAAACCTTCCTTTACCAGTTATGGGAAACAATGGCTCTCACAATGTCACTAAATCGAACAATGCCCACAATCATTCTCAAGTAGACGCTTTCTTCGTGTTTTTATTTTCAACAATGGTATTTGTTCTTGTATACGGTATGGCGTATCTGTTTCAATGTTTGACAGGCTATGGGACGAACCGATCTGCCATTTTCCATCGTCAGTTTATTTTGGCAGCATTTTTCACCACAGTCAGCGGTATTTTAATGTCATTTTCAAGCAGTGGTACAAGAACGGCACCATCACTTCGCGCAATTATTATTAACGCTGCATTGCCGTTCACCATCATCATTCGGTATGTAAAGATTAAATTCCCGAACAGATGAGCAAAGGTTTCATTCATGCAAAGTAAACTGACAGATGTGTTATATGAAAAAAGGAATATTCTTTCTTCGTTTGGCAATCTTGTTGCGTAAAGGGGGGGGGAGGGAAAAGAAAAAAATCCGAATGTTGTAACCATCCAGCAAACGGAAAATTTATTAAAGCAGTCGTTGGCTTACCAAAAAAATAATCTATTTAGACAAGGGTCACTATACATACTGTGGTCTGATACAGATACAAAACTAAAGTAAACAATGTATTTATAAATTTGAATCAAGCCATATATTTTATCATAGTATCGTAATTTCAATAAGCCATTATTAATGACCGAGTGCAAGGTCTTTACGGAGAAATATCGGACCGAGGTTTTTTTGTACAGACCGAGCCCGTAGGGAGAGGTTTGTACAAAAAGACAAAGGTCCGATATTTCTCAGTAAAGACCGAGAAAGCGAGGTTATTAAAAGATTTATTATATGGCATTATTTGACCTGAAACGAAGCTTGCTTCTTTCTCGTCCTTGCTGTTTTTACAGGTTTTCACTTTTCTAGTTTTCGTCCTTCTAGTTTAAAAAATAAACTCGTTTAACTGTTTTCCAAGTGTTTTTCCTTCGAATCACATTCGTAAATGTTTTTTTATTTCGTTTATTTTGCGTTTAGCTATTTGCTTTACGAAGTTTGTTTACATTTGACTGTAAAATTTCGCGTTTTGGACCGTCGTCGATTACGTCGAAAATAATGGACAGGCAAAAATATTTCTGAGCCAATCAAAGCGCATCATTTAGCCGGAAGTGACGCTTGCAATTACTCTTAATGAGGCGAATGAGGTAATTGAGGCGGGTGCAGCTAATTACTGATACTATGATGTAATAACATTATATAAGTTCGTTTATCATCTTGCTATTTGCATTTGTCTTGTACATGTAGAAGACGTCATCTAAATAAATTACCTGGACATGTTGAAACCTCGTCTAAATAAACTACTTTTTGCTTAGAGAACGACTGCTTTATATTAAGCCTTAAGGTACGTTTACACACAACGATTTGTCGGGCTGACACTGACGTCATATTACGAGTCTTTCCATATATGGAAAATTCTCGATATTTCGAGTCGGGCGACTTTCTAAATATGGCAAGAACACGTCATATGGCGTCAGTGTCGGCCCGACAAATCGTTGTGTGTAAACGTACCTTTAACCTCACCCCGTTTTATCGATATAAAGTTTTATTGCTATCTCAAAATAATCAAAGAATTTATGAAACATGTTCTGCTTTACTCAACAGCACAGAAAGTTCTGTTCACGTTTTTCTTTCAGATTTTTAATGTTACGCAAAAAACCAACTCGACGAAAAGCGGGATGCGCAATGATCATTTTGCTTTCCTTGTTCATCTGTCTCCTTCCCAAAATTGTTCCTTCGATTGATGAAAAATCAGACAGTTCTAGTAACGGAGCTAGTGGAATTGCTGGAGTTTTGTGGCCTTTATGTTTGATGATAGAGAGTGTAAGTCAATATAGAGAGATGTTCATTAGATATAAGGGACGGGGCCACGAATTTCAACCTGAGGGGGGGGGTGTTCTACAACTTATATTTACTAAATTTTCCGTGTCTTATTTTGCCTCAATTTAGGCTATATATATAAATGTTGGCAAAAGCTTAAAATTGGGAAAAAGGGGGAGCTCAAGACACCCCCAGGCTCTCCCTTTGGCGCCGTGCCAGGACATGGTGACCAGGCAAGATAATACGAGCCATCCTTAACTACACCCTTTCCAAATAAAGGTGAACAAAATGCGTTCAAAAGTTCATGAATTATATCCACCGCAGCTAACCAATAAAATTCCAAATTTAAAAAAATTTGGACCCGTTTGAATGTATTAGCCAAATTAAAATTAACCATAAGTTAAGCCTGACCTTTTCCAAAACACTGTATGAATAAGATTTGGTTCTAGCTTGTTAGGATTAAGCTGATAAGCATTTGGAAAAAGTGAAATATGTTATTTACGCAAGTTAACTAATGTGGTTTACTTTCTTGCAGGTGCCGTTTGCGTCATTTAATGTTTACACAGAGAAAATTTTGAAAAATAACGAACAGTCGAGCAAAGATCAAGTTGGAATATTATGCTACATGTTCTGGTTAAATGTTTACCAAATGTTATTAGTCTTCTGCTTTTTCTGGGTTGATATCGTTCCTGGTTTTGGCTACACACACAATATTGAACAATTTCTGGAAAAGTATGTAGTGCGAGCTCTTGTCACCGCAAAAAGCGCAATGAACCAAAATGATTCACAATTCTTGTAGAAAGATAAGTTAGATTTTAACAGAATAACTCCTCATGAGGACACTAGAAGAGAAGTCGTCTAAGAACATCTGATCACTTCTAACTTTGAAAAAGAATATTTATAAGGTTGTAGGTTTTTACATAAGATCACTCCTGATGAAGCCACTAAACTGGAGTACAACCAGCAGGAGAATTTAAGAAGTTAAGTTTGAACATCATATCGCTTCTGTAAAAGACACTACATTGGGTATATAAGAACTTAGGTTTCACAATCAGATGACTCCTGGCAAAGAAACTACAATGAAATATATAATGATGCAAGTTTTAAGTAGAAGGTAACTAAAATTCTAACATGAGACTTTTTTCAGTTTTACATTTGGATTTCGATGTTTCTTTGGTGGAGCAGGATGTGATGAAACTTCTGGATTGCGTGGCACAATGTACATTTTGATGAGTTTGTTGACTTTCGTGGCTGGTGCAGGCTTAATTAAATATTCGGAAGGCGCAACTTTGGCTGCTATTATATCAGTGCGTATTATTTTGGCTTTTTATTTTGGACAATATTTCGTGAATCCCCATTTGGTATTCATCCTCGTGTCACCATAACAACGTGGTTTAGTATAGCTGGTCTGGTAATTATGGTTCCCGCGATATTTTTGTACAACAGCGGGTAAGTTATATTTTCTTCATGTAATAAACTTGAGCAGTTGAATGTTCTTATTAACATCTCAATTACCTAATCTGAAAGTTGTCCCGAGAAACGCTAGGTAGTTCGAACATTATGTACAGGTAACAGAAAAAGTAGAATCTGAGACATACCACAATCCTCGAGAGCCAATCACGACGAATCAATGCCATTCAAGGTCTCATAGATTTGACTCACGCACGTCATGTTTTATATGTTGTTTCATAGAGCCGAAAACGTTGCGATGGAAAAAATCATCAATGCAGACGAAGAAACTGAACTTCTTTCCAACACCAGTACGGTCAGGACTTAATAAGAAGACAACATGTCTATATTAACCGAATATCAGAATAATTATTTCAAAGAACATTCGTTAGTTAAGGGTCTATGAGTCACATGCAGTAGATAGGATGTAAAACGTGTATATATCATGAATAATAAATGTGAAGGGTCAAAACAATTAAATGCTCAAAAACAATTCTCATGAAAACGACAACTCTTTAACCCCACTTCATAAACTCAATGAATTTCTCATGTCTTCAAATAAAAGACAAAACGTAAGTCTTATAAAATCAAATAAACATCATCTAATTGTAACCATCATAATAAATGGACTTCTTCAAAGTTTGTACAAGTTGGACGACCCTAGTTATACCGAGAATTCCTTTTCCACCTGACAACCGCTTGTAGTTACAACATGATTCTCGATTCGAAATAGAATGAAAAGTTTCGGCTATGAAAATTTCCAAAATATGATTTGCTGGACATACTTTTGATTTTCGGTAAAAGAAAATATTGTAACGAACCAGGAAAGAATCAGAAATTATTTTTTTGCGCAAGTCATCACAGCCGGGGTTGACCTGATTGACTGGCTCTCAAACGTAACTCAAGGTCAATGATCGTTGACAATTCTGCTGTGTTTTCAAGAAAAAAATGTCGGCTACATCATGATCACGCCAAGCGTGTACAAACCAAAAGTTCTAAACTAAATTTAAATGATTTGGTACGTATCTCATCGTAGTAACTTATATTTCATCAATTATACATCATTGTACCTTATATTTCATTCTTAATGCATTATTGTACCTTATATTTCATCATTTACACATCATTGTACGATATATTTCATCATTTATACATCATTGTACCTTATATTTCATCATTTATACATCATTGCACCTTATATTTCATCATTTATACATCATTGTACCATAGTACCGATTGTAGAAAAAATAATTTCATTAGAAAATACTCTGCATACGCAATACCATCATATTAACTTATATTTAACTTTGGTAAAAAATTTCTGGAAAAAAACAAACTATTTTACTGATTGCGACAAGCAAGACTGGTTGTAAAGTTTTCGTTGCATAAAACAAAACCAGTCACAACATTTGATAAACGCGTGACCTACGAGTACGCAAAAGTCAAATACGATCACAACCATTGATCACGACCATTAACAGGACAAACTTGTATTATTTAAACATTTGTAATCTTGCATACACACATGCACACCAAAAACAAAACCATTTTGACAACAAACACTTTCATATAAACGCATGCGACACATCAGGATGACAGACTCGATCCAAAGAGAAAATTACCTCAAAATCGGTCCTTTTTCACTAAAGTTTTCAATAATCAACACTTTTTTCGCTGTCATTACAATCGTTAGTCAAGCAAGCATGAATATCACCTATCCACTTTGGATTGACTCGACGAATTCATTGACCTCAAAAACGCCATCGTTTCAATTTAGCGAAAGTACTGAATGGTCGAAGGTTTACAATGTAACCGATGAAAAAACTGCTCATCATGCTCATGTAGATGCTTATTTTGCGTTAGTTTTTACGACAATAGCTAATGTGGTTATCAGCGGAACGGGATTGTTATTTTTGAACTTGTTTTACCATGGCGAGACAAAGTCAAGTCTCCCACATCGCAATGTGATGTGGGTTAGTTTTCTGATGTGTGTGTCTCAATTATTGATCTCGTTTTCATGCAGTGGCACCCGGACAGCGCCATGGATACAAGGAATTCTTGTCAACGCTACAGTGCCTATAACGCTAATAATGAGGTTGGTGAAGTTGCCAAATATATAGCATATTTTTCAATTTCATGGTATTGTTATTGATGATCAATATTGTGCCCGTGAAATCGGGCTTCTTTTCAAAAGAAATCAATCGCTCCGGCTGAATATATGAACTACCCCCCTCCTCCCCCCAAACTAAAGTTCTAAGGACGGCTCTGACCGCTATGACTCCTCAACCTAATAACTGATTTATAGTAATATTAGATTTATAGTAATTTACTCCGATTAACTGGAGTTAACTCGAATTTCACATTAATTCAAACAAATTTTCATTTCGCATGGTCAAATTTCCCTGGTTAACATGAACTTTTAATCTCGAAACGTTCTAAGGTAAATCTGAAGCGTTCAAAATGTAATTTCGGTTTGAATGTAAAATTGATACATAAATGTGCATACAAAATAGTTCACAAAAGTTCATTACGAGCTATTTTCCATAATCGCATTACAACTTTGATGATACTGACTGATCCTGTATATGCAGTTGGTAACTATATGAAGTAGTTATGGATCTTTCTAAGTAGTCAACTATCTGTATATTGCTTTGTTGTAGCTCACAATTGTACATAAACAGTAAAACTAGTAATGATTTCGTATTGACATATTACACAAAACCTAACAACACCTCAAGAACTAGAAAACTTGAACAATTTTTCTGTTTGGAGTCCCAGCTATCAGGGTGGGAGTTCTACTGTAATTGCCATAATAATAAGAAAGACGACACTCAAATCATAAAAGGCAGCTACGTGTCGTAACAAGATCCAAATCCGTAGAAAAACTTACCGCGTGTGATTATAATTAGCTGACAACACGTCGTTGACTAACAACTCATAAGGAATTTCTTCCATTCTTTTGCAAAGCTGTCCATAGCCACCTTCACCCAAGAAAAAGAAATAATTTCAATGTAAAAGATGGAGGTTTTTACATTTTCCCAGAATGCATTGCACCTATCCAATATAAATTGCCGGAAAGATGGCAAAGGCAAATTATATTCTAAATTTGGCAAAAAAAAAATAAAAAAAATCACCTGTCTTTTCCTATTTGTATCCTCCACGACGTAAACTCGCCTTTTAACTTAACCGACCATAATGCATAAAGATCATTTTTAATTCCAATTCACATGGTGTAAATTTTTGTGGTGTATCAATGCAACCTACATTTGAAACGGTCCAAGAATTATTTCCATTCTCCTTTCAAACTGTGTCTAATTTTGGTAAACAATATAATAAACAAAGCCAGGCTAGACCAGTAATGTTGGCGGGAGTGACAAGTGTTTTAATTTCATCATGAAGTTTAGCCTCCTTCAAACAAACAATATATAAAGTATAATCTCACTCACCATTGTGGCAATCATTATGAGCTGATGCTATTTTTCAGATACTATGAAATTTAAATAAAAAACTGTGCATTTGCTTGCAACTAAAGACTAAATTCAACCGTATCATCTCTAAGTAATTTTCGTTTGATTGATGTGTGTTATTTAACTGTAGATACCATTTGGGGCAGCAGCTGTCTATATAGAAAAACAATGAAAAGGCGCAGGACATGCGATCAAATTGGCGTGATTCGTTTTTTATTCTGGTTGAATGTTTATCAACTGTTAATGGTGCTTTGCTTTTTCTGGACAGACATCATACCTGGTTTTGGTTACACAGATAACGTTTATTAGACAAGTACGTAGCGTCGAGAGGGTGCGACGGAATTGCATCTTTGATGAAAGTCACTTGCAGTATAGTTTCGCTAATTGACTTTGGTGGAAGTTTGCTAAGTCCTCCTTATAATACTACTTTGAACTGAAACAGACATATTAACATATATTATTATATGGCAAGCGTCACATCCGGGAAAATGACGCGATTTAATAGGTTGAGAAACATGTTTGCCGGTCCATTATTTTCCTGTAATGGACCACGGTTCAAAACGCGTAATTTTACAGTCAAATACAAGTATACAAGTAGTTATAAAATTTTTTATGCAGGCTCACTTCGAGGATTGCCCTCGACGTATACTCCAAGTGACTTAATCAATAAAAAAGTTGATTTATTCTGACATCAATTTAGGCAAAACAGCCGTATATACACGACGAGAGAAAAACCTGCACCTTGCCTTCAGTAGAAAAGTAAAAAAATTTTCTTTTAGCTTTGCATTTGGCTTCAAGTGTTTCTTTGGTGGAGAGGGATGTGATGCTTCAAGTGGCATTCGTGGAACGATATACGTTTTAAGTTATGTGACCAACGCCACCACATGCGTAAGTCTAAGGAAATATGCAGAAGGCGCAACGCTTGTTGCTCTAATAAGTGTAAGTTTTAACTTCATCAATAACACTAGCAAAAGCTTTCAAGTTTGAACTTACTATGTCTATATTATAGCGACTCTTAGGCAGTTTCCACTCCTCTGACATTCATATTTTGGACATTATTCTGTGAGGAACCTGTTTGCCTTTCAACCAAACGCAACCATCAAAACTTTGGTCAGTGTGACAGGACTCGCATTAATGGTGCCTGCGATACTCTTATACAACACCGGGTAAGTTAGTTCCACAAAAAATTTAAGGTACTTAGTAAGGTAGTCACTGATACACGAAAACACTCGTTAGGCTCGATTTTCAAAAATGCCAGACTAGTCCCGTTATTCTTAACTATGGGTAATGCAAAATATGTCACAACACATACAATAATATTTATAAAAGCACGGGGGCAAGCCAAAGTTGCCATTGCATCGCCGAAAAACGTTAGAAAGTGCTGGTTGCAAAATCATATGTGAAACAATATGAAAATTATTGTTTGTCAAGTTAGCACAGGAGCAAACGATGAATATCAACCCATTTGAGTCGTCCCTGTTACCAAATTTTCTTTTGACAACAAAATTTTTTGTGTACCTCTCAGTAAGGATTAAAACTACCACCACCAACTAAGGCTAAAACTACCACCACCAACTAAGGTTAAAACTACCACCATCAACTAAGGTTAAAACTACCACCACCAACTAAGGTTAAAACTGCCACCACCAACTAAGGTTAAAAACTACCACCACCAAGGTTAAAACTACCACCACCAACTAAGGTTAAACTACCACCACCAACTAAGGTTAAAACTGCCACCACCAACTAAGGTTAAAACTGCCACCACCAACTAAGGTTAAAACTACCACCACCAACTAAGGTTAAAACTACTACCACCAACTAAGGTTAAAACTACCACCACCAACTAAGGTTAAAACTACCACCACCAACTAAGGTTAAAACTACCACCACCAACTAAGGGTAAAACTGCCACCACCAACTAAGGTTAAAACTACCACCACCAACTAAGGTTAAAACTACCACCACCAACTAAGATTAAAACTACCACCACCAACTAAGGGTAAAACTGCCACCACCAACTAAGGTTAAAACTACCACCACCAACTAAGATTAAAACTGCCACCACCAACTAAGGGTAAAACTGCCACCACCAACTAAGGGTAAAACTACCACCACCAACTACGGTTGAAACTACCACCACCAACTACGGTTAAAACTACCACCACCAAGAGTAAAACTAGATTTATACAGAGTATCTACGGTTTTGTTATTGACCTAAAGAAATTGAAAAGAACAGCGAGAAAACCAAATTGCTTCGCCAAGTCAATTCCAGCTACAATCAAATTGAAGATTCCTGAAGCAAAATCAAGAATCAATCAAAACAATGCGGCATACGTTGTCTTGTTGAACGTACTTTTGCTTGAAACGAACCTAAAACTCCACTTAAATATTTTGTAAAATTTAGAATAAGATTATCAGAAATTGACATTGCCAAACGTACCGTAATTCAACACTTCCTCATAATTTAACAGTAATGTAATAAATAAACAATGATCAAACATCAAGACATTTTGTACACCTGACATCCGTTTTGTTGACCCTTAAACGACCGGCACGTGAAACTCATGACCGGCACAAGCACAAAACTGACACAACACTTAGCACATGACAAGTTCTTGAATAAAGATAGAATTTTCGTGTTGAAAATACAAAGGCAGATCGCTTAAAAAACACAGCAAACACGTAAAGCTATCATAACTAAAAGGAATTCTGCTGATTCAAGATGTCAGTGAACGAGGAAAAGAAGAAGTTGAGTTTTGGTTGCTTCAAAGTAAATCTAACAATAGCTAATCTATTTTTCGCGTTATTGGGAATCATAAGTCGCGTTGGAATAAATGTTGCTCTTCCATTATGGATTGATTCGCAAAAATCTGAAGAGAAAACAACACAATCAAACAGCACTTGTTCAAACAGCACTGGCTCAAACCATACGAACACATATACACCGAAAATTGGTCCCTATTTTATTATATCGTTCCTTGGAATAATGCTTACTCTACTAAACGGCATAGCTCTTGCTGTTTACCGCTTATTTCACGCAAATGCATTCGGAGAAACTGAAAAAAGTTTCCCAAAATCCCAATTGTTTTTTGTTGCTTTGCTACTTTCGATGAACGAAATATTTATAGGATTTTCGTCGAGTCACGAAAGAACCCCATTATCTTTGCAATCAATTCTCGCAAATACGACAATTCCAATGGTTATAATAATGCGGTAAGTATAAAAATAGTAACATTAAAAAAAACCAACTAAAGACAGTTGTAACAATAATATATTCAACATATTACTACAACAGATAAAAATGTAAGAGAGACATTTATCAAGTTTTACATAATTTACATAACATTTACATAACATTTACATAACTGTGATAGTTTTCAGAAACATTTTCATCAACTGTTACGTCACACAATACATTATAAACACTTTTCTCGTTTAAAAGAGACTGCCTTTCTCTGTTGAAAGGGTTTAATCCGAAATTACCACCATATATCCATAAATTAAATAAATATCATTTCAACATTTTTTTGTTTAGATACTTTATTTTACGCAAACAGCCAACACGTCGAAAGCTTGTGTGTGCAACAGTGATATCAATTTGCTTGTTTTTCTGTTTCATTCCCTCGATTTTTCCATCAATTGGCGACAAGAGAGATAATAATGTCACTAACGGGACGGAGAGTATCAAATGGTCTCTGGTTTTCATGGCTGGCAGTGTACGTATGTACTCGTTGTTGTTTCGAAAGTCATACATCGGATTGTAAAACGAAATAATTCTAACTCGCTCACAATGAAAAAATATGTCAAACTATTCTTCACTTTTTGTTGAAATTTCTCCACAATCGTCATAGGTTCCAGCAGCAGCAAGTATGGTATACGGAGAGAAGATTTTGAAGACGGAAACGAGTTCAGAAAAACGTGAACTGAATGTTATGTATTTTGTTTTCATGGTGAGAGTTTACGTGTTCGTAATCGTGACATGCCTCTTCTTCGTCGATATCATACCAGGTTTTGGTTATGCACAAAGCATAAGTCAACTTTTTGAAAAGTACGTATTTTAAGGACCATGTTGTATGAACAATATCCACTTCATTGCTCAATTTAAAAACTTTTACTTTTTGACAATATTTGAGCTACACTAAGTTAATAGTGCATGTCGTCCTTGATACGACCGGCAATGAATTCATGTTTTCATTATAATCGCGTTCGATGATCGCTGTGTTGCAAAAACTCCCAAGTTGTCAACGTAAAAAGCACAAGAAACTTTATGGTATTTTTTTTTATTTTCGGCAAAAGGCAGAATGACCAGAATTTTGTATCCAGGCTTTAAGCAGCTACGTTCTGTGAAATTCTCGCCTACATTTTCTTTCGTTAGTCAACCCAGAGGGTTTCCTCCATTCAATTTCGTTTATCTTCAGGTATTGTTGCCTTGAGCAACAGAGGGTTAAGATTATGTACGTCTTTCTTTTGGCTATGTTTACAGCCTATTATGTTGAACCTAATTGTGTTTTTTTCTTCTTCAGTTGGTTTTATGGTTTTCAATGTTTCTTCGGTGGAGCTGGTTGTGATCGAATCTTCGGTTTTTACGGCACATTATGCCTTTGCATGATGATCACAAATTATATAGCTATGTCAAACTTAACACGATATTCTGAAGGTGCAACACTAGTTGCTCTTGTTTCGGTAAGTGCCAATAAACCTTGTCGGGAAAAGGGAAAACGACCCCTGACTTTACCCTTCGATCCTAAGACAAGTTTCAAACGTCGATAATAAGAAATTATAACGTATTTTCTTTTGTCTTTAATGCATTTGGCGCATGTAAATTTCGACGTCTGAAACTGACTTGAGTGGTAGATTCATAGTTTTGATCTTTCTTGATTTACTATAACGACAATTGTATTGAATTTCCAAAAAAAATCATGTTATTGACAGACTTCTGTCTATCAAAAACCACAAACGAAATGAAAACTTCCATTATTGTTCTACAAATCTAGACTGTCAGTACTCCATTGGGTGTTTTTGACAGATTTCTGTCTATCAAAAACCACAAACGAAATGAAAACTTCCATTATTGTTCTACAAATCTAGACTGTCAGTACTCCATTGGGTTTTCTCTTCTGGACAATTTTCAGTGAACCCCCGTTTAAATTCAATCCGGTTTGGCATAACGCAGTACTGTTCCCACTTTTCGGAGTTTTACCCATGATTCCAGCAATCTACTTCTACAAGACAGGGTGAGTAATTCATAACGATGACGCCTTGTGACGTCACCATAAAATAAGCGAATGAAATTCTCACGAATTGACCTTTTTTAAATTTTAAGAAACCAAGAAAAAGTCGTGGAAAAAAAACGTGAAAAAGAGGAAAGTCAAGCTCTAATGGAAGGAAATCATCATTCCATAAACAAATACGTGTAAAATGTGTTTGTTATTATCAATAATTCGAGGGGGGAAACGCAATACACGAGAAACATATAACTTAGAATAAATCGATTGGAATTGGGACGTGCTGCAGCTACAATATAACATGATTTTAATTAATCAGAGAAAGAGAAAGACAAATGCCTTACTTTTGGCAATCAAGTGCAAACTTTTAAAATAGTATGTTCGTTATGTTACAGACTATTATTTTATTTAAATATATGGAAAAACATGTCCATAAATTGCATAGAAAATATATAAATTCATGAAATACAGATGTATAATCTGGTTCAGTATTTCGAGTTGCCGTATTTGTTTTGATATTTCGATTAATCTAAATATCCAGTAGACATAGCAATCAATAAATCTGTTCAGATGTATTTATCCGCATATCTGTTTGAATGTTTTTGTTAAAACACTAGCGACGCTGTTAGATTGGAAATAGAGTTGCTCAGGGCTGGGATAATAGCAAGGATATTAGTTCAATTATTTTCAGTAATAAAACCTTTTGCTCAGATTCATTCATACAGTAAGCCTCAGTCAAAAATACACGCAAATGTGATCACAACAAGTTAAAGGTGGACGTACTAACCTTAGTAGACTATAAAGGAAATGCCAAGGTCCTGACCTTATTAGACTATTAGACTATAAAGGTGGACGTACTGACCTTAGTAGACTATAAAGGAAATGGCAAACATTTAACTTCATTCATGCATTTTTGATATTTCTCCATAAAATCCTCGTGAGGTTTGATCATCACGACACATGTTGGTCTTTTGGAATTCACAGAAATACCAAGGTCCTGTTGAGTATTAAGTATAAGTATAAGGAAAGTATACAGTATGAATTGCTACACAGTGTGAGTTGCTACCTGTTACATGTGTTGCAATTAAACAGTACAAGTTGTTACATCACTATGAAACCATACAGTATGATAACATGTGTATAACATGTGGAAAACTTACAGTAATGCTTTTGCATCAATGCTTTCCAACGTTGATTGTTTTCTGGCCCATGTAAAATTGGCCTGCGACAGGGTGCAGCTTAATGTGTATTGTGTAATGAGTTTTTCAATATTCAACTGAAGCAAGCATATTTCTTCTGCATGCTTCCGTTTTCTCCCACAAGCTTAAGTTATCAAGGGGTGGGTAAATATAGAAGAAGCAAAGCCTTCGTAGAAAACTGCTTTAGAATTGGAAGGCTTACCATGGGGTAAACAAATTCAAAAAATGTAACTAACCATTTTTGATGGTATGTAACAGTAAGGTACATTTCTGTCTTCACACATAACAGGCAAATGAGAATAGACATCAATAGGTGAAACATCTCCGGCTAAAACCACTACCCTAAAATAATTTCAAAAGTGAAAGGTACCTAAGACATAACCACTTACTAACTTGAAAAACAAGTTACTTTAATCTTCTATAAAATAACTGCCAGGACATGTTTCCAAATAACAGTTCAATTTGGTTCCTATATCACAGTAAGAGTTATTTCACTAATTCCTATCATGTTTTATACCTACCATTGTAGAATGGGTGAAAGAGATAGTCAAAAAATGAGAGATGTTAAGCAAACATAGAGTGCTCCAAGCAATAACATGAAACAAAACAACTTATAAACAAGAAGAGTTAAAGACCAAGGACATATAAGCGAACAAGAAGGAAGGACAAACATGAAAAATAGGAAAAGCACCATACCCTTTTTCTCCTTTTCTCAGTGCTTTAGTCACTTCTTTGACACCACGTCTAACTGATTTTACTTTAACAGCTATTTCAAAGGGAAAAAGTAAAATGAATTTAGATTGTTTATAAAAACATTTGTTTCAACACAATGACTCGCCAAGAACCAACATACTCAGGAATAATGTGTAATTTCACTAATTTGTGCGAGTAGGAAAGACAAGTGCTGAACTGTAAGTGATTAACTGTAGTTGAAGCGAAACGTGTTGCCCATAGTTGTTAAAAAAGTTCAGTTGAAGGCAACTTCAATTCAAGCATTTACTTATACCTTTTCTACAAGTCTTATATAACGTCTTGGTCAACTTCTTTGTAGCCATTGGTCTTGCAATTTCATTCACCATTTTCAAGAGTTCGTCATACGTTGGTTGACCTGCACTCGGACTTGCACAGGAAGATTCATTCACTTCTTTTTTTGTTTTTTTCGGTGTATCTATGTCAGTATTTGTCTCCTCCATTTCGACTGCATTCTCTTCTTTTCTTTTTTTCTTCTTCTTATGAATGCTAACATTCGTGTCTGCCATTTTCGCTTTGAAATTGAAGCCCACGTGTGGTCAACGTGCTGTGATGTCATCCTTCGGAGCAGCTTGGAGTTCACCGCTAAAAGGTCGTACAGTGTTAATTATTCCTATTTGAAGCACTGTGAAACTAAAAAAACAATTTTCTTATCGATCAAAAAACAATTTTTGTTTGACATTGCTAAAAAATAATTAACCACTGTGCAGAGAGCGGGAAATTAGACTTTGTAATCTGACTTACAGCCTAGAATCTTGAATTCTTGATTAGTAAGACACACGTCTACTCAATTGCCCCAATATGTTCATGAAATAAGCTTCGTAAATGAGGTAAGTTTTGCATGGTTTGAAACAAAATTATCAGAATCTGATGTGGACCGTGATTATATTTTGCTACAGACGTTACCTGGCAACATTAGGAAACCTTCATGGATTCTCACGCCAAAGTTATACAAAAATGAAGCTTAATTTGAAGTTTGCGAAAAATCAGTTCAGTTGTAAAAAAATAGATTAGTGTGCACAACGCAAAGCTAATAACTAATAAAATGCCGAATCTTCATCGTAACATCGTTCATTTCACTAACAAAATAACAGAGATCTTTAATTATAAAAAATAATCAAAAAAACACCGATTTTCACAAACTATATCCGAAACTCAAAAACACACACAAGTTTCATCAACACTACAACTGCAACAAATGATATCTAAAACCATTCGTACCAAAGGTTTTCACAGTCTGCAAATTCAATTTATGCCAGAAATTCCATCATTTGTCGAGCTATAAATTCTTCGTACATTTTCGAGTTTCAACTTTTGAAACAATTTTGTGACGACTAGAAATCGGTAATTTGTTACAATTGAATAATATTTTCTAGAGTTCGCTAACTATAGGTCGCTTTCTCCGTACAAAGCAGTTGAAAACGACATGTAATCCAATGCACCATCAACGCCATCCTCACCCTCATAAGGCGCCATTCTTGCAATGCAGTATTCAGCTTGATCAGGAGGTAATTCACGTCTAAGTTCTTCGGCTGTGATGTAAGGCTATAATGAAAGAAGGAATGTGTAGTGAATAAAACCATGCAACGACTGTTCTCCGGGCATTTATTATAATGCACGATGCACTTTTGGAGAACAAATATGACAAGTTGAGAAAATGGCACGGGATGTAACAACAGGTTAAAATTCTCACCTTATCTCCGGCAAGTATTTTGAATGAATCCATCACCTGTTCCGCAGTGTCTGTATCTGCGACCTCTTGGGTCATAAAATCTATAAACGCCTGGAATGTCACTTTTCCAGTCTGATTTGGATCAACGATCATCATAATACGATCAATTTCTTCGTCGCCCTACAGATGACAAGTATAAAAGATGATGAAGAACGTCGCTGCCTTGCCGGGCATTGCAGGCCCGTAATTATCATTAAACCTAAATTCACCTTATCGCCCTCTTTCAGGTTGTAGCCTAAACTTATAAGGCACATCTTGAATTCATGAGGTTCTAAAGACAAAGACTTGTCCTGCAAGAAAACACAAGATCATATGTTTACAACTCATCGATGATGGTTCATAAATACAATTTGTACCACGAAGATTTATAGTTAGCATTGGTTCATATATACAATTTGTACCACGAAGATTTATAGTTAGCAATGGTTCATAAATACAATTTGTACCACGAAGATTTATAGTTAGCAATGGTTCATAAATACAATTTGTACCACGAAGATTTATAGTTAGCAATGGTTCATAAATACAATTTGTACCACGAAGATTTATAGTTAGCAATGGTTCATAAATACAATTTATACCACGAAGATTTATAGTTAGCAAGGTAATTAAACAGCTAATGAACCATACAAAATGGGATTAGAAATATATTAAAGATCATTTTTTACTTACTCGGTCGAAATGATTGAAACTGTCTCTAAATTCTTTAATCTGAGCTTCCGTGATTCCCTTCGAGTCACGTGTCAAGATCTACAAAATTTGGAAGGTCGTTACAATTTAGTACTTCGATCTTCTTTCTGGATGTATTATAGGTAGTGAAAGAGAATGGTAAGTTGCCATTAGGAGGCAGATATCAAAAGGCGAGTGGGTGTGACAAAGTCATTGTTATCTGAACATTCAGATTAATAATAGCCTTCAAGCATTCTCCTCTCTGTCTACCTGCAGAGATGGTACCCTTTCACCAACTTACTTACGATGCAAGTACCTCCCAAGTAAACACACCAGACTACATCTCCATTATCTTAACACGCCGATAGCTGAAAGTTTCAAGATTACCTGGTTCTCAACTGCATTAATGTTTCTTGCAATTCCAGTCAACAGTTGTTCCCATCCGACTCGCAGCACCTTTTTAAAACAGACAATAAGGTCAGCGTTTACCTCATGATGTAGGCTCAAGAAAAAAATAATGAACTTCTGGTGAGTACTTTCAAAAACTCGAGTAGCGTTTTTTACCTCCATTGAATACTTTGTATGAGGATTTTCGAAAATCAAGGCCTCTTGAACTCTCTAGAAATTGGCAATAATAAAAACGTATATCTAAAGAACTAGAGCAACATGACGTAGATTAACGAGATCTCTCACTTGATTGATGTCCTCCAGTTCGTCAATGTTCGGTTTGTAAGCTGTACACGTTTTTTCAAACCCTTGAAGGGCTTGCAAATTATCCTGAAAATATTAAATACGATTGAATGAATATTAAAGTATATGAAACGTAGCTAAAGGTTGTCTTTAAATTGAGGATGAAAGGAAATTTTACAATGTACTGAAAAGGTGGGGGGAAGTGACAACCTCCTGATGCACATGAACCTCTTCTTCTTTAATTAAATTTGAATTCTCGGTGGAAAATCCACATGTTCGAGATGTTAATAAAGTTATTGTGTTCAGTTCAACAGTTCATAAAATATAAGATCAAATTTATTGAACATTGGTGAACATATACGAGTTTACCTCCAACGTTTTGTGATTTTGTACTCCGATGTTTCTTAGTTGCTCTGTCTGTGTTTGTATCCATGGTCCACAGACGTTGGCTTTGTTTGCGAAGTCGAGACGTAGTTGTTCATTTGCTGGATGTCGAGTTAAAGTTTCAATTACATAAAATAAAAAGCTCTTATGCATGGAAATTTTGTGTTTGTATATAACTCTTGTGTTTTATATTGAATTTTTGTTTTTATGTTGAAGCCTTGGTGTTCGTTTAGATGTCTTTTGTTGACGTTGTCTCGTGCCTATTATGCAGTTCGTTTGTGTTTAAGCCTTTCGTTGAAGTTCGACTCTTTTGTTTTGTTAGCCATCATGGCTTGAGATAAACATTCGGGGTTACAATGCAGTTTTCCATTACATGTATGATTTAAGAAAGATATATTCTTATTAAAATATTGATGAAAATATTGATGAAAACACTGAAGGATACATTGTTGATTATGCTGTTCTTTCATCAAAAGCTCTTCGCGGTGCGGCACTAAGTCAAGAACTTCAGACCATTTGGAACCAATCTCCTGCAAACAAAAGATAATTGTAGTCTCTTGGCAGTGATCACTTGATTAGAGCACTTGCATTTATTTAGTAGCAAAAAATGTAAGAAATCTTTAACATCTGAATGTTTTTAATACAATATTTACATACGTCAGGAGTGAGCGTTGTGTACGGGTTGTCAGTACATCCCAACGCGTTCATTTCGGCTGCGAGAGCCATGATTGAATCATACTCGTCATTTGCAGCAGACATGTTTGCTTTAAAAGCATCGTGAGCGTCCAGTAATTCCTAACGAAGATATAAAAAAACTAATCAACCGTTTATTGATTCTAATTCACTCTTTCGTATAGTAAAATTTATTTTCGTTAGTCCCGTTATTGAAGTTGTTATCATTTCCAGTTGTCACACAATAGTGCATGAAAGACCGCTGACAAACCTGGATTTCATCGACCGTGTGAACGATGAACATATCCATGAGATCTTCTTTGGCACCTTCCAACCAATTATTGAATGGCTGTTTAAAAATGGACACAATAACTTATATATTTATCGAAATCATGCTTTTCGAGGATGAATGAGAACTAAAATTGAACTAAGTTATGTCCAAAAAAAGTGAAAATTACGTATTTAATAATGACATGACGATGGCTATATAGCTACAAGTACGAAGGGAATGGTTTATACAAGAGAAAATACTTCAGTTTATCCTTCAAGTTTACAATATAGTTCATTTGGTAAATATACAGTGATGTTTAATACTATAATTACCGCTGCTTTCTTGGCAAACTCTAAACGCAACATATCGATTTGTTCACGTCGTGCTTTCGCATCCTGAAAAACAAAAGTGAGGGGGTCAAGATGTTCGTCTTGAGTACAATATGTAACATAGTCGATTGGCTCAACTTCCATTAAAACTTTCACGTCCGTAATATAGATGGATTTGAGCATTCAAAAGCATAAGCAATTAACTTTAAGAACGCATGTAATTAGAGCTTAAAAACTACACAATATCAATGACAATCAAATAATTACCGCTAATGCCTGACTTCTATTTACGGCAAGTTGACCAAGGTTTTCCCAATCATCACAAATAGTCTGTAGAAAAAAAAAATTTAGCTTATAAATACCTTTCGTAAGCTAAATAGTTTAACTTAAGAAAAACCGTCAAGATCAACAGTTGCTACACTAATTGGAAACGTTTAGAAGTGTTTTCACATGATTGTAAGACATTTAAAATAGACGACAAATTTCTTTATAACAAACATGTTTCGCCATACTTTATGCCATCTTCAGTGCGAAGTGAATAAATATAGGAAGTTTACATGACAATAGGAATAATATGAGAAAAATAGTGGATTTAAACGGGTTAAGTTTTCAACTAGAGCGACTTTAATATATGGATTCATACAACTCCTTCTTAATGATAGTCATGAATACCTGACAGCGAGAGTTTACAGCGTCCACTTCGCTGTAATTCAAAGTGCTAAAAAAGATATAAAAATCATTGTCATATGTTCTAAAGCATGATTGTACACAACACTTATTGACGAAATAAACGCTTACTTCAGTTCCTGAGCGATGGCTGCAATTTGCTCAACTCGATCTTGATGAGCAGCAAGATCACTTTCAAAGGCTTGGTGCTTTTTTATCAAAGCCTACGATTAACGTAAAAGAATAGAAGATAAAAACTTAGATCATTCAGTAGGATACCAATGATGCAAATTTGATTAGTGAATAGCTGTGAATAGTGATTTCAGAGACAAGCATGTTTGCTGAACTAAGGTTGCATCTAGACCCACAGTGAAGGTCAAATTATTAGAGGGAGGAAACAGCCAATCAGATCACACACGTAAATTGAAAATTATGGAAATTTTTAGCAGCTCTCTCTGCACAAACAGTCAAAAATTTTAAAACTTTACCAAGACGTCGGCTAAGCTTGCATCACTGTAGTTATCTGTTTGTAGCATAGCACTCTTTCCGTCAGTCCATGCCTCATGAATATCACACTTATGTTTGAATTTTGCTGCCAAATGATCGAGCCTTTCCATTCTGGATTTTGTTGAAAAAAAATTTGGATTTATTGTTTACATCAGTAAATAAAGTTTTAATAATCACAGAGCAAGTTTTATCAAAGGTGAATGCTAAATTTTGAAATACTTGTTTATTTTTTATTAAAGTGCATATATCAATGAGTTCATAATTTTATAAAGCTAAACAATTATTCAAAATTTATGATGTTTGTGAGCACATAAATATTTATTGTGGTTTGATGATGAGTTGAGATGTACAGGTTTTCGTATCTGTACACATAAGTCATTGGTATTTTAATTACCGTCTAAGCTCCTTCAGTAACCAATCCTGGAAATCTTTCTCAGCAGATTCCAATCTGTTCCATGCATTGTTTATGTCCTATTGTAGTAAATACATTGAGTTTTCAAGAATGTATGCTATCAAAAAAATGCAATACCAATATGACAAGTAAGTAAAACTTGTCTCTCTAAAAATTAACATCTAAAAGTAATAACCGCACAATAGTGGTGAAAATTTTTTTTCTTCATAGCATGATTATGCATTCATAGTATTTTCTAGTTGTACGATGACAATTCAAGTAAAGTTCATCACATAGAATACACATTATGAGAAAAGATCTTGTATATGGTTTTGGCATGCACAAGTACAATGCAATAAAATAGCCACCAATGAAATACGATCTGTTACATTATATTTATTTAAGTTTTGATTGACTTTGACCATGAACAGATTTGAGGTCAAAATAAAAAGACTAATTTGACAAAAAAGAAAAGTATCAATGTCAAATAAGAAAACACATACATTTATCATTTTGCCTTCACTGGGTAGATATGCAGGACGATTGTTCAATCTCAACTTAGTTTGCAATGTATTGAAAAGCGTTTCCAAGTTTGCCTTTTCTTCCACACGGGGTGGTTTCTCAGTTCCACGATACTTCCTGTACTCTTCCAGTTGTCTCTAAAGGTACACATGTCATTCATAAATTTTGTGATGTGTGCAAATTTGTGCATTGGATTTTTGTAAAAGACAAAGATATTTTGACAATGTACACATTTTGACAAGTGTAAGACAAGGAAAGTTTTATTGTAGGCCACATGAAAAACAAGTTAAAGAACCATCCTATCAAATTATTATTTGCCAAATCATACATATTAAAGTACAATATCCATGATTGAACATGTTCATACCTTCACACCAGGCAAAGTGCCATCTGATGTGTGGTCTTCTAACCATGGCATTGTTCTGTTGATCCAATCTAAGAGCTTTGTGAAAAGAGAGATACGTAAAAATTATCAATGGCAATATGTTGGAAAATAAAAAACAACAACAACTTACATCACTGGCCAGATTTTCATACTCTTCCATACGACCTTCATTCTCACGGTTGACATCCAGTACCTTACAAATTCGCTTTGATGCTGTTTCAGCCTAAAAAAGAAAGAGATCTTGTCACATATTGCTGGTTAAAACAGTTTTGCCTATTTGCAATTATGCATTTCAATACACAAGGTACAAACTAATGCTTTGCAACTTGCATATTGCAAAATGGTTCGAGTTATTTTAGAGCAAGAACTTTTCTAGGAAATTGATAAGCATATGCCCCAATGAAAATTCTCAAATCTTCAAATTACTAAAAGACCTGTTGTGAGCTTGAGAAGGCATGATAATATGATGATACGTATGTCATCACAGCACGTTCATCTGGTTTTTCCATGCTGGCCATTTCTGCAAATTAAAAAGTTAAAGAATCTAAAGAAAGTTTCTCAAATACAAAATTGGAAAAAACAATCGCAATTCTTCACAATGTCAAAATACTATCTATGTTCAAAAGCATGACAGACCAATTTAATAACAGATTGGTCATGATGACCAGTAGGCTTTTATTATTAGTTTAAAGCCTGCATTTGGTAATCAAAAATGGAAATATACTGCTCAACTATGCTTAAATATCAAGTAAAATAAATTAACCTTCAGCATCCAACATTTTGGGGATGTCCAAATGTTTTTCAGCGACTTCAAATGCAAGGTTAAGATTATGAACAGGGTTATCCTAGAAGAAAGTATACAAAATGATCAAACGTTGCAAATATCATCTTTAGTGTTCTTTTGTCATGATCTGAGGTTTACCATTGATTATTTACATATCTTTACTTGTCCAAGGAATGAAGGCAGATTGCCTTAAGTTTTTTTTTAAAATTGTTTTGCATTTACCAGACTCGAAAAGTTGTTAACTGCACAGCTGAGATCAAATTTTACAAAAAATTTTGCACACCTGACTTTCGTTATTGCTTGTTTTTGCATGCCTGAAAAGCGAATTTAGCACTATACGTATTTTTGCAAAAAGGCATACTTTTTCAAAATTTCGCCTGAGATCTTGGGTGTGCAATACAAACTTTCCAGTATGGGACATTTATAATTAATTCTTTCTTTTTAATGCATTAAACGATAATAAAATATCAGTAATTGTAGTTCTTCTGCACTTTTTGTTTTACATAGTTGGCTTTGACTGAAGACTCATTTTTAAATAAAATTCATAATATAAAATCTTGCTTAGAGTTTGATGCAATTTTACTGTTTTCATTTTAGTAGTTAAGCCCATATAACAAACATTCATATTGTTTTGAAGGTTTTTCAGCCAGATATTAGATAAGTTCAAAAAATACTTATTTTGTTTACATAACATTTGAGTTATCAGTTATCACTATATTCAAAGGTTTTATTAATTAGCCATCTTCACATTTGCTAACTTCCTGTGCTTTAATGTGAATCAATTTTCTTAAACCAAATCTGGGAAGGAAGCTTATGTTCAAAAAACTGTATACATTAATATCAATGCCTTAACACTACATTGTGTTTCATTAATTGATGACTAAAGCCTGACAAAATTATGCCCATATTTTAATGTCATTGCATTTTCCAAATACCAGTTCTTTAAAAAAATTGGTATTGCGTTCAGATTTGCCTTGTCACTCCACAATGACGTATAACTGTGAATTAATAATCCAAAAACAAAGAAACTTATTCTCCAAAATTTTTACAACCTGCTTTGCTCAATTAGTAAAACGTTTTGTGGAAATTTTTAAAAATGATATTTATTAATCACTTTATTCCGTATATGAGATTGTATAAGGTGGAAATTGAAAAAAACAACTGCTGAAGTTAAATATAAGATCGTCAAACGGAAACAATTTTCAGCTTATAATACGTCTACAATGATAACAATACTTGACACACCTCTTGGGAATAGCTATACCATATATGGTCATATAAGATGTGCATGCGATAAATTTATCAAAATACTGACCTGTCTGAGTTCAGCATAGTTTAAAAGTTCTGGTCTATGGCGGTGAATAAGAGCACAAAAAGCCAAACCATCTTTGAAGCTATAGCACCAAAAACATATTCATTAGCCCGTAATAATTGCCGGAATTGAAATATGGAAAAAAGGGAATAATTGTGCTATCAATAAAAGTGCTAAAGAATGCAAATTAACATATCGCAAAGCTAGGTCTTTGAGCTAATTTGCAAGCCAAGAAAACAACAAAAACTTTTGTATTGTATATTAAAAAATACCTTCGATGAAAGTTCTGCACATTCACATTCTTATAGGGTGCCGTCTTTCTTTGGCACCACAATAGGAGGCCATCTTTCGAAGACAACTCTACTCGTGATAATATTTGAATATTAAGAGATGTTTAACATGCAAATAACCAATTCGAAACATTCACATATGTATTGTAGCTTATCCTTGAGAACAAGTACATACCGTCTACGGCGATGTCCTGAATAGCAAATCGCAAAATTATTGTCCAAATCATTCCCAACGTCATTTTCAAATTGCCATCAACAATTTCTATGAAGTTGAAATGCACTTAATACCATGATTTATATCTGAACATTTAAATTATATTGTACAATGTCTAACCTTCAGCACCAATATATACCAATTTGACGCCTTTGTCCGTTACGAACTCCAATGCTTTTAATACGTTTGCGATTCTGTGTACTCGCATTTTTCCCCGTTCAGGCCTGGGCAATCGCTCACCCGATATAACTTCGAGCAAAATCATAAGTTTCAAGCCATCGCGAAAATCTTCTTCGATGCTTTCTATTTGCACGCCTACTTTGCGTAAATGCGAGTTACACCAGGCGGTAAATGTCTGCAAATCATACATATATCACATTGAAAAAATGAGACCGGATTACATTTATTATGTTCTATTGTACACATCTGTCAAAAGTTTGCACAAATTGCAATTATATATTTCATTGATATTCCACTACATTTAAATCAAACATACAGCGAAGAATCGATTGAAGTTCGTGTCGTAATGAAGGCAATAATTCTACCTTTTTCTGTTGGTTTTCCCAAGCAGTATCCATGAGGCCTTTGTCCTCATCATCACCATAAAAATAACCAAAGTATTCTTGTTCCTCGTCCGCCATGTTAGTAAAAAATTACCTGAGTTTACAGGATAATATAAATTTACCTTCTCGAAGGAGAAACCCACCAACTAGCAATGGCTATACAGGATGGGGAGGAATTGGGCCGAGGTCACGTGTTATTGCTTAACAAATTTAACGCATGAATGATGTTGTTATTTTTTTACATTCCGAAATTTCGCAAATTGTGATATGGGGGTGTTAGCAACAACTAATTTTTTCTTTAAAAATGTCGTCCATAAACAAATAGTGTCAGGACTACTTAACATCTTGGGCCTAATTTTAATGTGCTTATTATGAAATTCAAGTTACTTTCTGATAAGTCTGCGGGTTGTAATGGGTCATGTCAATAATGATAACATGAAAGTACGTCGTTTGGTGGTGAACAGCTCCACAGCAAGAGGCAAAAAATAAACAGTGATTAACATGTAGCAAAAAAATGTTAATTGCTGACATGATAAGAGTCTATAATATGTAGCAAAAGACGTCATTAATAAGTTACATACAAAACAATTAACATGATAATTATGAGTTGGATTATGAAATAGACGCGTCAAAAACGCAACAAATGTTTCGAGTGAATTTTTTTCTACTTTCAAGGTAAAGGAAGTGCAAATTTACGTAATCTCGAGTATTGTGGTTAAACTCTCGTTGACATTACGATAATCATTAGTTTAACTTATTTTAAATTTTGCGTGATAACTGAAAACATCGCGTGCGCAGATCAAAGAAGCATGTTGTTTGCGCAGATGAAAGTAGCAGGCTTCTTACGCAGATGAATAGCACTCAAGAATCTTCTTGAAACACTCAAGAGAACAAGTTAAATTTATAAAACAGAAAACACTTTCGACTTTGTCAAAAGTTCCAATACAAGCCAAGGATCATGTTGTATTGAAATTGTTTGAACACATTTCGATTTCATTTTTCTCTGCAAAGGTATTGCTATCTATTGTTAGTTATAAAGATTTTATTTAATGATAATTTTCCTGCTGAGATATTTAATTAAGTTCTGTTTAATATGGAGCTTTATTTGTTGATAAATTCAGTTCATCCCTAAGAATTGCGCTCAGTGAACGATCACGACGTATTTGAGACAGCAAGTTTCTTCAGATGATCCATAAACACCTGAAGACTGACGTCATCCGTTAAGACAGGAGCCCCACCGGAATCTTGTCCCCACGGATACATATTGTTGTGCGTTTGAGATGGGTTCACTTTTGACAACAAGAATCGTGCCTAGCAAAAACATTCAGTTTTTTTATATTCATCCAACGAAGACAGAAGATCCATCAGATGCATAAAATAAAAATTTAATATGTGACTAAAGAAATGGCTATCGTATACAGTTGAAATTGTCCTTTTCTTAGTTTACGGTTTAATTTCAATGGGATTCAGTGGATTATATCGGGGTTACAAGGGTTATACTATATTACAAAGATAACATGAAGAAATATTCCACAGCCAAATTCAACACACCTGACTACCGCCGTGCTGTGTGTCGATATAACGAGGCATGGGAAACCTCGTTTGCAGTATTTCTTGTGCGTCGTCTTTCGGAGCTTGTAACAGCTGCCGGAAGTTTTCGTGCTGAGGGTCATTTTGATAACCCAATTTCTTCCACTGTGCTATGGTCTAAAATAATTGACATGTTTGTATTTTCTAATCACTTGTAATAATTGGAGTTATTTTTCCTGCAGGGAAACGTCGTAGGTTATCATGAAAAGTACTGATTGAGTTTACAGAAGTTGGTTGTCAAAAGAAAACAACTTTATCCTACCTCACCATGGTAGATAAGAAGTTGAAAAAATGTGTCGAGCAATAAAATACGATCCCCTTGTATACTACCACTGTCCAGCAACACGGGCTGTAAACACAAGACTATCGTCAAACAAGATAAGTTCACACTATCTTCTGTCAACAGTACCTTCAAACTTATAAAAAATACCTCAGGTGGACCGTGAAATGTGTAGGAGTATAAAATTGGTTGTATCATGATGAGAGAGTTCATCACGTCCTCCCGATTAAGCACGTGTCTATGAAAAAGAAGTTGGCAAAAATATCAGACGCGCTCAGTGAATATCAGCTGTAATAGGTTGTATCGCAAAGGACAATGATGTATTTTATTTCCGGATAATTTTTGCGTTTTTCCTTCAGCGCGTCTGTTCGGATGACCATTGGGAGCACGAGTAGATATATTGAATATTTATATCAAATACATTTCAAGGTATAAAATTGAGTAAATAAAGCTTTAACTTGCTCTGAACTTTCAATTTTCAAGAAAAAAAATACTGTGCAGATGTTCGTTCATTTAAAACATATTTTAAACAGACCCCCTCACAACTCGGAGAAGCATGGGTTCTCTCTGTCTGAGCCCTTAGTAGTTACGCCTTTGTGGTCAATTGAATTCACAAACATAAAATTTAAAGTGAGAAGAGACCTTGTAGCTACTTACCTGTAATAGGAAGTTTCATCTGGACTGTTATTAAAATATTGTAAAAACTGTGATCTCCTTAGATGGAACATAAACTGAAAAGTAAATAAAATATTACATAATTAATATATGACGACATGTGTGACGTCAGCAAAAACGACAACAACAACAGCAAGAACAACAATGCGAAGGCCTCTTCAAATATTTCCAACTGATTGTGTTTCATAAAGCTGACTAAAATCAAGAATAGTATCAATTTCATAGAACCTAGTATCAATTTCATAGAACCTAGTATCGATTTCATAGAACCTAGTATCGATTTCATAGAACCTAGTATCAATTTCATAGAACCTCATTAAACTAATTAATATTACACGTACCTGTGGATATAATGAGAAATTTTCAGCCAAACGAAATGAGCTCGGATCCTCTTTATTAAACTCTCCAAATTTCTGACATAATCTAATCAACATTCTGTCCAACCATCGCAGTACATCAGGCCCGTCGTCTGTTTCTGCTCGGAAAACTGCGATACGGCTCATCATTACACATGACGTTTCCTGGTCAAAGCCTAAAGTCCAAAAATCATAAGAGAGTCATTCAATATAAAAACGAATAGTGACGTAACAAGAGGCCTGGGACCAAACCAATATAAAAACAAACTATGACATAAATAAAATAAAATAAAATAATTAAGAGTTGTCTTAGTAATTATGAAGATGTCGCCACAATTGTCAGGAAATAAGAAATTGGTGATGAACATTGGTGATGAATTGGTGATGATTTGTAGAACATTCTTTAGGTAAAACAAGCAAAGTCAACCATTCAAAAAGCATCGACCCACCTAACGACACATGACTGAGATTATCCGCATTCACCCAATTTCTTGCGCATGTCGTGACACGTATCCTCCGCTGACCACTTGAATGTTGATAGTGAGTTATAAACTGTACACAGCCGCGCGAGCCTTGCGGGATTGGAGCGGTGTGCTAGATACAAAACGACCAGGACAAACACATAACCTCTGGTTATGTGGGGGGGAGTTGAGGGGAGGAGGAGGGAGGGGACAGCAGGCCGATAACGGTCATTGAGGTAAGAAGTTAGAATATGCATTTGTAAAATATGTTTATTCTCGTGCAAATTTTGAAATGTTATAATGAAAAAAATTGACGTCTATAATATAAATGGAGATTCAGCATCTTATGAAGGAACAATATGTAAACGCAACTATCGTAAAAAAAAAACCAATAAAATAATCATCCTAAGTAAGATCCTTTACACAACGACATTCAACCGTTACAAAATTTACAATGGAGACAATGATTTCTCAAAATTTTTGTGACCTTAGTAAAATGCCCAAATCTTTTTTTAATAGGACAACTGCCTAGTAACCCTTAACGCACTTACGACGAACATTAAATCACGGCGAATACAAATCGCATTCAAACCACACAACGCTTACACCACGTATGACTCGTTTCAATTTTTGCCACTCATGAAAATGCTGCAAGTTTGTAAGGAAATGAATTAAAAATCATCATTTAACTAACTTGATTTACGACTTCAAGAAATATCGCCAACGTTGTCGATGAATCAAATCCACACAGTTTCCAGGACGATGTACCGCCCAAACCGATCTCCTAATAACAGATATTGAAATTAAATGAAAATATGATCTGCATTTGCGTAAAACATTCTTTCATATAACAGATATTGAGTATGTGTACAAGAATAACAACATTGAATAAACAAACACAACCATAAGATTCGAAAAATTAATTCAATTTAACAGCTATTTTACAGCGACAACCATCGTTTGAGAGTTGACAAGTTCAATATATCGTCAGAAAAGGCGCTGTAAAGTTAATAATACCACACAATATGCATCATAAAGCATTTGTATGAATATTTAAATCAATTTGTCATAAGTTGTCTACAAGATTTTTCCATCATATGACATCCTTTCAAATCAGCGAACACATTGAGTATCACAAAAGGGAGGTTGTTTTGACTCAACAACTCCAACAAGAAAAGTCGATGAGTAACTCTAAATTTCACTTCATTGTCGAAAGTCCTCACAGTTTTCAAGAATGTGGATATTTTATTGAATTTCCTTGTAATAATGAAGACTCACCGTTTCAGAAACATTTGCTCCTTTCTTATCCATCGAAATGCATGGTCCAATGCATCCTGAAACATTTAGTTCCTTTGATGTCTGTAAGAAATAAAACAATGCATCATCTCAGGCAAAAAGAAAGATTAAATGGAATGTGTAAACAGACAATTTTTCAACTGATGTCATTTATTAAATATCAGAAAATTTACCTTAACTTCAAACGTTCCACCAAAAGCCATTTTGAATTCGTTACGCAAGTCTTTCGAAAACATTCGCTGGAATGTCTGTTTGAATAAAGCTGTGTTGAAGGAGTCTCCCATAACCATGTGTCCGCTGTGAAAAACAAAAAAGGCGAGATAATGTAACTATAAATTGATGCAGGGTAGTTTGATCATAAATCAATTCTAACGGGGATTTTAAAGAAAAGAATATACAAGCATATATCTAGGGGGAAAGCATATACACAATGTGAAACTTTTTGTTTTGTTCGCTAAAAAGATAAGAAAAGTTAGTTACAATAATATGCATGACTTAACTAAGATAACATGAGTTAACATCAGATAAAATGACTTAGCTAAGATAACATAAGTTAACTGCAGTGAAGCTTATGACACGATGTCTGATTTTAAATACGTTTAGTGGCAAATACAACAACAATATAAGTCTTGCTTTTAATGTAGAAATATATAGATGAAAAATTGAACATTACATAGACGTCAAAATAGAAACCATCCTGAGGTCTAAAACATTCACAATTACGTGACAAAGATTGACCTACGTACATGACAATTGTAAAAATAAACAACATGTGGAACCTCAACATAAAGTTTTAAGCAATAACATGGCGCTTGACGTGCATCTTAAAGGAAAACGAGATATTGGTGTCAATCTTGATCGTGAACACGTACCCAGTAAAGTTGGGACAAAATTTCATTTCGTGAAGTCCCGTTTGATCCAATGCACAAGAAAAGATGTCGATCACGTGACCGTTTTCAGCGGCCCTATTGGCCAAAGCTTCGTAATGCTAAAAATGGAGGTAAAACAAACTCAGGAATTTAAGAGAGACAAAGACATAATGATAGAGAATTAAGATGATTAACACATGTCGAACAATGGCGTGAGATAGGTAGGGAAAAAATTTACTTCAACTATGTTCTCACCTTGCAAGCTTTGCGAACATACGGTGCATTATCTTTCTCGAGATCATGATGGGATCTGATGGGATTCTTTAACTCATTATCCACAACCATTCCCGGACCCTATATTAGCACAAATCAACAAATTGATTGATCGAGGAAAGTTACACAACTCTGGCATGCCCACATTCATATGCAACTCCATAAATTCAACCCAGTTCATTTTTCAAAAAGAGACTAAAACCCTGAACCCAGACCTTATAAATGAAACACAAATACCTGAGTACAAGATCCGCCAATAAAAGTCATAATCCTAGCTCCAGTATTTGGATAGGTACACTGAAATATATGAAAGCCTCGTAGTACATAGAGTTTTGCTATGAAAAACAACTTTAAATTTATGTTTTTATATTCTTTTTCATTACAGTCTTGACTGATTCATATTATTGCAACGCACAGCTGCATGTTCAAGATGTCGCTTACAAACATCTACATGCAAAATATCTAATTCATAGACAACACAAGTTTTATTGTCACCAAATGAATTTAAACACAATCCACGATATACACCACTCCACGCATAACGACACGAATGTATAAAGTATAAAACACGTGATACAGTATAGGTCAAGTGATGAAGTGTATGGGTGAACTGCATATCACGTCGCTAAGTTTTCGTCCCGTGGTAAAGTATATATCACGCAGTAAAGTATAAACCAAAGTATGTGTAATGTTCACTATAAAGTTGTAATCGCTTACCTCAAGAAGTCCAACAGCAACAGATAATGCTGCACCAGTTGACCTCAATGGTCGTTTACCGGTGGCTACTGGCCATGGATCTTGTTGAAGTTCACCAAGTAAATCTGTAAGACTCATGTCGCATTTATGAACAGGTTGCAAAAACCTTAAAAAACAAAATTTGATAAAGTTCATGAATGTATGCTCTTCACATTAGTTTGAAATTCTACATCGTATCATTTCCCCAATAATTGTTTCTTTGTCGTTGTATTCATTCATGTCAATCATATACATGTTTCTGGACAGTGTAGCAATGTACACTATTTTAGCGCAAGCACTAATGCTATAGAGACACAATTCGTTGGCTGCCATGTTAAATATAAAATTCTCATAGATGAAACGCTTTTCACGCTGTTCTAAGTTTCGTATAATAATTACGGTCGAACAGTTATAATTTATATACGTAGCTTCGTGTAGGCTAGCCATAGCTTTAACAATTTGTCAACACGCTGATGATAAACTAGGTGCTCCAATTTCCAATCCCTACATATTGACGATAGGTAGAACGTTGATGCAGCTACTACTGATGCAAAGATAACAGTAGGTACTGGATCTTCCATGGTTTTTGAATACTATCATTATAACATGGTTTGGAAGTTCATTCACTTTATTTATTTAAAAAGTATTTTCATACCTTTCCATTATGCAACAAATGCAACGAGTGCAGAATTGACGAGAATGAGCAAATATACCTGTTAAATATTTCACTTCCTTGTGATGGCATCTGTCCACGAGCTCCAGCTTGGGGATTACCTTGTCTAGCAGCAGCACCCAGTCCAAGCATTTGCTAAAAATAATTATTGAAATGATCACACGATATCTTCGAATGAGATACAAAATCACAATACAGATTACGTCTTTTTGAATAATATATCTAAATAAAAATGTAGAAGTGATATGACAATTTGGTAAGTACAGTTGAATCTCCCGTAAACAGAAATCCTTATGACCATGATCGGGTGTCTGTATACTGGAGATATCCATTTACGAGAGGCAAGAGAGGTAATATATTTCAGCAGTACTTGCTGACGTAAGTAAAAGTACGACTGTAATAGAATGCCTCATTTTATGAGTCTACAAAACGTGCATATTCAAAACAGGCTCAAGAACAATAAACACTATAACCACTATGGCAACATAAACAAAATAATGGAACAATAACTGTACCCCAACTGAATCTAACACAGGACATAGATATTACAGTATCGAACCTGGATCTGTTTTGCGTTGAGGTCTTTACTTCCACGGAAAACGTAACTCTTTGAGCAACCCTCGTTACCTAGTTCATGAACTTGAACCTAAAACATAGAATACCATTCATAAAGTTAGGTAACGTAATCAATTAACCATTGCACCCACATGTGCAGTACAAGCTAAGGAGCAGCCAACGATGATCGTCTTTATCATTGAATATTTTTCACACATTAGTCATAAAAATCATCAGGTGGAGATCCACCTTTGGTCCAATCCAAACTATCAAGTTTTGTTGCATAGTTAAGTGTCAACAAGTATGGTTTGGACAACCATAGTTTGATAAATGAAGACGAACCAAAAGGATGTGAACAAAAGACCCACAGAATAGTTGAATATTGCAATAATGCCGAACTGCTATTTCTTAAAATAATTACCATCTTTCCATAGGTGATCAAACCAACTAAAGCATTTGGTGGCATTAGGCTGAGGGACATTTGAAGAGATTCCTATATATTAGTCAGAAAATAACATATATCAATGTTCAAATCAAAAAGGGTCAGATCAACTAGATAGTCCATGAAAAGAACACAAAGTGAAAGACAACATAATTTCATTACAATCATACTTTGACGGCTTGTAGATCTTCATCATCCATACATGTATCAACAACAAGAAGATAAATCAATGGTCCAGGGTTGCCACGCTTTAAAAAGTCATATTTTACTTGAGCTAATCACTTGCCTAATTTACATCCTCTAGGGACCTGGGACAGGCCATTATATACATGCATATTGGCTATGATGATTTCAATATGGGATGAAGATTCATTGAAGTGTTTTAAATCAAAATCTAGGTCATTTTCAACTGTTTACCTGTAAAGTATACTCAATTGTTGAAAATTGAGGAATCAATTCAGCAGGTTGATGTTGTTCACTGATGCCTGCATACTGTGGTGGGAACTGTAATTGAAAAATAAATAATTAAAGAAGGACGTCAATTTTAAACTACTTTGCTCAAAAAATGGTTCAAATCAAGTTGATCCTGATGATAAAGTTATCAGAAGAATAGTAAATTGCAAGCAGTATGTACCTAACATGAAACAAAGCAAACTTACTGCATTTCTTTGAAAACAAAAGTTACACTGCCACACATTTGCTCTATAGTCCACCTGACTGAAATGTAATAGAATCAATATAATTTCCAAATGACATGTGTTTATGGCAAATGCTTTACCATACATCCAACATACCAAAGTGGATTAAGAATAGCTTTGCAGCTACTACGGCTACACATGACAGGATCATAGCATATCGGTGGTAGATCAGGACGTTCTTTTAATGGTGTATACATGCATCCTATGGGAACCACCTGAAAGTAGTTGTAAATTTCAAAGTTTATATTTTGCTGCCAAACTACATATGTCAATCTTCTATCAGTAAATGCATTTTAACCACATATTGTGAGCTTATAGTTATGAATAATTTCAATTTTTTTAGAACTAGAGTTTCCTATCATTCACAGAGCATTCACATAATTTGATGCAAACATGACCCATCATTAATAACAAACTCTGGAAAAAAAGTTAAACTTTTTGAATACATGTCATTTGGCTCAAGGGCACAGCAATCAGCTCTACAGTGACTGACAGTTCAGAAAATATATGTATTTGCCCTTAGTGACCAACCTATGGTCAAATTGCATGCATAAAATAAGTAACTATGACAGTATACCAAAACAGAGTAATGCTTTTGGTAAAAAAATTTGAGATAAGTGAATTTAAAATTTTAAAACATATATAGAAGTACAGTACAACTTTCAATTCAAAACAAATCAAGAAGTTAAAGAAACAAGTACGAGCATTGGAAACTGCAGTTTTAAAACTCTTCATGTCTTCTCTAGTTTTGCACTCTGTCATTTGTCGTTCAATACTAACAAAATTTTAAATCGTGCAACCATTATATGAAAGACCACTTACCATACGTGTGGCTTCAAGCCGGCTGGACGGCCAAACATTCCAGCTAAAACGAACACCATCACGATCTTCGTTTTGCTGAATAAATTCTTGATACGTGGTCATTATACTTCTCTTTTAACACAAAAAACTTAGCACATAAAAACAATATTTCTTCTGAACTCAAATTTTCTCAGCCACGTAAGTGTTTATGACAAACATGTGCATGTTTCCGCTTTGCGTTTCTTAAAATTCATTGATGAAGTTTACGATGAAAAAACCACATGCACAGATGAAAACTGAAAAGACTAGACATTCAGCAACAAGATTTGCAATCTTTAAGTGCAAATAGTCTTGAAATGTTTTGCTAGTGTGGTCTTCTCAACAAATTTTTTATTTGCACCAGCCTGCGTCGATGGGACGGAATCTGTCACAAAAAATAGTTTGAAAAAGCACGACCAAAGATCATGATAACGACCTTGAGAGCGACGTTCATAAATAAATTGTAACACAAGTTGTACAATAATCTCCGATAAGAAACTTTTCTACTTCGAATCCTATCCAGAGTTTGGATTAAAGATGATCTCAGCATAACAATAAACTCCTTAGAAGTGTAGTAGTCAAGAATTAGACAATGGGAAAACAGTGCTGAAAAGAAAGTGCACAAACGCCATTTCTCTCACCCGATTTTTCGCGAATGGGATCCGAAAATCTTTAGATCAAACTTTATTCCCTATACGTGTATCATTGAAATAAATACATAGTCGTACAAACAATGTAAAATATAAAGTTAACTTATGCAGTTCTTTCCAGCTACTTTAAACTTATGTCAATCAGATGACGTTCTACTGTCTTCAGCTTGGTCATAGTTTGCGCATTTGTGGATCAGTGAGGTTTTACATGTCATACCAAGAAGTGCTAAATGAGCTTCAAAATTTTACGAAAATTGCTTCGGCATACAGTACAATGTTAGAAGTCATTAAATTTGGTAAAATGGGACCGTGGTGATGTCACACAAAAATGTCAACGTCACATTATAGACTCGTGCAGCATGTATTTTGTAAAATTATAAATGTTACAAATTAAATAAATTGAAATAAATTTTGTGAAATCCATAGCCATTTAAATAGCACAATAGAATAAAAGAACAGAAAAATTTAATAAAACCCAATGTCAATTTTTACTCATGATAATAACTATATGTCTCCTTTTTTCATCATGTTACGAAATTTGTCCTTGATGGAAACACTGTTCAAATGCGACGTTTGAAAAGCATAATTATCTCTAATTTTAGACCACTGCCTACCATATTTACGGAAGCCTTTTCTGATGAACTCCTCTTCTTCTGGGGTCCAGGCAACACGTTTTCTTTTGCAACCTGAAAAACATGAAAAATACGCCAAGTAAACTTTGGCATCAGTCAGTTTATGACTGGCCATAACGTACTTAATTTGGATGCCGAATTTTCTCTTGTTTCACCGTCATCATCCTCAGCAGCCCAATTCAGTTGCACAGCATCATTTTGTGCAGAAAGAAACTTTCGTTTATCGACATTTCTTAAATAAAATTAAATATTTTTTCAAATAGTACATAAATAGATAATTCTGAAGAACTTTCTCATTATACGTAAAAACAAGGCTAAGATGTGTATGTATTGAGTAGTACAGAGAAAAACAAGAGTCTTATAAATTCACTGCAATCTTCAACATTTATAAGCTTTATTATTTCCTCAAACTTCGTTGCTCAGAAAAAAATAAAATTGTTTAATCATACATGATCAGCGAGTTAAGATTTTCGACAAATGCATGCCAGGGCACATGCAGGCTCAACAGGCATAATTTTTGAACAGCACTGAGCTATCACTAGCTATAATGTCACACAAAAATGTTCTTTCAAACATTAAACATTCACTTACTTCTCTCTCTTATTTTTATCTTCGACTACTTTCCTGCAACAATAACAACTTTTTAAAATAATAAAAAAATTTCATCTTTGATACTTGTAGAACTTGTAAACTTACTCTGCAGTTTGAACCAAACAGTCCACGTTCTTCAAAATCAGCTCCTCGTCTTTTTTATTTTGCACATCACACACAGCTAAGAAGGAGTTCAAGAAACGCAATAAATGTTAAAAACACTATTCTGCTAAAACCAATTACAGGTTTACCTAACTTCAACTGGAAATGGAAAGCAAGAAGTTGCTTGCTTACATATACAAATTAAATTCTAACTAATAAATAAATTCAGTAAATTTGGTGCAAGCAAAAATTATTTTCAGGTATTTAAACTATATAAAATTCATAACAGTATTTCATTATTTAATAAAAATATTAACGTAACTTTACCTTCTGTTGTAACTTTCTTAAAATACTTCGAATATTGTTCATATTTAGACTTGTTTAACATTGAATCGTATTTTTTCACATCTTTATGATCGCCTTGAAAACAAAACAAAATACATGAGCAAAGTGAAAGCAAGGAAATACTATACAATATATATAAAATATCCAACATGTTCATCAATTATACAGAGTGTGAGAGTTTATCAGAAAAAAAGAACAATTTGAAATGTTTAATAGACTATAAATTTATCTAAATTTGTCATAGGTTTATAGCTACGTGTTAGTATAAATGCACTTTAGCATCAACGGCACAACCTAACGCTAAAAATAAACAGAAAGTTTGAACAACTAGAGAGAGAGGTTTGTCGAATTTGAATTTAACCTCATCTTCAATTGCTCGTACAAACATGTACAAAAAGTACAAACATGTACAAAAAACATGTAAAAAAAGTTTGATTTCAAGTTTTGGTCTTTTTCCACGAAGTGGGGAAATTTCAAGTTTTGGTCTTTTTCCACGAAGTAGGAAAATTTCAAGTTTGGTCTTTTTCCACGAAGTAGGAAAACTTCAAGTTTTGATCTTTTTCCACGAAGTAGGAAAATTTCAAGTTTTGGTCTTTTTCCACAACGGAGAAAAATTTCGAGAAAATTTTTTTGAAAAAATGGTACGCCACGCGAATGCATAAATTGGGTTATTTTCTGCAGCTTACTTGACCCTTAATCGTCCACAAAGGATTTCATGCATTTGATTGCTCGGGTTTTACGCTATAAAACCAAAACACTAAAGCATAGAAAGAAAGTTCTGCTTAAGAGTGTACCGAGGTATTGATATTTTGCAAATGTTTAACCACTAAACATCGCAAGCAAATGAATTTGAATCCTTAAACAGACAACCCACCCTGCTGACCTGCATTCCCCTATTATAAATAACATAGCCTTTGATTAAACTATTAGCTGACAGATTGGACAAAGTCAAAAAATGTGTCCATTCTCATCTTCGTTAACCGATCAATCATTTATGCATGAAAATCATTTATGCACGAAAAAAGTCTTGAAAACTGTGTGTTGAAACAGAAAATAGCACAACTTTACGCATCTGCGCGTCCACTCTTCATCAAAATTTCTGAAATTTCAATGCTTTGTAAACCTAAACCAAACCTTCATTCCATAAAATGAAAATTGATTTTTGACAGCTCTTCCATGCTTAAACAAGCACTTCAAAATGCGTTTCATACAAGCCGCTCTCTCGTTTTTCTAAGTTGAATTTTCTGGTTTTTTTATGGTTAGATTGTGCTGAGGTACTAACACAAATCTATGATATGTTTTACTAAATTTATAGTCCATTCAATGTTTCAAAATTTTCTGCTTTTTTCTGTGATATAGCCAGCCGCTTGCATGTTCACGCTATGTAAATATTTTGATGTTCACTCACTGTAAAAACAATAGATTTCAAAAGAAATGAATAATGTTAATGAGGAAAAATTAAAATAGAATGAACAAATTTGCAGGTTGGCTACGCCAGGTAATAAATTGTGAAGCTTATGCCAGTGAAGTGTAAGTTGATATTATAGTTCACAGGCTTATGTAAGATTGTTCGTTAATTTATAGTGTAAATGTCGACAAATATCACAATTTAAACCAAAAAATTCAATTCTATACTAAGTTTTAATGTGAGCATCAAAGTGAGAATTAAAACTTTTCAAACTTAAGTTTTATAAATATGCCAACATCAGTACTATAATTTGATGATAAATAATTAATCGTAAAAACAACTACGACTTTCCTGAAAAAATTAATAAAATATCCGAATTTTTTCTCTTCATATAGTCTGATGAAATTGTGAACACATAAAATATGGAAACATGAATACAAGGTTTAAAATAGCAGCTAACTTCAAGCATTTTTGTTGCACTAGCCAGTAAATTTTGAATTTGAAGAACCTAAAATTCTTCGAGTGACTTTCAGCCCTGGAATAGGAAAGATTCCTTAAGCTTTTGTTCACTTACTCTTAGAAAACACTGATAAAATAGCTGGTACTAAAATGGCATAACTAAAGAGCTGGCAAAAAATATATTTTTATAAAAGTTTTTTTTTAATCATGTACTAAATTCCAGTTTCTGCTGAAACTTTTAAAGATTTTCACAAGTAATCGATTTTGAAGTTTCAACTGATAATCTCGTTTAGCAGTCACATTAAAATAAAAATATATTTATTATTTTACCATTGACAACGTCCTCCCATGTTACATTCTTTTCCATGTTTAATATTTTAAATACTTTTTCATATGAATCGTATGAACCTGTCAAACTTTCATCATTATCAACATCTGAATTAATCCTAAGAATTATATTTGTTTCAAATTAGATAATTAGAAAAAATAATCATAATTACTATAAAAAAAACTTTATTGTAAGTACATACCCATATTTTTCAACAAGACTTGACCAATGATCACTCTAAAAATCCAACAGGGAATAATTAAAACATAATTTTCTTTTGAGGACTATTTACTTTCAAAGAATAACATACATTTTTCAGATCTATCTTGCTATTTTGTGATTTCTTCAGATCCATTAAGTAACTTATCTGTAAAACAAATACACTAAGTAACAATTTATACAAAACTACAAGCTAAAAGTTCATGTTTTGTTGATATAAGATAACCATTGTTGCCAAAAGCAAGATTTATGCATTCATATAGACAAATATGTCAAATTGGCAATAGACAAATCTTTTGAATGTTTTATGCAGTGCGGTGTTTGAAATTAAATGAAGATATGATCTTCGCACTTTGCTGGACAATTTAAGCAATCGTCTCAGGAACCTGAAAAAATCAGGTGACTCAACTGTTTTGTCGTTAAATATTATTACTGAATACGGTGCTCTAAAAATGAAAAATAGAAAAATAATTAATCTCATTACATAAATCTTTACCAAAAATCAATCATATATAACCTGCAAAATTTTTACGTGGAAAATACGCAAAATCAAGAAAAATGAAACATAAAAATAATCCAAGCGATAATCTGCAAGAGAGATCATGTTGGTGCAGTGCACGATGATGAAAACCTTCTGTTATTTATATGAGGAATTGAGGATCACAAAAATAACAATTACCTGAAGATTGAAGAGTTAGGACTTAAATATATTGCTCGATTACATTTGTGTAATGTTCAGAGCTCGTTTGAAAATTGTCAACACTGACTTTCAATCGTTATCGATTATCGATGAAACAACGATGGTCTTTGAAAATATCAACGCCGAAATAATTACGTTTATCTACGTACAATCCCGAACATCAGCAGTGCGCAAATATTTCATGAATATTTTAACGGCATGGCAGATAACCTCTGGATAACCCGGGTCGAACCGTGTCTTGAGAAGGGTAACTCAAGGCGCTGGGGTAACTGGGGTTGGTGACTTGAAACGGCAGTCGTGTAAAAGATTAATAGGAATTGATTAGAAGACGGGTTGATCCTGGTTGGCACACCAACCTGGGCTGAATGTCAACCAGAGCTGGTGTAAAGCCTCGGTCACACTGTTCGACGATAACGATAAACTATAACGATAAACTATAACGATAAACTATAACGATAAACTATAACGATAAACTATAACGATAAACTATAACGATAAACTATAACGATAAACTATAACGATAAACTATAACGATAAACGATAACGATAAACTATAACGATAAACTATAACGATAAACTATAACGATAAACTATAACTATAAACTACAACGATAAACTATAACGATAAACTATAACGATAAACGATAACGATAAACTATAACGATAAACTATAACGATAAACTATAACGATAAACTATAACGATAAACTATAACGATAAAAAATATCGATAAACTATAACGATAAACTATAACGATAAACTATAACGATAAACTATAACGATAAACTATAACGATAAACTATAACGATAAACGATAACGATAAACTATAACGATAAACTATAACGATAAACGATAACGATAAACTATAACGATAAACTATAACGATAAACTATAACGATAAACTATAACAATATTCAATGGTTACATACTAACGATAAATCGTTATCGTTATCGTTAGTATGTGACAGTACACAAGAGTTTGAATAACGAGCGATTTTTTTTGCATCGTTATCGGATCGTTATCGGATGCAGTGTGACCGAGGCTTAAACGGGCTTAAAATAAAGGATTAGGAACACCAGTTAAAATGCTCTGCTCGACGAATATAAACATGAAAAATATGTTCTTCTTAAACTTTAGTGTCGTTTCGATCACAGAGCGCTATGATAAAAAACAGGCACAAGAGTTAGGGAATAGAATTGACAAAAGTCCTAAAGAACAAAATACGTAAATATAAAAACGATCTAAATATTACAACTTTGAATGTATGTGCGGCATTACCATGGTTACATCAATACAAACATAAATATTTAAGTCTTTAAATAGCAATGTGAAGTAAAGTATTATCATTTAAAAAGCTAAAACAGTTCAATCGTCGTTTTCGAATGAACGTGTTCATTTTAAACATAACCTAATTCAATTGGAGCTTCCCCGTGATCATCATTTTCACCAGCAGTAGAATCGTTGTTGTCATCAGGCCTTTCTATTGAGACAGGTTGGCTAGTGGGTGAGGTGGATTTTTCAAATCGCTAAAGCAGAAACAACGATAAATAAATAAAAGGTAATTGTGCATGAGGTGTCAAGTATGAGGAAAACAATGGCAATTATGATTTGAGTTGATGTCCATGATGCACCTGTTCATATAGTTGTTTCAATTTTTCTAATTGTTCTTGCAATTGTCTGTTGTGGTCTTCTAACACTTCCACACGTGATTCATGACGTGCTTTATGTTGTTGCAAAAGCTTGATCTCATCAATGACATCATTTTCACTATCTTGTTGATGACCATCACGATCTTGTTGATGATCATCACGACTTGTAGTCAATGACTTCAAGTGGGAAAGTTCCTCAAGAAGAGTTCTATAACAAGAAGAAATAAAGTAAACAATTTAAAATTTTTAATAAAATTACATTTTATTGCAAAGGTTTCACAAATTAATTTTTTTTGTATAAGCTGTTAATACATTACTATTACCTATTTTCATCTTCAAGATCAGCAATAGTCTTATCCAAGTCCTCTTTCTCTTCTTCAGCCAGCTCTTTCATTATCTGAGCAGGACTCTGCACTTGCTATGAAAATCAAGAGAAATGTTCGTTGAATAAGTGATTGTATACGATAAATTTCAACAACTACATATGTACTGTTGTGACTTACATTGGGAATAGAAGACGAGTCCAAACTAAAGACGATAAGAAAAAATATGAGTAATTTTAATAGCTTATTTATTGTTTATATTTATCATTTATGCAATAAATGGCGCAAATGATGACAGAGACTTACAGTACAAAATTACTGAGGGAATTTTAAATTTATTGAAATAAATTTAGTAGCTTTCCTATTATTTTTATAAAAATTATAAGTAAACTTTATAAAATAAAAGCAATAAAACTCGTGCGGTGATTATTTGGTCTATAGCTGTGTTTGCATTATCCTGTAAAAATTTGCAAATCAATCATGAATATGTGTTAGCGGAAATATTAAAATGTTTTTTTTAATTTGTCTTTTTCACATTCTTGTTATTTTATAAAAGAAAGAAAAGATGTTTTTCGTGTTTGCACAGGCTTATGCTAACCTCGGAGACGTTTGTGAGAACTCTCGGCCAGTTGCAACCCTCGACCTTCGGTCTCAGGCTTGCACTGATCTGCTTCTAAGTTATCCGAAAGATTTCCTCGGTTAGCATAAGCCTTTGTAAACACAGTAAACATCTCTTATGCCGTAAATAATTCACCGCTAAGTACAAACCTCTTTCCTTTCGTCTGTGACGCGCCGTCTGTTTCTGTAGCTTCAAGATCAGGCAGCCTGACAAATGATAATGTTGTAATTATTGATTATTTTCTTTCATGTGAAACCCAGAACTCACTTAATGATTTCATACCGTTTGGCATGCATTTGCATTTTAGTATGTATATTCTGATTATTCCTCGAGGGAGGGGAAAGTGGTGACTCCAGATTAGGGCCCTCCATGATCGTTTGAACAGGAAGATATCCAAGATTCTTTGGAGATTTATTCTTGTATTTTCGAGGCTTCATTTTATTTTTGATAACTTTAAAGAAATCCTTCACATCTTCTGATCCTGTTGTCTGAATTGAAAAAACACAACATTTATTAATTGTTGTAAAAACCTTCATAAAAAGACTAATGATAAAGACTATTACCGAAAGACAATATTGATGCATTGGATGTGCGATCAAATGATCTCGTGATGTTCTCCCAGAGAAGAAACAGCTTTGGCAGAGGTCGTAGTTGAAATACCTAAGAGATCTGAAGCGAAGACCAACAATAGGATATTCTTTACAGATTTGACATTTTGCTTCATGCTTGACGCCTTCAGAGCTTGCATAACGATGAAGTGTTGGCAACCAAATCACGCTTTGTGGTTCATTTGCAAGCCATTGCAAAAATTGATTTAATGTAACAGCTTCTGGTTTGTTGGCCTTTGTAGTGATAGAAACATTCTTGTTTTAACGTATTCATATCAACGATTAAACGTAAACAAATAGCAAAACACCAAACATCCATGTATATCCTTTCTTACCCATTCAAAGCAACTTCTTACACTCGGTTCAATGTTACTGCCACCAAATGCTGCAGCCTCGCCAAGTTGTTTAGGAATCTAACAAGAAGCAATTCAACTATAGAAAACGTTCTCATCTAAAGATCCTTAAAAATAACATGAACTGTACATTTTTAAAATGACATCGAACATTAACAACCTGCAATTGATCATGAAGGAGTAATCCCATTTTTTTCGGTGACACTTGACCAGAGGAATCAGCAAAAAGAGAAAAAAGATCTAAATGGAAAAGGGAAATTTGTTTGAGTAAGAACACGATCGAACTTGTAGCTTATTAGGAGGATTGAATGTACGCTTTTGCACGGCGATTTTTTTTTAAAACTAAAAATGAATTTCTTACTTTCATACTTCTCATCCAGAGACCCTTTACAGAAGCAGATCAAACCAATCTTGAATGAAAATTCTCGAATTTTACCGATACGGCCACTGACGAGAAATATCAGAAATCAAAGCGTCAGTAAAATGTTGCCATTCACTAATGTAAAGGTCCGGTTTCATTGATATGTAAATAATACATGGTTGTTCGAGCAGGTTTTTAGTATGAGAAAAGATAAATATTGAAGCCGATGATTTGATACAGTACCATATTGAACAGTCCGACGTAATGAGAAATTTGTGACAAAGAAATCATATTTGCAACGGCAGTCAGGAATTTCGGACTGCATTAAAAAAAGAAGTTTACGACTAAGTCTTGAACACAAACCATTTATCATGAAAGACAAATGCCTACAAACTCAGAAACATGCACTTGTTCAACAACACAGAAAATTTTCCTTATACTTAGTCTCGAGCAGTTAAAACGTAACAGTTCTAATGAAGTATAGTGACAGGAACCTCGACAAACATACATTGAGTCAACTTGGTAAAGTGAGACTGTTCAATAAGGCGGCCTACTTCCTTTCCCGGCTTCAAATTTATTTTGGGATGTGCGATCCATGTAATACACATATCAATGTTCAGTTCACTGCTAACCTATCATAAACATTCAATATCCAGTTCAAACTGAGATCAATTGACAAAGGAAGATTGACAGTCTGTCCATTGTTCTGTTCAAGTTTTTCAAAGATCGAAGTTAAAATTTCCACCATTTCTGAGACTCCAATTATGTCTTCATGAGAACCACAAAGATTGTGAGACTTGAAAGCCTCGATGACGACGTTTATGTCAACCATATCCACTACAAAAATGAATGTGAAATGTTATCTTTGTATTCCTGGAAAAAAATTACCAAAATTTACAGCAGCTCATTTACATCCAACAACTTTCTGAATGCATCGTAATTTTATTGCCGTTCTATAAGCACTCCAAATGACATCGTTTATTTCAACTAAATAAAAAATGCGGTTTTTCACAGTTTAAGAGCGAGGAAATGGAACATAGAAAAAAATAAGTCCAGTCCAGATACCGAATTGATGATAGAGATCAGTCATTTTAGGATGATCCCACTGAGTCGTCTCTGTATTGTGGCTAAAAACAATATGAAAAGTAAAAATACGATCTTTATTCCGTAAAGCAACATAAGAAATGATATGGCATACTTGATGTAATATGGAACGTTGTTTGCAGCAATTTCTCTTTCCCAAGGATCAACAACGCTCTCTACATAAGATCAATGATAAAGAGTCAACAAGCTGAATAATTAGAGATTATGCATTATTTTATGCACTTTTCAGGTGTTCTTGGACCATCTTTATCTCCTGCAAAGCTTCCTCGAGCGTCTTTTGCCATGCTTCGCTATTTCTCACTAAGACTGGCCAACGTTCTCTGATCTTGCTCAATTGACTTCGAACAATTTCGGGAAACTCCAATTGCGATGACGATGCTGATTGAAAGGTGTTGTCACCATCAAGATGGCGTTTCCCAGACTCCAATGCGCGATCAATAACTAAGCGTTGCTTGTTCAATTCGTTTCTGAAAGTCTAGAAAATAGTAAGTTGCTAATTTAAGAATCTTAATCGAGATACACGATTTAACAAAATGATCGAAATCATATATTTCGAGATAAAGACTTACTGAGATAAAATAATTTTGCATTAAAACGTTATGCATTTTCGAATATGTTTGCAGACTTCGTGACGGATATTTATGTATTTCAATAAACCAAACAAATACAAAAACTGTCATTTTACTGGAAGCTCATTGTTGTAATATTGTTTTGCTGGTATTGGTCTCCCTGTGCCACTATCTGCGGTAATTTATGGCCAACGGTATTCACTCCTATGTTTTATCCGCCATATTATTGTTTGTGTCATTTAAGCTGTTTTTAAAGTTAAATAAAACCTAACGAATGGTAATCTACAACACTCATCACACAATGTCTTTTAATCACAGACCTGATGTGTCTCTAGTTGAACGTTGACAGTTCCAACGTCATTGCCCACTGGTTTCTGAGCCTCCAACTCCTGGATAGCTCGATTTATCCAGTCAACTATCTCTTGTACGTGGAGTGCCCATTCCGTTGCGCCTCCATCGAGTTTGTGTCCAACATCAATTAACCTTGCATTGAGACTGTTCCATCGATCATTTATATCATCAAGTTTGGATTGAATAGCAGTAAGAACCTCTCCTGATTCAAGATCACACATTACTGTCTGACCTGTCTCGTTTAGAGAAGCAAAAGTTTCTTGGTGGTTGTTAATATCCACTTCTAAAACCTACAAAGACAAACTTCAAATGTCAACTAAACATAACAATCTACGCAACCTACCAAACTGCGAAATGCTCTCGATCTTATTGAAATAAAAATGTGCGAAAGTCCACACAAGTATTGTGTATTCCAACACTGTTGTCAATGTTTGAGGATAAGCAATCAACCACAATAAATGAACACAAATTACGAACTTTTAGTTCTTCTTTCAAAGAGGAGTGATCGGTGTGTTCTTCAGCTGCATCGGCCGCACTATCCAACTCAGCAATTTTTGATTCTGTTGAAGTGAGCCAAGTGAGTGCTTCTGTCATGCTTTCATCAAATTGAACGAGACGGCTCAACTTGTCTGTATGCTCTGCACAACTATTGAATGATACATGTACATATATATAGTAAATAGACACACATTTCTAGGGAAAGACAGTATTAAGTGTGGATGTTAAAAATATTAGTCCTAAAACGGTCCTAATTCATTCAGTGAATACTTATCTTACCTTGAAGCCAGTTTGTTGTAACGTTGTGTATCTCGATGTGAAGTTAAACGAATGTCACTCGGATTATGTTCGGGGAATTCTCGTATTAATTCGTTGCCAACATCATTCAACCTATCTACAAGCGGTTGCCAACTTTCGACTTCATCTACAAAATTCTGCAGCAAATAAAAAGTCCTTGCATTTAACCAATAAAATAACACAATGGCAAATCATTCTATAATATTAAGCACTCTAGTGATATAAATAAAATCCAATAGCATACCTTATGATTTGTAAGTAGTTCTTCCGGTTCCACGACAGTATTTCCCGACTCCTTCCAAATTTTCACCATTTTTTCTTCTGCCTTGGTAAGCCATGCTTCCAGATCTGTTTTGATCTGTTCATATTGTCTCCACAAATCCCACATCAGGTTTATCCGTGTTAACCATTCATTAGACTGCTGTTGGACCCTGTGCCAGTGATCCTTGAGAGACTGGACCTGTTGACGCAATATGTTCTTATGGGACTCATCGTCTGTCTCTTCCTCGAGTTTAAGACTCATTTCAGAAATATCATTCAGAAGATACTGTTTCCCACGAAGTTCGTCCTCCACAGACTGTAACAACACAAACAGATCATTGATTAAATGAAAATCCTAAATGCATCTTTCAAATCATTCATGATTCATTTATTCTTATCCAGCAAACTAACCTGTTTCTGTTTGTTCGTCAATCGTTCCATTTCATCAACGTTACCAAGCATGATGCGTTGACTTTTAATGACTTCTTCAACAATAGAGAGCCAGTCATGAAGCTCTGAAACAGCTTTGTCAAACTTAGGCCATGGAGTCTTACCTGTAATAAATGGTAAAAAGTACAATTAAAAGTCGAAACAGTAATGAGAGGGATATAAAAAGGAATCAAAAATACAACAGACAATAAGAGGAACCTAAAAATATGAAAAAACATATTTGCTTACCTTCATCAAAGTGCGAGACAAGTATATCTGGCGTTGCAAACGAAACAGTAGTTTTCTCAACAACAATCGTCATTGAAGGTTGCTCAACAATACGACAAATTGCCTCCCAATCCGCATTCATTTTGCGCCACTTTTCGTGCATCGAGTTAGGAATAGCGCTAGTTGATAAAAGGCTTTCTTCTTGATATTTTTCATACTTCATGTTAACATGATCATACATCGAGCTCTTGTCGGTTAGGTTCCGTTCAATTTCCTAAAATATTCAAAAAGAAATTATAGATTGTTACCTTTGTAGCTACAAAAAACACATTAACTGGCCTCTAAGAATCTGTCGTCTTTTTTTCCAAGATTTGCTTCGTTATCTATGAGATCTTTAGTGCTAGATGTCCACAAGTATAGTTCCTCAAGATCAGCAACAAATTTCTCCAAGTCATTAATACGATCTTCCAAAGAATTCCGTTTATAAGGTACGGCCACTTTAATACTTTGCCATTGGGTCTCAACTGCTTCTACAGGATTCATGACGTCTTCTTTTGACGGTTTGGATAAGATTGGTTTTGTCTGTAGACGTTGTCTTGTTTTGACTATACCATCAACTGCATCTTCCTTTTCAACCATTTCAGATTCAATATCTTTGACATGAGCAAGTTGATGCTGCAGTCCATCAAGATCAGCGGGAGATGGATCAGGTTGAGCCAGCGATACTTCCACTTGAGTCATCCATTGAGTTAGATCTTGTGATTCATTAGCTAACTCCTCATACTCCAAATCTTCTTCATTCATGCTAAACAGAATTTTTTGTATTTTTATTGACATTGATTTTCCAACGACAAAAAAACATCACTTAGTACTTCTTAACCCAATGAAAAAAAATCATTTACGTTTTAAATGCTATTCATACCTATACTGTTTATCTGAAACTTCTGTACAAATAATCTTCCAGCGTCTATTGAGATCGTCAAGTTTATTACAAACGATTTCTGCTTCATCTACACTGGAGTGTTTAATAATCTCATTCCCTGTCCTGTTTACAGCTGCTACGGTGGGTTCGTTGTCAGCAATTGCTTGCTCCAAAGGCTGAAGAAAAAATATGGCAATTTTTTCATGAAAATCGTTTTAAATACACAAACCCAGTACTTGGCAGGGTAGCCGATGGGCAACAATCACCACACGAAATATGGATACATTTTTCAAAAAATTCGCCATGTAAAGAGTTAAATAAGAGCACAGACATTACTGGGGTGCATAACAAATCAACAAAAAAGTAGAGATTTTCACGCAGATTTTAACAAGCCTTACCTCGATTATTTTTTTCTGTTCTTGTATCCTCATCTCATCGTCAGGAATTTGTTCCATACGATCAAGTTCCTGTTCAGCTTCAATAATTCTCTCCTCAAGAGTTGCAATAACCTCAATGATAGAACTGAAAGACCATTTCTTTCTTTCGTCTAGTAAACTACACAATTTCTCCCAACGAGAAGTAAAGTCTGCCAACAATTGTTCCACAGTCGTTGCGCGACAAGAAACACTCTTTGTTTCAGCAATTATCTCCTCGGCTTTGTTCATTTCATCATTAATGCTTGTCTTACGTTTCTTAACTGCGTTGTCTAATGACTACATGGAAAAAGAGATTTTTAAAACATCAACAAACTGTAAATAAGTCTATGTCCATCATTATATGAAGCAAAGGGGAAAAGATGGGATTTAAGCACAACAACTATATTTCTTTAAGGGTTGTTTCGTAGAAAGATCATATCATTTTATTCACGGTCACTCATCGAACCACTCTTAGGATGAATAAGACAACCTGAATAAGTTCTTCCTTTTCTTCAAGCTCTTTTGAAGAAACTTTAGTTGGTTCACTCATTGGTGTATTAAGTAAAGTCTGAGTATCATCCATCCACTGTAAACTATCATCAATTTCGTTTTTCAATTGTATCAGCTTTATGTCAAGTCCTTTCAACTAAAAAACAAAATTAATCATTTGCTTTCGTGTTACAATACTAAGATATACATGCAACAATTGTCTTCATACCAGTGATATACGTTGAATGACTTGAGATGTAAGAGCTTTCCATCTTTCATTGAAATCCTCCATCTGATCTTGTATCTGTTTGACTAAAGCAGAATCTTCAGGGACATTTTCGGCAACTTTTCGAGCAGCATCATTGAAATCTTGGAAAGACGCCTGCTTTTCAGTCATTTCCACTTCTAATATCTACAGAAACAACACAACAAAATCAATCGAGGACCCTTTTAGGGCCACCAAGACACTAGTCCTTTAACTTGAAACTAGTCCGAGCCTGTTTCCTATCACCATTTTGTTGAAAATAATGTCGACAATTAATTGAAATAAACAAAAGTTATGCCATAAGTACTTCATTCTACTACAACGATAACAAAAACAAGCAGACCTGTAGCTGATCTATTGTTCTGTGAACATCATCAATGTTACTTGCGTCAATCTTGTTCATTTCGCTAACTTCTCGTTCTTTCGATGTTAGCCATTCGTTTAGACGACTTTCTTCGACTAAATATTGTTGCCAACTCATCTGCAACACTAGCAATTGTTCCCATCTTCAAACAAAGAGAGAACAAAATATCTCAACATGTCCATTATTATCATTCAAAGCAATTTTAGCTTCACCTTTCCTCGGTCCATGTACAAACTCTGGAAAATCTCTCCTCCATTATCCCCAACTGTTCCTCAAGTTCAGCTGTGGCATTATCATTAGCATTGTCATCAACTACGACAACCATATGGGTCAGCGAATTCACTTTCTGTTGTTGTGCTTCAAGGTCTTCTTGGAAATGCTACAATATTACAAATGTGCGCATTTTCAAGAATGCTAAATTCACATGAGCCTCAATTTCACAATTACCTTGTGATCTTCAATCTGCCGTTCAACTGTTTCAGTATCAGAGCCAACAGGAGCACTGCCTTCAATTTTAGCTTCAGCAGATGTGAGCCATGACCCAAGCTCATCGATTTGTTTCTGCTGTAAATCCATCAATTGCTCGTGTAACCTAGAGAATATAAAGAAAATAAAATAACCAACAGATAAAAACAACACTTACATCGCAGAGTTAAAAAATGTCTTACTTGCTTTGTCGATCCATAGCAGCCAACCTCAATGCCTCCCAACGATTATTCAACATGATCATTTGCTCTCTAATCTGATGTTCTTCCTTCTCTCCAACTAATGCTTCACTAATCAATTGGTTTCCAAACTCCAACACGCTGCCAATGTTTGACTGATGGTTGGTCAAGTCAATCATAAACTTCTACAGAAACATTGATAAACAATTATGCAATAAACATCTTCTACCGTAAGCGTTCCATCTCCCAAATATACCAAGTAAGTTCCTTCATTTTGACCTTTATCTATAATTACCATTCCCAATTACCTCATGATCATGAAACTGATCCTTCACATCATCGACATCATCTGAGATCTTTGCTTGACTGTTCAACTGTTTCTCTGCTTTCTCTAGCCATGCGAGAACGTCGCTCAATTTTTCGTTATAATCCCGCCATTCTCCAGGTGATGACGTTTTCTCCTCACCGGGTAAAGCCTGAAAGACCACGTCAAGCATTTCAAATCCACGACAATTGGAATTAATGTAGTGTAAAACCTCATACTTCGTTTTCATTTTGAGTACTTTTGGTGACAGGTAGGCTCTGAATTTCTTCCTGGTACTCTTCGTGAGGGAGTGTATCAAACAATGATGTTAAATACATCATGATTGATTTCTTATCCGGCCGATCTCTGTCAACATCTACAAACATATTCGTTTTACATGAAGTGATATACAGTTTTGCAACTATTTTCCTTAAAACTCTCTCAATAAATCCTAATGTAACTCTATCAACGAACCTTCCGGTTCCAGTAACATTCCTACGCCAAGATGTGTATGAGCAACTTTGAACGCATGCTCAAGATTTTCACGCGAGTTGTTTCTTAGTAACGGCTTATAGTCAAACAGATCAGGTCTGAATAAAAAATCGAGAAAGAGTGAGAGGATCACGAGGGATATTTAGTGGATCATTAAAACATGTAGAAAACCTGTGACGATGAATGAGAGCATTAAATGCAAGTCCATTTCTCCAACTTGTTGTTAAGTTAACTACGTTTACACCTTCGTAACTAAACAATAAAAAATCACCATGAAGCTAATGAACGACGAGTCTATGAAATGTTAATATTGATGCTGTACAGTATGGACCTAGCCATACATGAATAGAAAAAAACATTTCACCCTTTAGTTGATTGTTTGCACCAGTCAAGAAGTGTCTTTTCAACTTTAGACATATCTTGTACATTATCACCAAAAACATCACGTAGAACATCGCTCACCTAAAATAAAATTGAGTAAAATCAGCGATACACATGACACATCGTAATGTTAACTTGCATGATAACCATCATTCATATGAAAACGACATTGATTTCTATTGGTAAGCCTTTACGGTTTGTTCAGGTAGATTTAAAAACTGAAGATATAAGCTGGAAGTATGAGAAGACTACATTCTTATGTTCATTAAAACATTTGTGAGAAAGAAGGGCACAGTGGAAAATGGTATTTTGACATATATTTTAAATAATCTTATACCTCTACAATGTCTCAAGTTAACGTATGTATGTTAGGAAAAAGAATATGCAACAAACGACAAATAGAATTGTTGGTTGTCGATCGTGGACTAGATATAAGATAATAAGTGTACAAACGAGTATAAAATAATTACCTGATAATGTAAAATAATGCACCATATCAACGCTAGCGTCAGTTTAGGATTGCCGTTGACAATGTCGTCATTACGAATGTTAACAAATTTAACCTAAAAACATACATAGCAGAAATGTTGTGGTAAATTTTAAACCACCATAAGCAATTTACTATAGCAAGAGGTAATTTCCATTGATTTTTCATACGTACGTTTTGAGAAGTAAGGAAATTCAATGCATGACCAACATTGTTAAGATGATGAACTCTCAATCGTCCTTTTTCTCGTTTCTACAAAACAAAAAAAATTTATCATATTTTTACAATCAACTTACAAACAATGAAGTGTATTTCATTGTTACGATGACATAAACTACTACTTACAACTTTTGTTCCAGTTAAAATTTCGAGAAGAAGAATGAGTTTGGTACCATCTCGAAGATCTTTGAAAATATCCTTCACTTCAGCGTTTGCACGAGCCTGAAAGAGTGAAAGTTTATATAGTCAATAAAAAAAAATCAGTGAATGTTGATTGAAAGGTCGGAGAGTGAGGCTAGGGTCAAGAATTTTTTGACTTTTAATTTTTAAGAAGGCAACAAAAAAAAAACTGGGGCAGTCTCGGTGATGTTAGAATAACCACAATTCAGATTAGTGTCTAGAAACTAGCTACTAGGGAAGGCGTTGAGGATATTCGCCATCCTCCAATATGTTCCATACTATGATCTTTATATGTATAACTCTAAAGTGTGAATAATCAAATAGTAAGTACAATATGTAAATTCTTTTTGAAGGTGCTTCGTCCCCCCCCCCCCTAAAAAAACAAACACAACGCTAGCATATAAAGGTAATGTTGAAACAAGCACATGATGTCTGTGTAAATAAGTAAAGAGTGGAGAGTTGAAATAAACAAGTGCCTCGGGTACAGGGACGGCGCTAGAACACTAATTGAGGGGGGTCTATATTCATATATTCAGTTGTGGGCGAATGATTTCGTTTGAAAGTGATTTGGTTTTCTAAATAAGTCAGTCGGGCACAACTGAATACATGAATACCCCCATTAATGTTTTAGTGCCGTCCCTGCTCGGGTACGGCTAAAGGATGAAGTTACTTAGAAATTATGAACTGTCGAAAACAGGACCAGAACGTGAAGCTTAAAAATGAGCAAAAGCATTTATCGTAGCTATATTAGTTTGAACTGACAAAAATACAAATCATAAACCTTGCTAATCTGTATGTTCAACCATCTTGTAAACGTCTTCTTTTGAATTCCCTCTTGTTCACCTGTCAAAGATTATATATTGTGATTTCATACCGTTTTCATAGTATTCTCGAGTGAAAATAATCTACAATATCTAGGAAAGAATTGAATTTGTAGAAAAATGAAGTGCCATAATATCATAATTTCTTCCAACTTATCATCTGATCAACAACCTTCAAAAAGTTCTATCATAAACCCATCTTAAAGACTACGTTTCTTGGTGATATTTTGACTTCGGGTGACGTGTTGTATGGCGTAGGAATATCGGCAAGAAAAAAAGTGATAGTGAGACCTGGATTATTCTATGGATTATAGATAATAGTAATTAGAAAACAGAAGGTAGACTTGAAGGTTTTAAGATGAAGTCGTTTAGGCTTGCTTTAGGAGTAATTAAAACGTTTTTAAACAAGCCGAAACAAAAGAGAGAGGTGTATGATTATTTTCCATTTAGCACACTTTCCTTTTGTTTCATGTTATATTTTCTATGATTTCTTCTACACGAACGATATTGCAACAGGAAGAGATCGTAATGTATTTTATTGAGGTGAATTGTGAGACAGAGAACTCTAATTATGCATTCATTGATACAATCACGATTTTGGAAATATGAAAGATGTGAGATGAATAATGTTTTCACTATTTCATATTTAGCGATAAAGTTTGACACACAATAAAACTTTTAGCTAAGCTAGCTTCCGAGATCTAAAATTTTGTAATCTTAGTTAAATAAGCAGATTGCTCTTCGACTGTAAACAAAGAAATACTTCGAATATTTAAAATCAACGACCCATAAACAAAACCAAAGTTTTAATCACAAAGCAATCAATAAATGGCCAAAGGTTAGCATTGCACAATTCAAATGGACGAGTGAGCTAGATTAACATTTTAAACATTAAACTCTGGTTTAGTAGACTCTGAATGAAAGAGAAATATAATTCTGATTATAGTCGGTTAATAAGTGTAGAGATATTATTTAAGGTCAGTTGGCGGTATATTTCTTCATCACATAATTCTATACTTTAGCAACGATTTGTATTTAAATAAATTATATACAATTATTTTGAAATATTGCAAAAAAAATATCGCCGTTTACATCGTATACAATTTTTGATAGAAAAATACTGCCTCGTATAATTTATGAATGACGGGAGATAATAGGAAATTGTATTAATTTCAGAGTTCGAAAGCTCCGAAGATACGTCTATATAAGTGAGAAGAGTCCAAAAGGAACAGGAAAATGTATTGTAGTTTTTCAAGAAAACGACGCCCACTTTAACAGGTATTAGATAACTTACAAACACAACGCGACGTCGACAAGAACATGAAAGTTGCGTGGCATATTGCGTGCTATTATATTCTGTCAAGTCTAGTCGGCGTTTTTATGGATTTGAGAGCACGAAATTAGATTTGAAGTGGTGCTCAGGATATCATTTTGGAGTCAATCCCTCCTTAAAAGATTAGCGAGTATTTTATTTTCAAATTTTATATAATTTTCCGTTTTGTTAAAGTATTCATGGCATCTTAACTATAGCGGAGCACAAATATGCAAATATGAAAACAAAAACAAAGAGCGGGGTTCGCTCAACTATTTCACTTTAAAATCATTTTTATTTTCAAGCTTTCTTACAACATTGTGAAGTGTTAGCTATAAAATTGTTTATTTTTCTATAAAGAATTTCCGGCCTTTTTCGTGGCTAGTTTAAACTTGAACTTCCGTTTATATAGGTCACGCAAAAGCTTTGTAGTAATGCAAGGTACTAATAAAAGCCTGTTTTTTTAACTTAATACATTTTGCTTAAGCAAGCTGTTTAAGAAAAGTTCGATGTCTAAGAAGTAAAACAGAAGATGTTCAAGTACTTAAGCAAACTAACTTGCTCTACAACATTGTTGGGAGTATATTCATTTTGAAATTTGCTTAGACGACAGTGAAACGAGAGTCGAATTCGAACTCAAAATTTGCAAGACACACATTTCATTTTGTTGACTGTAAGTCCTAATTTGTTTCGTTTGTGAAATTTATACGGTCAATAGGATGTTTAATATCCTTGAAAATGGATTGACACTCACCTGACTTTTCCTTTATTTTACGGGCAAGTCCGTCTATTCCTGACTGTTCTTCGTTCATGTTCGTTCACTTCTCCTTCATTAAAATATATCAATGCTGTCCATAAATATTTTGTAACTTTGCCACTTTCGTTTATAACAAATTCAAACGGGCACAGTTTCGCTTCTCGTCAGTACAGGGGAACCAAACGTTTCTGCTAGAAAATATTTTTAATTCCTAGCTTTGTGTACAGCTGGTCACGGACGACGAGCAGTGAACAAAGTGCTATAATTATCATACCTCGAATAACATTTTCACGCAAACTACAAACAGATTCCAACGAAAAGAATCTAGACAAATTTGAAAAAATTAAGTATTTACAGCACAATTCGAGGATTCTAAATACAAAGAAAACACAAAAGATATCATTTTAAGATGAAAACGTTAATAAAATTCGACACTTCGTCAAACTGCTCATTTTATTGTTTTTAGAAACTGACATTCCATTGTGTGCTTGTGTAAGATTTTTCATTTCAGATGAGGTCCTTCTTTCTCTGAATCGCTACGTCACTTGTTATCAGCTGCAAGTGCTTGCAACTCTTTATCTGCACTTCTGTTAAAGAGACTTTCTCCATCTTCAAAGTATAGTGGTAAAAATATATGAACAATGTCTTTGACAAGCAGAGTTATTATAAAAAAATACTATCAGTAGTCAGACATAAAGTTTTGTTAGTAAAATATGCACAGAATAAATGTTTTTAATACAGTTTACAGACACTAAAATGTCAATATTCTTCATTATGCACTTCGATGCGCTTAACTAAATAACTATTATGGGTAAAACGTTAGCAGGTTTTTTTAACATTAGCAAAGATTCGTTTGACAATAAAGACTAGAAATTGAAACATTTCTCCTATACTAGCATTTTGTCAAGCCAAGCGTTTGATAAGCCTGACAAATTTATCAAATTTCACACAGTAATACATGCATACCATTTTCACGAAATATAAAAGGAGCTCGAGAATATATATAAGAGCGATTATATACCAAAGAAGTGTTTTGCAAATATTTAACAAGAGGGGGATCTCTGATATATTTTATCACTGCTGAGCCCCCTAACATAACAAATAACTTTAACAAGAAGGGTGAGATCCCCGAGCACCTTCCCTTCCCTTCAATATACCCTTCTAAAGCAACCGCAAGCACTACCGCGGGCGCAGGTCCTACGCGCATGGGTACTTCAATCTCAGCAGAAAACATCCACCACATCTGCATGTCAAGAGAATAAAATTCACAATACTCGTAAAGAATAAATTTTGTAAATATAAACGATCTAAATATTACAAGTTTCAAAGTATGAACTACTATATCAAGGTTATATCAATACCAACATTAGAAACTAATATTTTCAAGTAGCAATGTAAAATAAAGTATTGCACCATTTAAAAAACTAAACAGTATAATCATCGTTTTTCATCACCCATCACATTTTCTTTGAACTGTCCTCAGAGGAACCTTAAAGAATATAACAATATAATAAATGAAACAAAGCAAGAGAAACGAATTGAATATCATCACGTGTTAAAGATACCTCGATCATGAGGAAAGGACGTGTTGATTTTATCCATCACCTGACGCAACTCAGGATCTTGTACACCGCCATCACCATCACTTTCACCAGCAGTAGAATCATTGTTGTAACCAGGCCTTTTCATTGATCCAGCGGAGGACGCACGTGTTATAGGTGACGTGGATTTTTCCGATGGCTAAACAGATAAATAAATAATGACAATTGCGCATGAAACAACGTGTTTTATGCGTAAAAATGGCAATTATCGATAGAAACCTGTTCCAAAAGTTGTTTCAATTTTGCTAATTGCTGTTGCAATTGTCTGTTGTGGTCTTCTAACACTTTCACACGTGACTCATGACGTGCTTTATGTTGTTGCAAAAGCTTGATCTCATCAATGACATCATTTTCACGATCTTTTTGATGACCATCACGACTTGTTGTCAATGACTTCAACTGGGAAAGTTCCTCAAGAAGAGTTCTATAACAAAAAGAAGCAAAATAAACAATTTAAAATTTTTTTAGTATAATTACATTTCATCGCAAAGCTTTCACAAACTAATCTCTTAATATACGCTGGTGGTACAATACTATTACCTATTTTCATCTTCAAGATCAGTAATAGTCTTATCCAAGTCCTCTTTCTCTTCTTCAGCCAGCTCTTTCAATATCTGAGCTGGACTTCGCGGTTGCTATGAAAATCAAGAGAAATGTTCGTTGAATAAGTGATTGTATACGATAAATTTCAACAACTACATATGTACTGTTGTGACTTACATTGGGAATAGAAGACGAGTCCAAACTAAAGACGATAAGAAAAAATATGAGAAAGTACTTTTACACACTGTTTCATTACATGAATTCTCATTTAATAAAACCCGTTCTCATTTATTTTACTTTGTAGGATTTTAAAAAATTATTAAAACAAATTTAGTAGCTTTCATATTATTTAATAATAATTAGAAATATATTTTATAACTCATCGTTACTTGTGTTAGATAACAATTAGTAAATTTAATGTTTTAGCTAAAGATAAGTTCAATTGACAAACCTTCTACAAAATTTTGCTATTAGTTTATGTTCGTCATAGATATCATTGTTTGTTTTACTACATGTTAAATCAAAGCACAATGTAAGAATCTGACAATTACAATATGTATATACTTCATTTAAGCACCAACCTCTTTCCTTTCTTCTGAGGCGTGCTGTATTCTGCAGCAGCTTCAAGATCAGCCAACCTGGAAATTGATGTAGTAATTATCGATTATTTTCTTTTAGGTTAAATTCCATAGTCACTTAATGATTTCGTACCGATTGGCGTACATTCCCAGTTTATTGTGCATATCCTGGTTATGCCCCGGGGGAGGGGAAGCTGGTGTCTCGAGATTAGCACCCTCCATGATTGTTTGAACAGGAAGATATCCAAGATGCTTTGGAGGTTTATTCTTGTATTTTCGAGGCTTCATTTTATTTTTGACAACTTTGAAGAAATCTTTGACATCCTCTGGTCCTGTTGTCTGAATTGAAAAAAACACAACTTTTATTCATAGTTGTTGTAAAAACCTTCATAAAAAAAAGACAAGTGATAAAGACTGTTACCGAAAGACAATATTGATGCATTGGATGTGTGACTAAATGATCACGTGATGTTCTCCCAGAGAAGAAACAGCTTTGGCAGAGGTCGTAGTTGAAAGACTTAAGAGATCTGAAGCGAAGACCAACAATAGGATATTCTTTACAGATTTGACATTTTGCTTCATGCTTGACGCCTTCAGAGCTTGCAAGACGATGAAGAGTAGGCAACCAAATCACGCTTTGTGGTTCCTTTGCAAGCCATTGCGAGAATTGATTTAATGTGACAGCTTCTGGTTTCTTGGCCTTAAAACAGATTAGATGTTTTACAGTATATGAATCAACGTTTTAACGATATGAATAAACGATTGAATGTAAACAAAAAAGCGAAGCACCAACCACCAAACATCCATGTATATCCTTTCTTACCCATTCAAAGCAGCTTCTTACACTCGGTTCAATGTTACTGCCACCAAATGCTGCAGCCTCGCCAAGTTGTTTAGGAATCTAACAAAAAGTAAGTCAGCTATAGAAAACGTTCTCATCTAAAGATCCTTAAAAATAACATGAACTGTACATTTTTTAAAATGACATCGAACATTAACTACCTGCAATTGATCATGAAGGAGTAATCCCATCTTTTTCGGTGACACGTGACCAGAGGAATCGGCAAAAAGATAAAAAAGATCTAAATGAAAAAGGGAAATTTGTTTGAGTAAGAACACGATCGAACTTGTAGCTAATAAGGAGGATTGAATGCACATTTTTGCATGGCGATTTATTTTTAAAACTGAAAATGAACTTCTTACGTTTATACTTCTCATCCAGTGGACCTCGAGACATGCTGATCAAACCAATCTTGAATGAAAATTCCCGAATTTTACCGATACGACCACTGACAAGAAATATCAGAAATCAAACACAAAGCGTTAGTAAAAAGTCGCCATTCAATAATCTCAAATCTAGTACACTGCTAACCTATCATAAACATTCAATATCCAGTTCAAACTGAGATCAATTGACAAAGGAATATTGACAGTCTGTCCATTGTTTCGTTCAAGTTGTTCAAAGATGGAAGTCAAAACTTTCACAATTTCTGAGACTCCAATTATGTCTTCATGAGAACCACAAAGATTGTGAGACTTGAAAGCCTCAATGACGACGTTTATGTCAACCATATCCACTACAAAAATGAATGTGAAATGTTATCTTTGTATTCCTGGAAAAAAATTATGAAAAATTACAGCAGCACACTTACATCCAACAACTTTCTGAATGCATCGTAATTTCATTGCCGTTCTATAAGAGCTCCATTTGACATCGTTTATTTCAGCTGGAATAAAAAATTCAATTACTCAATGCTTGAGCGCGAGGGGAAACGGAAGATAGAAAATAATAAATCCAAAATATGATTTCGACACAAAATTAGTCCGGCTTACCCAATTGATGATAGAGATCAGTCATTTTAGGATGATCCCATTGAGTGGTCTCTGTCTTGTGGCTAAAAAACAATGTAAACAGTAAAAACACGATGTTCATCGTGTTGAAACAAGAGAGATGATATGCCTTACTTGATGTAATATGGAACTTTGTTTGCAGAAATTGCTCTTTCCCAAGGATCAACAACGCTCACTACATAAGATCAACGATAAAGAGTCAACATGCTGAATAATAAGTGATTATGCTTCATCTTATGTACTTTGTAGGGGTCCTTGTGCGAGTTTATCTTGAATCGTATTCTCACGGTTCGACATCTTAATTTCCAGTTCTTTCCAACGACGATGCATTCCGTCAAGACGTGTCTGCCACATTGGCGGGGAAGTCACGTGATTCTTACGTAAGTTATTCTCAGTTCCATCCACGTCATCCAACATACCTTGTATGGGGGAAATGATGGTGTGGAAGTGCTAAATGTGAGAAAATATATTAAAAACATGTTCGATACACGTTTTAACCACGAGTAATTAAACAGCCTGCGATTATCTTCATCTCTGTCATGAGAAAAATGCCTATGTATATGTAGCTACCTTCATGTTATCAGCCTCGTCTTGCGCATTTTCAATGGTCACGTATGTCCATTTATTACTGTAATTCTCAGCTTCGTCAAGTTTTTGATCCAAATCATACACGTTCTTTTCCAAGAGTTTCAACAACTAAAAAACACATTTAGTGTTTATCACTTGCAACCTTTTTTAATAATTTGCTATAGTTATCTAGTATTATCTACACTAATCTACTTACTCTCAAAGCTTCTTCAAGCGTCTTTTGCCATGTTTCACTATTTTTCACTAAGATTGGCCAACGTTCTCTGATCATGTTCAATTGACTTCGGAGATTCTCGGCAAGGTGCAATCGCGATGACGATGCTGATTGAAAGGTGTCGTAATTTTCAAGATGGCGTTTCCCAGACTCCAATGCGCGATCAATAACTAAGCGTTGCATGTTCAATTTGTTTCTGAAAGCCTAGAGAAAAAGGAGGGTGCTCATTTAAGAATCTCAATCGAGATGTCACCATTTAACAAGAAATCTCGGACAATGGTCTGTTTTCACAAATTGAGCCCGTAAGGAGTGGTTTGAAGAAAAAAAAGTTCGAGATCTTATTTTTTTCGGTAATGACTACTGATATGCTATAAATTTGCATTAATGCATTAAACATTGTTAAGAAAATTTGTTTGGTATCTTGTATTGGATATCTGCCTATTTCAATTATTTCAACGAACCAAACAAATACAAAAAATGCCATTTCACTTAAAGATTGCAAAACAATGTCTTTTAATCACAGACCTGATGTGTCTCTAGTTGAACGTTGACAGTTTCAATGTCATTGCCCACTGGTTTCTGAGCCTCCAACTCCTGGATAGCTCGATTTATCCAGTCAACTATCTCTTCTAAATCGAGGAATAACTGTGTCCATTCCGTTGCGCCTCCATCGAGTTTGTGTCCAACATCAATTAACCTTGCATTGAGACTGTTCCATCGATCATTTATATCATCAAGTTTGGATTGAAGAGCAGTAAGAACCTCTCCTGATTCAAGATCACACATTACTGTCTGACCTGTCTCGTTTAGAGAAGCAAAAGTTTCTTGGTGGTTGTTAATATCCACTTCTAAAACCTACAAAGACAAACTTCAAATGTCAACTAAACATAACAATTTACGCAACCTACCAAACTGCGAAATGCTCTCGATCTTATTGAAATAAAAATGTAGAAAAGTCCACACAAGTATTGTGTATTCCAACACTGTTTTCAATGTTTGAGGATAAGCAATCAACAACAATAAATGAACACAAATTACGAACTTTTAGTTCTTCTTTCAAAGATGAGCGATCGGTGTGTTCTTCAGCTGCATCGGCCGCACTATCCAACTCAGCAATTTTTGATTCTGTTGAAGTGAGCCAAGTGAGTGCTTCAATCATGCTCTCGTGAAACTGAACAAGGCGATTCAACTGTTCTTCCAACTTGTATTTACACTCGTTACAACTATCCAATCATACATTCATATTTAGTCAAAAGATACACTTTTCAAGGTATAGACAGTATTGATTGTTAATATTGATGTTAAAAATATTAATTCTAAAACGGTTCTGAACGATTCAGTAAACATGTTTATCTTACCTTGAAGCCAGTTTGTTGTAACGTTGTGTATCACGATGTGAAGTTAACCGAATTTCACTCGGATTATGCTCGGGGAATTCTCGTATTAATTCGTTACCAACATCATCCAACCTATCTACAAGCGGTCGGCAGCTCTCGACTTCATCCACAAAATTCTGTGGCAAACAAAAAGTCATTCTGTATCATAAAGAACCACAGGGATATAAATAAAATCCAATAGCATACCTTATGATTTGTCAGTAGTTCTTCCAGTTCCGCGACAGTATTTCCAGACGCCTTCCAAATTTTCACCATTTTTTCTTCTGCCTTGGTAAGCCATGCTTCCAGATCTGTTTTGATCTGTTCATATTGTCTCCACAAATCCCACATCAGGTTTATCCGTGTTAACCATTCATTAGACTGCTGTTGGACCCTGTGCCAGTGATCCTTGAGAGACTGGACCTGTTGACGCAATATGTTCTTATGGGACTCATCGTCTGTCTCTTCCTCGAGTTTAAGACTCATTTCAGAAATATCATTCAGAAGATACTGTTTACCACGAAGTTCGTCCTCCACAGACTGTAACAACACAAACAGATCATTGATTAAATGAAAATCCTAAATGCATCTTTCAAATCATTCATGATTCATTTATTCTTATCCAGCAAACTAACCTGTTTCTGTTTGTTCGTTAATCGTTCCATTTCATCAACGTTACCAAGCATGATGCGTTGACTTTTAATGACTTCTTCAACAATAGAGAGCCAGTCATGAAGCTCTGAAACAGCTTTGTCAAACTTAGGCCATGGAGTCTTATCTGTAATAAATGGTAAAAAGTACAATTAAAAGTCGAAACAGTAATGAGAGGGATATAAAAAGGAATCAAAAATACAACAGACAATAAGAGGAGCCTAAAAATATGAAAAAACATATTTGCTTACCTTCATCAAAGTGCGAGACAAGTATATCTGGCGTTGCAAACGAAACAGTAGTTTTCTCAACAACAATCGTCATTGAAGGTTGCTCAACAAAACGAGAGATTGTTCCCCAGTCCGCATTCATTTTTCGCCACTTTTCGTGCATCGAGTTAGGAATAGCGCTAGTTGATAAAAGGCTTTCTTCTTGATACTTTTCATACTTCATGTTAACATGATCATACATCGAGCTCTTGTTGGTTAGATTCCGTTCAATTTCCTAAAATGTTCAAAAAGAAATTATAGATTGTTACCTTTGTAGCTACAAAAAAAAACACACATTAACTGACCTCTAAGAATCTGTCGTCTTTTTTTCCAAGACTTGCTTCGTTATCTATGAGATCTTTAGTGCTAGATGTCCACAAGTATAGTTTGTCGAGATCAACATTAAATTTGTTCAAGTCACTAATACGATCTTCCAAAGAATTCCGTTTATAAGGTACGGCCACTTTAATACTCTGCCATTGGGTCTCGACTGCTTCCATGCGTTTTATGACGTCTTCTTTTGACGGTTTGGATAAGATTGGTTTTGTCTGTAGACGTTGTCCTGTTTTACGTATGGAAACAACTGTTTCTTCCTTTCCAACCATTTCATATTCAATATCTTTGACACGAGCAAGTTGATGCTGCAGTCCATCAAGATCAGCGGGAGATGGATCGCGCTGAGCCAACGATACTTCCACTTCATTCATCCATTGAGTTAGATCCCGGCATTCATCAGCGAACTCCTCATACTCCATATCTTCTTCATGGAACCTAAACAAAACTTTTTGATTATCTTCATCGAATTATTGACACGGATTTTTCCAAGATACAAAATCGTCATCTAGTGTTTCATAAGCCACTGATAAACTAACTTTTTTTTGTCTAACTCCCAATCTCACCTTTCACGTCTATCCGCGATCTCTGTACAAATAATCTTCCAGCGTTTATTGAGAGAGTCAAGTTTATCACGAAGGATTTCTGCTTCAACTACACTGGAGTGTTTAATAATCTCATTCCCTGTCCTGTTTACAGCTGCTACGGTGGGTTCGTTGTCAGCAATTGCTTGCTCCAAAGGCTGAGGGAAAGAAAATGGAATGTTAACAATCGTTTTAATGTTAAAAAACAACTTATAGAAAGAATATAGGAAAATAAACGATTTTTGTGCATTGCCTAAGAAAACGTTAACAAATATTAGTTTCATGAAACATTGCTAGACATAACGTAATGTTATAGCAAGACGACATCCTACACCAATGGAAAAAGAAGCTTATGAATGTTTCAACATTATAAAATATTTTCAACTAAACTAAAGTATTTCATAAAGTCATGAAAAAATTCGTGCTCATCAAACGTTATTTGAGGAGCGCTCTGTCACTAAACTACCGTTAAACTTATTTTAAGTCATTTAATATTCTTGCCTTATTGTACTTGAATGTTTTTTCTTTAAGTATCCGATCGAGCATTCACGAAATATGTGAAATTCTTAACACAACTTTGCAATTCGATACGTCATATTTTATAACGTAATTATAAAGATAATTCCTTCCTAGTATAGAGTTACTATCATTAATCGTGTCTTTCCTTTTGATTGATGACTGAAACATTTTTCAAACGAAACGACCAGATGGTTTTTGATGTTTAAAAGCAAAGGGCAGCAACGTAATTAACAATTTATAGTATAGCACAAACCCCTTGTTCTTGCTTAGCTCGATCAATGTCAAGATCTCCGGAAGGCAGTTTGCTCTCTCGGATAATCTTTTCAGCACTATTTATCCAAGACGTAAGATCATTAATATCTCTATGGAAAGTCTGCCAGATCTGAACTGCATTTTCCCAGCGTGCTTTGCGAGTTTTGAATTCTCGATTCAGCTTACTCCAGCGAGATTGAACCTGAACAACAAATATCATAAAAAGTTTTTATTTTTTTAATGTTTCAAATTTCTTATTGCAGCATTCACAAACTCCGCTCCGAGAAAACCGTTGTATTGATCAAGATAAGAAAAATATGAACAAGTTTTATTATTTTTCACCTTATCTAATGCTTGCTCAATCGCCTCAGCTTCTTTACCCGAGCAGTCCTGGACTTCAGTCTCGCTGCGGTCAAAGATAGAGTCCACTTCAGGACGAAGAGTATCAATATCAACACCAATTTTCTACAACAGACAAACAATGTTGAAAGCAATGAAGACGAGTTTTGAAGATGAAAAGGAGAATTTTCCCCAACCATGATTTTATCTTCTTGTTTGGCAAAATCTTCATAATCGCCACCATGAAGTTCAGAGGATACAAGATCATTTTCAATGGCACGGATTTTCTCGAACACTCGTTTGATCTCATCAACATATTTCCATCCAGGTGACATACGTAGGCCAGCGTCAACCTCATCAGGTTGTTCTTTTGGAGCAGTGTATTCACGCCACGAAACTGTCAGCAATCTATGACGACCCATCATTGCATCTTCTGCTTCTGTATTTTAAGTAAGTCTAATTAAGTTAAGCTTGTATTTTCGATAGGTTTCTACTACTCTACTTTTGTAACAAGAGATATGTTAAAACATATAGTTTTCATACAAATTATATAATCTTCACCTTTGGGTTCTGCTTTTCCAGCACATTTTATATCACCAAGAATTGATCCTTCATCTTTGCTGAGCAGACTGTAACAGCCGAATAGGTAAACATCGCCAGTAATACGATCTTGCACCGAGACACTACGAAGTTTCCACGAAGGATCAGGTCCCGTGTTATCGTGCCATATTCTGAGTTTCTCAATCACACCAACAGAAGGAATGCCGGATAGGGTAAAGACATCGACCTTGTCGTTGAAAACAAAAAAAAGTTCAATTAAGACAAAAAGGGATATTTTCTATAACACTAGAAATTTAGAGAGATATTCTGATAATATCTACACATATATATATACCTGCCCTGGTTGAAACTGTACATCGTTGGTTTCAGACTTTCGCAACTGTACTGGATCTGTTTCTCCTTTGTTTCCAAATAATTTCATGTAAACATTAGCTTTAGTTCCAGAATCTTTGTCGTCTCCAGTATAAATACAAATTTTATAACCTGTAAAACGAAGCAACAACACATGTCAATCTGTCAGAAACAGGATTGGACTATAAACGCCACTGGACTATCAACAGCAGTGGAAAATAAACAGAACTGGACAATAAAAGGGACCGGACTATAAACGGTATTGGACTATCAACAGCACTGGACAGTAAACAGAGCTTGACTATAAACAGGATTGGACTATAAACGCCACTGGACTATCAAAAGCACTGGACAATAAACAGAATTGGACATTAAACGGGACCGGACTATAAACGGTATTGGACCATAAACAGGACTGAACTATAAAAAGACTAACTATAAACAAAACTGAATTATCATTTCTTTATCAAAAAATAACCTTGAGGTTTTTTAAACTCGTTGAAGCGGTTACTAATCAACTGTAATTTCTTGCGCATGGTCACAAAATCTTTCTCGGGCATATTATCAACTCCACGTTCTTGAAGGTCATCCACTTTCTTCTCCACAATTTCCAACACCTCTTCGTGAAGTTCGTCATCATTCAATGCGCTCTGGAAGCACGGTAAAAAATATTTAGTTCGTCATAAAAGGATTGTGGGAAAAGATAAATTTTGAAGAACCTTGTGAGACTCTGGTTGAACGTATCTTAGTTGTTTATCCATGTAATTTATCCATAGTTTAGTACTGGGAACGTTACTTCTAAACTGGTACCATTGAGGATTAATTATCACGATTTTCCTGCTGTAAGTATCACACAGCTGTAACCATTGAGCAGATAGCTTCAATAACTCCTCTCGAACTTCGCGTTTTTTAGATTGGTCAGGTTCACGATCAACAACCGCACGACCCTCGGACAAAACACGGTCTATCTTCGGGCTTAGGCCATCCAGACGGAGATTTATTGTCTGGGGAAAGTTAATACGGAATAAAACAAGTTAAAAATCATCACACTCGTAAATTTGTGAATGTTTATCTTACTGACGTCTGGCTGGAAATTTTAGTTCATGTTTTACGAAATACTATTAATCAACATGTATATTTTTTACTTCTTAATGATTTTTTTGGACTGGGTGTGGTAGTATAGATGGGAGTCGAATATCAAATCTCGAGTAGCGATTTGTAAACACAGTATCTTAATCATTACGTTTAATGTATTCTACACACCTTAATTTTCTGTTTGATTTCGTCATCATGTTTGGCTCTTGGTGTCACCTTTATCGTTTCAGTGATTTCTTGAATTGTACGAATCTCGATTAAAATCTCTCGTATTGAACGACCAACGTCGTCTGAAATAAACGACAATAAATTACGTTAAATGAAGTAGGAAAACACACGAACCTTTCTGTATTTTATACTTCAGGACAAAACGTTTGAATCATTATTGTTACTAACTTATTACCAATATTCTTATGGGGTACAACTTCATCTGTACTCCACCATAAATCATCCGAGGAGGAGTCTGGTGCCGAGCTTTGTACAGCAATCATTTTAGTCATTGTAACACCTTCATCAACAGGTTGTTCTCCTTTCTGTTCTTTATGAGATCTCAAAGCGTACTCTAACTCCTTCATTTTGATTTGAATATTGTCCCATCGCCGTTCGAGAAGACGGCGGTAAGGCTCCATCATGTTTGTTCCTGATTTCACGAAATCCATGCTGTGAGATTTCATTTCGTCGAACTTTTGTTCTTTAGTCTCCACATCCAGTTTAATGTTCTACAGAAACAATGATTTCAATTATATACAAACGAATGGCGATATTTAGCAGCGTCAAGCATTGACCTGAATATAACTGGTGGAGGCAAGCAATTAAACTAGTCATAATCTTTCCATGCCCTGACCAAAAAAGTTCAGTGAGCTAAAATGCGTGACTTTACCTCCAGAATTTGGCTTCATGCAAAAACAGGCATGTTTATCAGAAGATAGCCTTCCCGTCATATATTTAATTCAATAGAGCCAACAATTATACGAAAAAACCTTTTGATAGGTTCATACAGAGAAAAGAATTTGATGAGAAGATTCAAAAACCTCAACAAAATTTGATCCCTCAAAAATCACTATCCACAACAGACGTAAAAAAAGATTGTCTGTAATATTTACTACTACTTACGTTAAACTCTCTTTTCGCCTCAATGAAATTGTTTTCTATTTCATTTCTATCCAATTCTGCAAGAGCTTTATCAACACCTTCGACCCAAACCTTGAGTTCTTCAACGATCTTTTCGAAATCTGTTACCTGTATATTAATGACGCAGAGTCATCCAAGAGATACCATATAAGGATTGAGTTTTATAGACCATATGTACCTGTTTCTTTTGATGTTGCAAAGTCGTTTGTCGTTTCTCAGCCAATGAGCTCAAGTCTTCCCATAGTTCATTCACGTGATTTATACGATCTTCAAGGTTGTCCAATTGAGCAGTTTCCGAAAGGTCGACAAGTTCACGACCTTTCTGAGAAACGCTCTGAACCTCTGCCATTTTTCGCGTCAATTGATGGATAAGATTCTATCAAAAACAATCATTCCAAAAATTAAAATTTTTAAGTTTCTGCAAAACTGTTCAATAAACACGACGCAATTTTTAAAATATACTTAAAAACACGACAAGACAAAGGAGAACATCGCTTTCACCTTATTCCAAACGAGTTCTGCATCAACATCAGAAGGAAATCCTCCTTGAATCTTTCTGTTCAGTTCCAGTGATGTATCTTTTAACCATCTCTCGATCTCATACAAGTTGTTCTCAACATCCTCCGACAACTCAAGTGCTTCAGTAAATTCCTGAAATTTGAGTGGATATAAAATTGAGTGGATATAGTCGAAACATTAAACTAGTATGTAATATTGTAAAAAGAAAAAATTAAGGTAACATGTGTTTAAACTACTGTAAAGTTAATATTGGTAAAATGAATCTTGAATGATGCATATATGTAGTAACCTTTTCTTTTTTGTAAAGCTTTTTCTCCATCTCACCATGCTGTACAACAACTTCATCAATACGCTTCTGAATTTCGGATTTCTTGGAAGCATCAGGGATGCCGGCAATGATTTTGTGACCTGTCTTAGAGAATGTCTCAATGGTTTTCTTCAACTCCTTGTTATCGTCTTGAAGTTGCTAAAAGAGAAACAAATTATCAGAGCTGTATACGTAGTTTACGTAATTTTATTAAGACGATGAATTTATACTCTAGTTTCATCATGGGCACATAATGCGAGTTTTTACGACAACATGCAACAGTCGTACTTTGCATTCATTCAGCTGTTTCCTGATCTCTGCTGGTTCAGATGACGTTAATCGTATTTTCTTCAAGCGTCTTGCAATACCATCAATAGATGACAATATCTGTCCATGATAAAATGCGAACTCTGATTCCATTTCACGCGAAGGTCGAGATTTCAATTCCTCAAACTTGGTTTTCATTAACTTCCATTGCACGTGAACATCTTCCATTGCACCGTTCACTTCTTTCTGCTGTTTCTCTGATGCGTTTGCCATTAATTCGCGATTTTGTTTTTCCAAACTTTCCAACATTTTTTCATGTTCGACAAAGCCTGCCTTCAACTCCTATGGGAAAGTAAAATCAGTTTGAAATAACGCGCAGAGAGGTGGTAAAAGAGGTGGTAATGGAGTTGGTCTTTACCATAGTAGACATAAACATACAAAGTCGCTGAATCATTGACTGCCAATGAAAATACATAAATCAAGTAGTGCTTACGTCAATTGTAGCAATGTCTACAGGCTCGCTACTGTCCAGCCGTCTTTCAATCATCTGAATAGTTTTCGTTATCCATATCTTAATCAACCCAATATCTTTCTTCGACTTCTCACGGCGACCAAGCTCTTCTTCAAGGATTTGTTCTATTTTCTTTACTCGTTCCTTAAGATCACTTAAAAGAGTCTGATACTCTTGTAGACGTTGTTTGACAGTTACCATAGCAACCTTTTTAGTAATCAACTGCTGACCAAGTGCACCCGGTGATGACGGGCCCTCCTCGTCGAGTTCTGCCATGCGACGCTGCAACGTCTAAAAAATTAAAATATAGAAAGTCGATAAAAGTGTCGCCTTTGAAGGTATTTGGTAATTTCTTTACGTATATTCACCTCAAGAGATTTTTCCATAATTACATCATCTTTGCCCACTGATTCATAACAAGCCTGTACGTCCTTCTGAATCTCCCCAATCCTCTCAGTTTCTCTATCAATAGCACGGTCAAATGTTTTTATTTCCGATTGCAGCTTAAGAACCTCTTGTTGTTTCTTGTTTAATAAAGTCTTTAGTTCAGTCCAATCTGTATTAAACTTCTTGATCCTTTCACGAAGATTTGTAGCAGCAGTTTTATCCGATCTTGCAATGATTTTGTTTGCAGTTGTGTTGATGCTGGCAACCGCTGAGTTATTCTTGCTTACTTCATGCAAAACTTCCTGTAATGTCCACGTCAAATATTTAAAACCGACAACTTCAATAAACTATAAATTAAAACTGTTCCGACGAGCACAAAAAACAACTTTAATTTTTAAAAAGTGTGTGGATTAAAAAACCACATACTAGATTGTGCTCATTAAATATTCATACAGTACGAGTAAAAACAGTGATCTTGCTGTTCGTACCTTGTAGTGATCCAATCTCTCTTGGGTTACGTCAGCATGCTGCAAAGTACTTTCATCGTCTTCGATACCTGCTCGCGCATGTTTCATCCACGTGACTATTGTTTTGATGTCTTGGTCGAGTTTTTCAGCATCGTTGAGAGCCTTGGAAAGTTTCTCTTTCTGTTCGTTCGACTGCTTAACAGCGACCGCCCAGTTTGTCTTGAGTTCTGCCAGCTGTTTCTTCACCTTGGCAACGTAAGATGGCTCGGATTTGTTGGTGATGTAGGTACCAGTCTCTTGAAGCGAATCCATCTTTCGCTGAAGTTTACCAATATCGCCTTGTAACGCCTAAGAAATAAATACCATTGTTATTATGAGTGGTTTTGGTATTATCAATCCTATAGTGGCGACCGCTGCTCATGAGCAAAAATTGCGAAGCTAATGGAAACTCAGTGGAAAAAAACTTTGACCGACATATAGAGAATTAACATCAAACTTTTCACAACAAACCTCACACTGGTCCAGCTGTAACTCCAGCGATTCAGGATCCCCATCGATAACTTGCTCCTGAATAAAACTCTCGACATCACGAATCCATTTCATTAAGCCAGCAATCTCGCTCTGAAATTGTCGAGTTTGATTGATACCTGAAAAACAACGTGATAATCTCACTTAAGATTATCCAAAATAATCCGAGACAAGATAATCCATGACGAGATACTTAAGAAAATGAATCTATGAATCGAAGAAAAAAGATCTTAAAATATGTCAAGTACACATAACTACCTTTAGCTATTTGATTTTGACGTTTTTCCAACAGCAATATCACTTCCTTATATTTGTCATTGAGTGCAGTCAAACTACGCCGCAGTTGTTCAGCCTTTGGTTTAGTTAAAGATTTCACAATTTTATCAGCGTTATTGTTCAAATTGTCCAATGTCTTTTGATTTGATTTCACTTCAGACTCCATGTTCTATAATAATCAATAAAAAATTACTTATCTACCTTCCTCAACAGCAACACAAATCACTCGAACAACTTACTCTAACAGTCGATAATTGCTCCTCTAACTTCGCTGTTTCAGTGAGTTTAAATTCAACTGTTAATTTTTCTTCAATATCTTTTAGACGCTTCAATAATTCATCCATCGTATCACGATACTGTTGTGGTGGACCAGATTCCAAAGCGACATTTAGCGTTTTTGTTTTGTTTGCCATTAAGGTAAGAACATTGGACCATTTTTCTTTAAATCGAGTCATTTTTCTTTCAACCTCTTCCGATCTCTCATTTTCCTCTAGATCAGAATATTTTGCAGTCAAATCATCGAGCTCCTTCTGTTTTGAAAGAAGCTCCTCTTCTCTTCGCTAAAAAATGTACATCAACAAATTACAAAAAAAACAGGATGAAGAAAACGTAAGGAGGGAGATTTTCAAACTAGATGATTTTCTAACCTTAATGATTTTCTTCTGTTCTTGTATTCTCAACTCGTCGTCAGGAATCTGTCCCATACGATCAAGTTCCTTTTCGGCCTCAATAATAATCACTTCAAGAGTTGTAATGATCTCAATGATATAACTGACTTTCTGGTCTTTCGTAGCTTGATTTAATCGATTTTTTCTTTCGTCTAGTAAACTACACAATTTCTCCCAACGAGAATTAAAGTCTGCCAATAATTGTTCCACAGTCGTTGCGCGATAAGAAACACTCTTGGTTTCAGCAATTATCTCTTTGGCTTTGTTTATTACTTTGGTAATGCTTGTCTTACGTTTCTTTACGGCGTTGTCTAATGACTACATGGAAAAATAGGTTTGTAAAACATCAAAAAAGCTGTAAATAAGTCCATGTCGATCATCATTATGAAAGTGAACCCTGGCCATTACACAGCAAGTATCAAAACAAGAAGAACTTCAGAAGAAAAGCAGAAAGCTTTTGTGCTCGTAACAAAGATATGTACGTACGTAGCCAACAATACTTTATGAAAACTGTCAACTTAGCACAATGATAGCCACTGAAATTATCACAATACGTCAATTTCTACAGGTCTTCTTTTTTGGAGAGAAGGACAGGGGGGGTTGATAACAACAACTATATTTATTAACGGTTTGTTCAATGAGAAAATCACCTAATTATATTGAAGTAACCAAATAGAACTTTGTATTATTTTCTAAGGATGAATAAGACAACCTGAATAAGTTCTTTCTTTTCTTCAAGCTCTTTTGAAGAAACTTTAGTTGGTTCAGCCATTGGTGAATTAAGTAAAGTCTGAGTATCTTTCATCCACTGTACACTATCATCAATTTCTTTTTTCAATTGAGTCAGTTTTATGTCAAGTCCTTTCAACTAAAAAACAACATTTCATCATTTAGCTTCGTGTTTAAAACAATACTAAGATATAAATGCAACAATTGTCATCATACCAGTGATATACGTTGAGTGACTTGAGATGTAAGAGCATTCCATCTTTCATTGAAATCCTCCATCTGATCTTGTATCTGTTTAACTGAAGCAGAATCTTCATCGACATTTTCGGCAACTTTTTGAGCAGCATCGTTGAAATCTTGGAAAGACGTCTGTTGTTTAGCCATCTCTAGTTCTAATCTCTACAGAAACAACGCCAACACAATCAAAAGAAGTCATCAATTTTTACTTCCGGATAGTTTTGCCCCCTCCCCTTTACATTTGAAATGAACAGGCCTCTATACTGGTCCTAGCCTATTTCCTGTAACTATAATGAAGACAATATTTATTGAGGTAAACACAAGTTATGACGTCGTAGTTCATTCTATTACAACGATCACCATTACAAAAAAAAACCAAACAAACCTGCAGTTGTTTTATTGTTTTGTGAACATTATCAATGTCACTTGCGTCAATCTTGTTCATTTCGTTAACTTCTTGTTCTTTCGATGTTAGCCATTCATTTAGACGACTTTCTTCGACTAAATATTGTTGCCAACTCATCTGCAACACTTGCAATAGTTCCCATCTTCAAACAAAAAAAGAGAACGAAATATCTCAACTGTCAACATATCCATTACTACTCTTCAAAGTAATTGCTAGCTTCACCTTTCCTCGGTCCATTTACAAACACTCGACCATCTCTCCCCTAGTATCCCCAACTGTTCCTCAAGTTCAGCTGTGGCATTATCATTAGCATTGTCATCAACTACGACAACCATATGGGTCAGTGAATTCACTTTCTGTTGTTGTGCTTCAAGGTCTTCTTGGAAACGCTACAAGATTACAAATGTTGTATTGAGTTTTCAAGTAAGAACTCATATGACTCTCAATTTCGCCATTACCTTGTGATCTTCAATTTGTCGTTGAACAGTTTCAGTATCAGAGCCAACATGAGCACTGCCTTCAATTTTAGCCTCAGCAGATGTGAGCCACGACGCTAGCTCATCGATTTGTTTCTGCTGTAAATCCATCAATTGCTCATGTAACCTAGAGAATATAAAGAAAACAACATGACAAACAGATAAAAACAACACTTACATCGCAGAGTTAAAAAAAATGTCTTACTTGCTTTGTCGATCCATAGCAGCCAGCCTCAATGCCTCCCAACGATCATTCAACATGATCATTTGCTCTCTAATCTGATGTTCTTCCTTCTCTCCAACTAATGCTTCACTAATCAATTGGTTTCCAAACTCCAACACGCTGCCAATGTTTGACTGATGATTGGTCAAGTCAATCATGAAGTACTACAGAAACATTGATAAACAATCATGCAATAAACATCTTCTACCGTAAGCGTTCCATCTCTCAAATATACCAAGTTAGTCCCTTCATTTTGATCTCCATCTATAATTACCATTTCCAATTACCTCATGATCATGAAACTGATCCTTCACAACATCGACATCATCTGAGATCTTTGCTTGACTGTTCAACTGTTTCTCTGCTTTCTCTAGCCATGCAAGAACTTCAGTCAATGTCTCGTTATAATCCTCCCATTCTCCAATTGATGATGTTGTCTCTTCGCCGGGTTCCGCCTACAGACGATTTCAAAAATTTTAGATCCACGGCGAATTGGAATTAAAGTAGTGTAAAACTTTATACCTCGTATTTGCTTTGAGAAACTTTGATCAAACGAGAGCTCTGTATAGTTTCTGTCGAGGTGCTGCTCAGTTCACTGGAATCCTCCAAAACGATCTCTTTGTGAGGGAGTGTATCAAACAATGCTGTTAAATACATCATGATTGATTTCTTGTCCGGCTGGTCTCTGTCAACATCTACAAAAAAATTCGTATTACATGAAGTGAGGTGTAGTATTGTATTTATTTTCATTAGAACTTTTTTCAAAATTTAATTAAGTCCTTTATGATGTCATACAAACGCAGCTCCATAGTCACACGTATTTTGTTTACACTAATTTTAAATCCCAATTCAACTCTTTCAACGAACCTTCTGGTTCCAGTAACATTCCTACGCCAAGATGTGTATGAGCAACTTTGAACGCATGCTCAAGATTTCCACGGAGCTGTTTCTTAGTAACGGCTTATAGTCAAACAGATCAGGTCTGAATAAAAAATCGAGAACGAGTGAGAGGATCACGAGGGATATTTAGTGGATCATTAAAACATGTAGAAAACCTGTGACGATGAATGAGAGCATTAAATGCAAGTCCATTTCTCCAACTTGTTGTTAAGTTAACTACGTTTACACCTTCGTAACTAAACAATAAAAAATCACCATGAAGCTAATGAACGACGAGTCTATGAAATGTTAATATTGATGCTGTGCGGTATGGAGCTAGCCAAACATGAATAGAAAAAAACATTTCACCCTTTAGTTGATTGTTTGCACCAAGCAAGAAGTGTCTTTTCAACTTTAGACATATCTTGTACATAATCACCAACAACCTCACGCAGAACATCGCTCACCTAAAATAAAATTGTCTTAATTGAAACAGGGAACAAATATCACATATCATAAGGATAGCACATTAGCCACAGGTCATTAACCATCAATCTTATGAAAAACATGTAAAAGTCAATCGATAAACTGTCACGGTCTGAGCATCATAAAGCAAGAAAACATAAAACAGGCAACACATCTTCAAACAGAATAAGTTTACAATACAACATATCATCATAAATCGTTCTCATCAAAAGACCTCACAAAACGAATCATACAACCATTGCTGAAGTAAAATCATAACATATATCGAAAAAGTTTGCATACGTTTACAAATGCCGAAGCCATATAGCGTTAGATAGTGGCGGAAAAAGCTAGACACGCGAGCAGATAACATTGAAACATTCATATGTAGCTATTTTCATTGAAACACTATTGAGCAAAAGAATTGCACAGTGGGAGACAACATGATTTTCACACATTTTATAAATAACTTGGCGCCTGTGCAACAACACTACGTAGATTACTACGCATGTAGCTATGTTGAAAAAAAACAGCATACATGTGAAGACAAATTGTTGGATGTGGATGATGAACTCGAAGCGGTAAAGAATAGCACAAAATAATTACCTGATAATGTGAAATAATGCACCACAATAACGCTAGCGTCAGTTTAGGATTGCCGTTGACAATGTCGTCATTACGAATGTTAACAAGTTTAACCTAAAAACATACATAGCAGAAATGTGCGGTAAATTCTAAACTGCCATAAGCAATTCACTATAGCAAGAGGTAATTTTCCATTCATTTTTCATATTTACCTTTTGTGAAGCAAGGAAATTCAATGCATGACCAACATTGTTAAGATGATGAACTCTCAATCGTCCTTTTTCTCGTTTCTACAAAACAAAAAAATTATAATATTTTTACAATCAACTTACAAACAATGAAGTGTATTTCATTGTTACGATGACATAAACTACTACTTACAACTTTTGTTCCAGTTAAAATTTCGAGAAGAAGAATGAGTTTGGTGCCATCTCGAAGATCTTTGAAAATATCCTTCACTTCAGCGTTCGCACGAGCCTGAAAGAGTGAAAGTTTATACAGTCAATCAAGTAAACAGTGAATGTTGATTGAAAGGTCGGAGAGTGAGGTTAGGTGAGGAATTTTTTCCAAAAATTACTATAAGGGACACGACTGGGACAGTTGGGAATAATTAAAGGATATAAGAACAACCAGGGGATGTCTAGGTAAAATGGAATGGAGTGTTGAATTTATTGAAAAAAACAAAGGCCCTAAATGATAATTGGGTTCGAATACAACTTAAAGGTGATATTAAAGTAACAAGAAATGTCTCAACAACAAGGGCAAACATCTCCTAAAAAACTGAGGGTTCTACATTTTCATGGGGACCATTGTAATGTCATTACTTGATAGAATAGCTCATAATTTTAGCTGAACCAGCTTTTTCACACTCGATTAGTTTCTATACCAACATATTATACATATTTCACAAAGATGGGGCGTGTCCCACACCCCTAATGTGCACCCCTGCTTGTGAAGGGACAAAGACACATTCTTGTACAAGTTACTAGAGACAAAGACACATTTTGGTGAAGTTGAACAATGAGCATAAGTATAGGTGATAATTCTGGTTAAAACAAAAATAACATTTACATACCTTGCTAAACTGTATGTTTAACCATTTTGTAAAGGTCTTCTTTTGGGTACCCTCTTGTTCACCTTAATACAAAGATTGCATTTCAACAGAGTAGTCTCGGGTTAAAACAATCATCAACATATAGAAAATATAATTGTATTTAACCATTGATTATTTGGACAATATTTATAAACTCAAGGAGAGAATATGTAATAAAAGAAAAATATTCTTCAAGACAATGAAGAGTAAAAGATGTGTTTAAGTCAAAATAAGAAATGTCATGATGTAGGTGAGAGTTTTTCACCATAAATTTTGTTGGAAATGGTTGTACATCAAATAATAATATACATATATACTTATGCAATTTCCCAAGATGAAAAGCAGCTTGAAAGCTTAAACACCTCATGCAAAGCATTTAGACACAAAAATACCTTTATAGGATTCCATTTACTAAAACGTAGCAAGAAAATCACCCTTTCAAGTGAACAGTCTCGTCAAATTAAAGCTTGAGTATGTAAAATCTCAAATTACAATCACAACAAGGTTTGATAACCAACAGGAATAACTATTTTGTGAATACAAAACTTTTGATCCAAAATATGAGTAAGGAGAAGTATGATGATTAATCCAAATGAATCATGTAATCAGTAGTGTTGATGTTGAAGAGCAAAGCAAAACAGAAATGGTCACTTAATAGCTTTCATGATAACAGAGAGTAGTATTTCCTCTCAGGAGGTGGTACTAATGAAATATTGCTGTTCATTGGCTTATTTTTAATATTATAACACCCCTTACTTTCATTTTATATTATATTTTCAAATATTTTCTCTATACGAACGATATTGCTACAGGAAGAAATCGGAATATATTTTATTGAGGTGAATTGTGAGACGGAGAATTCTAATTATGCATTCATTAATACAATCACGATTCTGGAAATATGAAAGAATTCGCCGCGTGAATATTTTCCATTTTTGAAAGTCGTGTTAAAATGTTGGCATCAATAAAACATTGTGAAAAGCATCAACATGGATTACTTGGTTATTGTTTCATGAACGGAACATTTTTAATCACCACCTGTTAGCAAAGAAATATTTCGAGTATGCAAGATCAAATGTGATATGGAATCGACTTTGATCAATAAACAAAACCACATTTTAATCATAAAGCAAGAAATGGTTATGAATTTGCATTGCATACAGCAAAATGACTCTAAGCAACAACAACATGATACCATCCTAACATTTTCAATACTAAACTCTGGTTTAGTAAACTCAGGCTATGAAAGACAATTCTGATTATAATTCTGATTAGTTACGCCTATGCTATGTGACGCGAGTTAATAAGTGTTGAGATATTGTTTAAGGTTAAGTTGCCCCAGTTGGAGGTATACTTCTTCATCACATAAACTAATTATACTGTATACTTTAGCAACGATTTATAATTAAATACATTATATACAATAATTTTGAAACATTTTGCAAAAATATCGCCGAAGGCAACAACGATAGACTTAGTATACAATTTCCGACAGAAAAATACTGGCCCAAATAACTAATGAATGACAGGGATAATGGGAAAATGCCCTATTTTCTGCGTTGAGAGCTCTAAATATCCAAAGGTCACAAAGGTACAAAAGGTACAGGAAAAATATATTGTAGTTTTCAAGGAAATAATGCCCTCTGACAGTATCAGCTAAGTGTAAACAAAACACTTAAGGACGTTCTATAATTTTGTGTTTAGATTATGAAATGTATACGGTCAGTAGAGGGATGTTTAACATCCTTAAAAATGGTTTGACACTCACCTGACTTTGTCTTTATTTTAAGGGTAAGTTCGTCGACTCCTGAATATGCTTTACTCATTTTTATTCACTTTTCCTGAATCAAAGCAAATCAATGAACTCCATAAATATTTTACAAGTTTTCCACTTTGTTTATAAGTATTATAAGAAATTTGAATTGAAATAGTTAGACAGCACGTTCAGGTTGCCACGCGCTTTTGCTAGAAGATGCTTGTGTATTTCCTAACTTTGTGTTCGTCACGGACGAGCAGAGTACTATAATTATCATATCAACCTGTGACAGAGCTTTTCTCACGCTAACAAATACATTAACAATGAGACCAGGTAAATTTGGAGACAAGAAAATATTTCAAATATAATTTGAGGTTTTTGAATGAAAAAAAACAAAATAAAACCATTATGAATAGAAAATTTTGAAGAAAATGGCATTCATTTGAATTGCTCTTTTAATTGTTTTTCCGATATTGACACGATCAACATACGACAGTTGCCGATGATTCGAAATGAAAAATACAACTTAACACCTCATTAAAAAAACATTTTATGGATTGAAAGCTGAGAAATATTGTACCGCAAACTTTGTGATGAATATATTTAAATACCTAAATTTCAAAACTACTTTTTTAAAAAACTTTTTATAAGTGACTAAAATAAAATTCAAAACTTTCATAATCAGTTGTGATATAAAAAAAGGCTATTTGAAAATTGCCATCTTTTTAACATTTCTTTTGTAAATCACGGATTCGCCTCTCATTAGTAAGGGAAACGCTTTTCTATCGCTCTTTATTCCCATGCTAGTATTGTAAAGACAAGGCTTGCATAGTCTCGTCTTCCTTCCTGTAACGATAAAAATGAATAGTAATATGAGCGAAACTAATATCGTAATACTCTTAAAGCACGAAAGTTTATAGCAAAAAGCCATTATTCGAAACGAACTCGCCGCCAGCTCAACTATTGTAGCATTCTTAAAAATTTCAGTAAAAATGGTTGTTGACCCTTGGTGGATCAGTGAATCAAGGCCAACTGACAGAGATATTCAGAAAATTTGCAATAAGGTAAAACACCTCTATCCTATTTTTTGTCATAGGATCTAATAACATACTTGTGCTTTGAAAAAGCATACAGAACTTTAATTTTTCTCTATTAGCGTTTCGTCTTCATAAAACCCAGGTAAAAAAGACTTTCAATGACGTTTTCATTATATTAATAATGTTAAGGTTAGACCTGTCGCTGAATACACAGCAGAAAAGGCAAAAAAATGCAAAGTTCCATTTCCAAGATTTGTTGCAATTGAATATAAAACACAACTGGAACATGGGACAAAATACTTTGTTAAGGTAAAATGTCGGTCTTATGTTTCTTTGTCACATCAATTTCATTGAAAAATATTTAGATTTCTCTTAGTTTTCATGTAGCTGGAACAAAGACCTATGTGGCATAACTTAGCTACTAAAATTTATATACAGGTTGATGCTGGAGTGTGTTTTGTTCATCTCTGCATTCATCAAGACTACGAATGTGGCGGAGGAAGGATAAAACTCGAAAAAATGTTAGTGAATTTAGACGAAGATCATCCATTGGAGTATTTCGATTAAAACTTTGCCACAATAGCTATAACAGCACTTAGCTGAAAATATCATCATTATCTTACACGTATTTGCTTTTAATACTTGGACCACCTAACGTCTTTTGTACATTTCAAGCAGTTTGTCAAAGAAACGATCGATTCAGTGACATATATATGTTTCTCAGTTTTATACATTTATTTCTAATCATAGTTGCGTGCTCTATATAAATAATATTATAGATAAATGTAAATCGTTTTGTGTCATTTTTACTTCTTTATGACTTGTTTTTCGTGATAAAAATTTTTCCTGCCCAAGTTTTGGATGTTTTTGATCTTTCTGTATTTCATTATGTATGCCGATATTTTGAATTGTTACGTTCATGGCCTCTTGCCTTCAAATTACAGCTGGAAGATTTCTTACATTTAGTTACAGCAAATAGAAAACGACTAATTTTTAAAATAAATTACAATAGCATATTTGCAGATAGTTTTTAGCAGTTTTTCGTCTTCGTTTTTGCAACATATGCCAGTTAGACTGCGGTGTTGTTTTCATCTAATCATTTCCAACTGCGACATAAAATAGCCAAAAGATGCCGATGAATCTAATATTTATTGGTTTCGCTGCATGTCTTTCATGTTAGTTTGACTGTATTTCTATTTTATCAGTTATATGCGGTTCGTTCAATTTGACACTCAATGTTTTCGTAAAAAAATATTGGTTTTAAGGCTAATGGAAAGAGGAGCAGACGAATAAATAATTGAACTTTATGCGAAATAATCTTTATCTAATGATAATCAATAAATTTTTCATGTTTCACAAAGGTAAGTGTCGAAATGAGCGTGGATCATTTTTCGTACTGAGGGCAGTATTCATCCGCTTAAAGTTGTTGTAGTTGAACCAAACTATAATAATCATTCTGTGTCATTTTCCTCAGAAACTGTCTAACTGACGACACGAGATTATAGTGTTTACGACAAAGATACTTCTAATCATTAATAAACACAAGTATCATAACAAAAGGATTTAGTTAAAGGTTGGAATCTTCACCGTGAAATCACATTTCAACTGAAAGGTATGTCAATACTAAATAGAGATGATTGAGGACTTATTAGGGAAAAGGAAATGAAGATTTAAATACAATATTTCAAAAGAAAGTTTATAATCATACAAGGTTATAGTAGTTCAAGAAAACTATACCAGATGGCTTAGAGTTTTCTTTGTCAAAAAGAAGATCTGATAAACAGAAGAATCAAACTTGTGCTGTGTACACTTTGAAAGCGGACAAAAACCAAACCCTACGAGCTTTCTATTGCCATAAATCATGTAGATCAGAAAATAAATTTAACGCGTTGCTATAGACTCAAGCACAATTCAAACATCATAATGTGTTAGTAAATATATAGGACCTGTTTCATTCTTGACAACATTCCAAAACTGTGCACGAAAGAAATTTTTAAGTAGCTAACTGCCAAAGAATACATCTATGTGTAAATGCTGTTGGGAGAACTTCTACCAAATGAAATGTTTTATTTAATTTCCCATTAGAGATCTTGAAACTAGCGAAAGATTTAATGATAAATTGTATTATGTTTTTGATGATATTTTACGACGGAATCAAATGGAATGTTCATTTATACTATATATACTGACGATAAATTTTACTTTTAAAGAGAAATAAAAAAGGTTTTTAATATTTTCACCAGTATACAGTTGAAAGATAAGTTACTGTCTGTCCTACTGCAGAAACAATATACTAATAATGAAAGTATTACTAATAATGAAAGTAAATGATATAATAAATAGATAATATGGCTTTTAGACAATTTGGTGTGTTGCTTATCAATCATTAATTTTCCTCAAGTAGATGCCGTCTGTTCACAGTTAAAACAGTGTGACTTCTTTTTCATTTTAAGAAGACAGGCAACTTGAATATGACTATGAAACTCAGAGCAGAAGGCAGAAGGCATATTATAGTGTGAGGAATGATTTCATGTTTTTAACTCATAAGTTGATTAAAACTGGAGGTTTGCTTCAAGGTTGCGGTATGTTAGTTTAATTAGATATGTCAGTTGTCGATTTAATATAGTTTTAAATATTTACTAGTTGTAAATTGCTGGCGCAGTGTGCAAGCGTTGAGACGTATTGCATTTGTAGCGTTACTTTGCAATATATTTCGATTCTTATTTCTCAACAACATAGCACCATACTATTTTTTAAGTAAATACACTATGTTAGGTAAATGAAGCTTTGATTTGTAAATTGTTCATCAATCAAATCTATGGAGCAAAGAGATTCAGATATATATATATATGTATTCAGTTCCTCGACAATTGGAGGGGGAGCAATATTCATATATGCATGTTATCATCCGCAGAAAACAATTGGTTTGAAAGGAACTTAATATGTGGCAGGACATGAATTATGAATATTGCCCACCCTCCAATTATCGGGCCAAGTAGTAGCTAAAGCCTTGGATTTTGGAAATATTAAGAAGGTGATGCCTTATATATATTATTGTATACAATAGCCTGTATAATATACTATAGTCAGAATAATATTATCTAGCTACTAATCAGTGTAATAGTTAAGAAATAAAAGATGTTTGCTGTGTTTGCACAGGCTTATGCAAACCGAGGAGCCTTTTGGGGGGACTCAAGAGCAGATCAGTGCAAGCCAGTCATCGAAGATCGGGAGTTGCATTAGTTCAAGAATTTTAACAAGTCACCAGCGTCCCCAAGGTTTGCGTAAGCCAGTGCAAATACAAAAAAAAACATCTGTTATTACTTTTATAAAATAACAACAAAGCGAAACAGACAAATTGGTTGGATCGATTTAATGAAAACACGACTATCGATCGCACGTGTTTTACTGTATATTATTACAGATAACCACAATAAAAACGATTACCTTTCATCTTTTAGAGATGAGAAATTTGGTGATTTTGCAGTTTGTACAATGGCTGTACTTTGTTGTTCATGTTGTTGCAGCCTTAAACACGCAAGAGGAAATTAGCAAAAATCATATACTGCTCGATTTGAACAATGTCCAAGCTGTAGAACAACCGGACGAATGTCAAGAATCGAATGTCAGTTTTAAAGGTAAGATACATTTACAAAAATTCCATAATGAAAATTAAGTATAGTTGACCATAAATATGATGAATTTTTCCGAAAAAGGCAATTAAGTCGATTTACATCATTGATATTCGGTCAACCTCAATTTTATTACTATCTAGAGTTACAAACCTACATCTTATTTGTCTTTTGTAGCTGGTAATGGTTTTGTAATTTTTTCGATGAACGTTTTTTTTCACATTTTAGGAAAAAGTTTTAATCCGACACTGTCTCTAGATGAGCGGTGTGAACAAGGTCTACCATTGTCGGTTCGTTGGACTAACTATGGACCTTATAGCTCTTTGGTAAACTGTTCCAACAATGGTTCCAACAAAACTTTGTTAAAAGGAATAATCGCTGATGTCATTAATGATATGTTACCAACATGTTGTCACAAAGATTCCAAAGTAGTTTATGGTCGTTATATTCGAACGTTTGAAGAGCTCGTTAGTTTAGAATCGAAATACCAGCATGAAGACATAATGTTTCCAATCAGCTTTCAGAACACAGAAATTTCAGAATTCAAAGGACTTCCGGTGGTGCAATTACTGACAGCTCCTAAGACGACCTTGCTTGTACCAGAAATAAACAAAAAAGGAAAGATATTTGTTTTGTTTCGGACAGTTGCTCTAGCTTGGCCTATGTTGATATTTATATTTCTTGCTGCCATAATATCTGGCATGTCAATGTGGCTTTTGGTATGTGCCCTATAAGTGATTGCCGGCCACCATATACATAAAGGGAATGACAGAAGGAAGTTAAGATACATTAATTTTTATTTAAGGATCTCATTCGATTTACAAGACCGCTTGAATTTCCAACAAAATTCACAGATGGCGTATGGGAAGGATTTTGGTGGGCAGTCGTTACTATGACAACCGTGGGGTAAGAATTTGGATGATTATTGTAATAAACACCAAAGTGTTCGTTCTATATATTTGTTGCTTAAGGTACGGTGATCGCGCACCTCGTTTCTTCATTGGTCGAGTGTTCTGTATCATATGGATACTTATAGGAATGAGCATTATTGCAATCTTTACTGCTATGGTAACTGCATCTTTATATGCATCTATTCAGTATCAGCTAATCATACACGGATCAGTGGTAAGTCTGCTTACTGGCTTAAGAAGCTGTTTAACAAAAGATAAGATGAAATTCCGTGCATTTAGATGGGTACTGTTGGTGCTAGCCAAGAGGAAATGATAGGGACAGGAATGAACGCCAACGTAAAAAGTAAAAGCTTTCTGTACCATCCTACCATTTTTTAATAACTTTACCTTTTCTTTGCGGGACGTTACAAACTCAATACGCCAATATTCAACCGTCGAGAATTTATATTTCAGGATTCAAAACACCAAACGAAGTCATCGAAACTCTAGTGGAGAAATCAGAACTGGATATGGTTATCATGGACAGCTATCTTTTGTCATTCTATCATGAAATTATAAAGGAAAAACCAGTGAGAATTAAGGATCATCTGGAACAGCCAATCAACTACGGTTTTGTTTTAAGTAAAGGCTCCGAGAATTTTACACAATGTTTCAGGGCATACGTCAAAAACTATCCACAAAAAATATTCAAAAGCATACGAGATAACATTCACCCTCTGAAGGTAGGTTCATCAAGCCATCAATAGCATTAGTTTGTACAAGAGAGAAGAGTGGCTTTCTCGCCAGAGCCGTTCTTAGAAAGTTTATCAGGGTTGTGTATAATCCTTTCAACAGAATGGCCAACGAACTTGTACCGAATACATTGGAGCATTTGGAGGACAAAACCTCAATAATTTTCAAGCTCTACTAAATGACACCCCTTAATTGAAATGCGTTAATTTATTAATGAAGATCGCGGTAATCTATTTCAACTACATAGAAGTAATATTATGAAGACAGTCATGAACTATCATGCATTATCTACTTCATGTTAGTAATTTACTGACACTGTTCAAACTGCATGTTTACCGACTAACTGTCTTGCTCTTAATGTTACCCTTGATTTGTACCAAAATTTCAGTCTCTTAAGTCTTATTTAAGTTTAATCCAAACTATCCACAATGTTGTTGTTTAGTCGTCAAAATGCTTTTTTCTGCCGACTAATACAGTACTTTTACCGACTGCATTTCCAAAGAAAATTTTGTGGGGTGTGACACCCCGCCCGCCATACGTACGGCCTGGGCTCTCGCGACGTTTAGCTGCAATACAATGAAAAAGGAAGAACTTTGTGTGGCTCTTCCTAAAAATCCATGCATAGCATGCATAACAAATCGTACGAAACACTATGCATAGTTCATAATGTAAAATGGTTGAAATCAAACGAATCAAGTGTTATGAAATGTTGTGTAGAACCCGACAGACGAAACAAGTGAAGAACTCCTCGCATCTCAGGATTTACTTCGTGAAGGCACGTTCAAGAAAATCCTCGGCATCATGGCAGGAGTAATAGGCGCCATATTTATCGCTGGAATTGTTTGGGAGTTCATCATTTCTAAATTTTTATACAGTTAGTGAAGTGTCTTGTTTTGCTGGTGTTAGCATATGGACAATGACTTTCAAATGAAAAAAGTTAATTTTCATATTATTTTGATTAACAGAAAACGCGAATAATCAAAAGAAAAAAAACAGGTCTCGAATCCTTCAAGCATTGGTCGGTTCTCGTTTGGCACAATATACTAATAAACGCCGGGAAAATGAAATGCAACAAATTGAAGTGATAAGACAAAAAACGACAAAAATACGACAACTTATTGCAGACTTTGATGATTTTTACAAGACATGGTTCGAACAACTAAAACAAGTAACAGAAGATGACGAAATAGAGTGGGGAGATTTTGGTGAAAAATCAAAAGATAGCAACATGTTAACGATCGCATATGATGGTAACAAAAACGGGTCTCCTTCAAGCCTATTGGTAAATAATGATGACGTAGAACTTGGCTAAGAATCACGTGACATAAAAACCGTAAATCCTTCTTTAAAAATTTGACTCTTAACTATTATGGTAATACGATTTTGTAGACAGCGCCATAGCCAGCCCACACGTTTTGTCGTGCGGAGGTAAATATTTCGGTGTTGACTTACAGTAAAGACAACACATTTCTAAGAAACAAGTTGTGCCAATGATCTTAAATAACATATCATTAACTTAGACTTGCACGCCGGCCATGTCATTGATTGTACATTGGTGAATTAAGATAAATGTGGCCATAAGATAAATAAAATTTTTAAAGAGGTAAATTACAATTGCAATCATTAGCTCAAATCATTTTGCACTGGCTAATGCAAACACGGCTATAGACCAATCGGCGCACGCCTTTTATTGTTCTTATTTTATTCGCAGTTATAGTTTATAGCAATTACCTGTGATGGATTTCAAAATAGCAAATACCATGGTGAATGGTGATAATAACAATGTAATAGTTCTTAAAAGACCTGTTTTAACCATAACACTAACCCAACAATTCAAAGGAACTGTTATTTACAGCTAGAAAAAGACACTATGCATTTCGGCAGACTACTCATCAGGTGTCAACGTGTGCTAAATGAGAACCTCCAAATCATGCTATATTTATAATGTTACAAAAGGTCAATGTCACCCCTATTTTTAGAGATGACACTTAAAACAGAGACAGATTAAACACGTAATTCTTTTGCCGGCAAAGGACAGGATTAATCAATTTAATTAATACTGACTCCATGGCGCGTAGCTGGAATAACGAGAGACATTTTTAAATAATTTTAAAGTTTTCATCAGAATAAGCATTGGCACAGCGAGTGTTGCTTAAAAGATGTTTTCCAATCCCTGAATCACATAGAATCGGATTTTCACTTTTACACCTACGTTTTGGTAGTTGTGGTAAAGGAACAGTTTTATTCCTGACAGAAGCTGGTACATGCTGTTTTATTCTTTCCCTCAACCTTTGAGAAGTCCTACCTACATAGCGAGCATCACACTCACATTTAAACTCGTAGACTACATTGCTTGATATTTGAGCAGGGAGAGACTCTTTGGGAGTGGATGGAAGAATAGTTCTTTTTGAGAATATAAAGACCACATCATTGCATGCAAAAAAACAAACTCTCAGTGATATTTTTAGTTTCCTTCTCGATGTCATTAGAGGCCTTACCCATCCAGGGAAGTTTAAGGAAAACAGGGCGCTTGGCTGGCCCGAAAAGTTTATTACGTTCATTGTTAGTGGATAAGAAAAGTTTGTCTAGCAACTTTTCCGGATATCCATTTAACACAAAAATATTCTTCAGTGAGATAAGATCACTATCAATAAACTCTTTTGAGGATAATCTATGCGTTCGCTTTATCATACACTTCACTAAAGAAATCTTTTCTCTATGCGAAGGGAAAGAGTCAAAGCGTGTGTACAGACCAGCGAAAGTTGCTTTGCGATAAATGCTTGTTAAGAGCTGACCATTGCGTTTGTGTACGAGAACATCTAAAAAAGCTAATTGATTGTTTGACTCTAGTTCAGAGGTGTAATTTAGTGCAGGGTGAAGAGAGCAAAGTTTATTAAGAAAAAGTTAACGATTTTTATCGTTATGAAACAAAGAAAAGGTGTCATCCACATAACGCTTATACCACAGCACATCCGGACCATCTAAAGATGCAAGCATTTTGCATTCATGATAGCCAACAAAAATATTCGCAAAACAGAGAAGATTACAACAGCAAAATGCTAAATATTTTGAAAGACAACAATAAGTTCTGCGCGCTTGGAAAATTGCAGAGTGCGATAAAACTAGTACATTAGAAAGGAAATTGCAAACACTTCTTTTAAACTTGAAAATCAAACCAAATTAATGAAAATTTTTATAATTTAGTCCGCCCAAGGGGGAGAAGAGAGACCACGTATGTATGGTTTGCCAAAAATTCACAAGGAAGGCGCTCCACTTCGACCAATTCTAGCCATGATTAACTCAGCTCAACATGAGCTAGCCAAACAACTGTCAGTGGTACTTTCGCCCGTTTTGGAGAGGTTTTCAACATACGCTTTAAAAGACTCTTTTACTTTTACTGATGAGCTTAAACAACAAAATTTTTCAATTTATTCTAATCTAACGATGTGCTCTTTCGATGTAACTAGTCTCTTCACTAATGTGCCCTTGGAAGAAACCATTGAAATTTGTGCTCAAAATCTTTTTCACTCGGACACGACTTTGCCGGACATGTCTGAGAATGCCTTTAGAGAACTAATGATGGCTGCCACAAAGGGTGTGGAGTTTAGTTTTGATGACACCATGTATAAACAAATTGACGGGGTGGCTATGGGTTCTCCACTTGGACCGGTTCTTGCGAATATTTTTGTTGGCTATCATGAATGCAAAATGCTTGCATCTTCAGATTGTCCGGATGTGCTCTCTCATTAAAAAGGTAAACGCTTTTCTATCGCTCTTTATTCCCATGCTAGTATTGTAAAGACAAGGCTTGCATAGTCTCGTCTTCCTTCCTGTAACAATAAAAATGAATAGTAATATGACCGAAACTAATATCGTAATACTCTTAAAGCACGAAAGTTTATAGCAAAAAGCCATTATTCGAAACGAACTCGCCGCCAGCTAAACTATTGTAACATTCTTAAAAATTTCAGTAAAAATGGTTGTTGACCTTTGGTGGATCAGTGAATCAAGGCCAACTGACAGAGATATTCAGAAAATTTGCAATAAGGTAAAACACTATGGCAAGCCATTTCGGAAAAAAGGTGGTCGAGAAAAAAATCTCCGTTGAGAAAGCAAACCGATGTTGAGAAACACGTGTTTATCATTGAGAATTTGCAGATGGCAGTTCAGTAAAGCAAATATATTGTGAGAAAAAATTCCCGGTCGAGAAAAAAATCTCGGTCGAGAAAAAAATCTCGGTCGAGAAAAAAATCCCGGTCGAGAACATTGAGTTCTATAATAACTGGAGCGGCTATCTTTACTGGGGCGAGGTCGCCAAAAAAATGGCGGCCAACGGACGTATTTCCGCTGAAATGATCGCTTTGCAGAAAAATAATATTCTCGACCTCCCCCTGGTGTCTATAGTAAATTATAAAGAATTTTTCAAAAACAAACACGATATCACAGAATATGGATATCGTTAGTTCCATATTCTGTGACGATATCTTTTTTGGCATTTCTTTTATAATGCCAACAAATCGTTCAATTGTTGGATGTCGTAGTTTCCACAAAAGGAACATATCGCTTCTCACAGGTGAGGTAGTTGTTTGTTTTGTTAGTCCGTCAACGATTGAAAAGCAATTATACATGCTTGAAAAGCCATAAAATACATAATTTTTGATCATAATTTATCATCATTCCATAGATCGTAATTTTAAGACTGACTTGAACGCCAAATATACTGATGTTTTCCTGTTTTTGTCTATAAAATTCTGCATACTTTTCTGTCATTTGTTAATGCATGAAATCGTAAAATTTACCTATCTATTTGCAAAATAGTTTCCCTAAAGCAAAGACCCTGCACACATTTTGCTCTGTGAAAAGTATCAAGAAGAAATGATCAGCCCCAACAGTACCCATGATTTGGAGCAGAGCTTGTTATGTTCTATTTGCTGACAACATGCAGGGAAGACCAAGAGTAAAGATGACTGGAAGATGTTATTGACCAGGCAGAGTCTTAAAAAAGTGATAATGCTGTAAAGATAATTGATTTATTGTCTGCCTTATCCAGAGTTATTTAATTTGATCATGGTCAAATTCTATGGATGGAGACAATGGATTCACTAATGATGCCTTGAATGCTTTGAAGTAAAAGTTCATGAACCAAAAAAAGATGGCAAGAAGGTTGTTTGTTTTTGATGCTTAATTAAATGTCAATTCACAACATATAAAATGGAAAGGCCATAAAGTTTGTGTCTATGTAAACATTTGTACTGAGATTGATGATGACTTGATGCAGATGTGAAGCATTAAACTGAATAAGCCATTGGGTTTTATATAACATAATGTTTAAATCATGTCATATCTTTATCAAAATATTTTAGTTGAGTGTTGTTTAAATGTTACTAATATCTAATGCACTATACTAAAGCATTAAAGATTCAGTGATGAAACCTTTAAAATTACTGTACTGTATATCAAAATGTGCTACAACTTTACAAGTATTTGATGCAGTTGCACTTCAGAACATCACAAAAGGTTACTTAAAGTAATTTCTATACAATATTGTTTGTTTTCATTTACCAAACCTATGCAGACTTGAGTCTTTTGAAATTTCATGTGAAACTCAATTACAGAGAAATCCGTAAATATCAGAGATTTTATATGTACTTTTAAAAGAAACAAGTAAAATCCTACAATTGTGGCGAAAAAAGCCATTGCCCATTGCATGAAAAGAAGAAAAATAGCAATGATAACAAATTAAGCTAACTTCTCGTGAACCGTGGAGATGAACTATGATATACTTTTTGTATAGACTAAAGAGTTTAATCGATCAAACAAGTTTGACGCTGGTAAAGAAACGACATATCTGCATTCATAGATGTGTAGCCGACATATAGCTCTTTCGTCGATAGTTATAAATACATCCTCGTAGGAGCCGATAACTGGAAGCTAGGTTGACTCGCTGTTACGAATTGTAGGTTTTAACGTTTTCATCAAAAATTGCTTGCCAAATCCCAAATACACACGTACATTTTCCTCACTTTTTCCTCAGGAGGGAGTGGGAAATTGTGAAATTTTCGGAAAAGCGGTCAATTTCGGTAAATCTCAGCGGCAAAGGACGAAATCCGCCATTTTTTTGGCGTCATCAGATATCTAAGGCCGCGCTTGAGATAGCCGCTCCAGTTATTATAGAACTCAATGGTCGAGAACCAGTGCACGCACTAACTGAAGATTGGACATGAGGCAGACGGTGGCTGTCATGTAGCACTGCATATTTGGTACTAATATGAATTTGGCACTGCTTTTAACAACACAATCATCAGCACAATTCATCACCGCATTCAACTGAAATTTATTGATAAAAACAATAAAGCAATAAAGTCCTGTTGAGGGACTTACTCTCTATTCTCTGCGTGGTCTATTTTGAATGATAAATTTTAGTTGAATATGATGATGATTATTGTGATGACTGTTGTATTGAACGTGGTGCCCATATGTGGGTGCCCATTGTGGTGCCAAATTCACAGTAGCAATTGTAAGATGGATGCGAATGCGAGTAACGGGTCACCAAGAGCAGGTCAACTTATTAACAACATTTTAGCTCGAGTCGAAGAATTGTCAGAAGTTATTTCACCATGTCGTGAAAACTCTGAATTATCGTCTATAAACGAGGAAGTGGCGCGATCTTTTAATCGCGGAGGCCGAGGATACGACATAAATTTACAACAATCAACAGCAACGTCGAGCACAGGTACCAGTTTTGCCACCGTTTCGTCCATAGAACCAAGGCAATATTAAGGGGCCAAGTGGTCCTTTCATACGAGACATAGTCCTTTTGTCAGGGCCAAATGTAAACGCTGTCCCCCGCCAAAGCGCAAGAGTCAATCTAATGGAAAATGGTCATATTATTTTAGGCTTCCAGCTGATGAAAGAATGGAAGGGATATGAAGTAGAGATGCATGTGAGAAATGCGTTTGGTGACAAACTAAAAGATCACAATATAGATATTGAAATCGTAATGTCGGTCCACAATACATTGCATCCACCCTGTCTTGCACCGAACCAAACATTAAATGGCTTCATGGTGCACAAAGTGTTCAAAGATAAACCAATTTATGTCAGGCCATCAGTACAGATATTGGAACCATTAAGCAACAGAATCAACAAACCTGAACATTTGAATGATCGAGAGGACCTGTGTATTGTGCAGGTATGCTTGTCTTGTCTGCCTTTTCATTTTTTCAAATACATTCTGCTAGAAATAAATTTACGAATAGTCATTAAACATCATTTTTTATTGTTTGTCCTTTTTTTAACATTTTTTCGTTGTAAAGGAAGAATCATGATAATTTTTTATTTTCATATGTAATAGGATGACTCAAGTGATATGAGTTTCTAAGATCTGCGTTTACTAATGAACCTCCTTGCATGTCTTCATATCAACATCCTGGAGTTGAGGAACACAGTGAAATGGAAGTGACTAATAATCCACCTGCTGTCTAAGAAACCTCTTTGCCATCTGTTGGTACTATTTCAGACTGTTCTCACAACAATGGAAATGTTCAGAATGAAGTTCAACCAGAAGATCCAAATTCTGTTGATATGTCCAATATTTCTGGTATGTTTGTTAAAACATTTTGCATCAAAATGAAATCAAAGGTTTAAGCTGGATTGTTTGCCTTTTGTTATTTGTGATATTTACATCATAAAGTTCTACTACTGAAGATTTTGCTGTCACACATGTTTAATGAGTTATTGTTGAATTCATTTTGTTATTTGTAAATCAGTCTTTTTTTAACGGTATTCTTTTTCTTTTAAAGCTGTTGAAACTTCATCAGAAGTGCTTTTGGAAAATGAAAATCTGTCAACTCTTTTGGAAAGTGAAAATCTTCCAACAGGTAACATTGTGATACACCGATCAAGTCTTAAGCATAACATGATTGATGCATTTTCTGATGAAGAAATTTTAAATTCAATAGTTATAGTTAAAGTTATTGATGACAGAGGGCAAATGGAGAAAGGTGAAGGGCGTGGAGTATTTAGAGATATACTTACAGGGTTTTGGCAGGAATTCTTTGTATCTGCTACAGTAGGTGCCAATGAAAAAATTCCAGCTATCCGGCATGATTATCAGAGTGAGCAATGGAAAGCTATTGCTAGAGTGTTTGTGTATGGTTTTTCTCAAGAAAGGTATCTCCCTATCCAGCTCTCACCTGCTTTTATAACTGTGTGCTTGTTTGGTGAATCTTGCATTACTAAAGCATTTCTTTTGGAATCTTTTAAGGCATTTTTGTCAGTCAGTGAGCAAGAAATAGTTAATGAAGTAGTTAGTGGGAATATGAGCCCCCTTGATGATGATGTTATGGAATTTTTAAGTAGCTATCAATGTTTTACCACTCCCAGTGAAAACAATATTGAAAATATTATTTGGCAGTTAGCTCATAAAGAAATCATCCAAAAGCCCCATTATATTGCAAACTGCTGGACCCCAATCTTATCCTTGCTAAAAAGATACATGCCATTTCAGTCACTTGAAAATTTGGTCTCGCTATATAATGAGAAAAAACCTAATGTGAAGAAAGTTGTGAAGCTTCTTGATGCCCATCCTTATACAGATGCAGAAAGGGCATGCTTAGATCACCTGAAAAGATTTATAAGGTCCATTGAAGGAAATATTGGTACTTTTTTGCAGTTTACAACTGGAAGTAATGTACTGGTTTGCGACAAAATAAGCATTTCTTTCAATAAATTGGAAGGCTTAGGCAGGATCCTGTTGCACATACATGCACTCCTACTCTTGAAATTCCCAGCACATATCAAAGCTATAATGAACTTTCAGAGGACTTCTCAAACTTGCTGAGTAATAAAAATGCTTGGGCTTTTGACATTGTTTAAAATATTAAGCATTACATTAAATGTTATTGCTCCATAAACTTAAAACTTGTTCTATTTTGTTATGTTAAAATTTATTTTATAAAGACCAGAATTTTATTCAGGACTGTTACAGAGGAAGACATTTTAAAATATTGTTGTATCTTATATATAAATGAACTTTATCAAACAGGCTGGTTTTTTCTTGTTCTTTTTCTTATGTTGTGTTTTCTAAGTTTCTGATCAACTTTTTTCTATCACCATCACAAAATGTCGGTAAGTGTTTGTAATGCTGCACAATAGAAATTGATACCATAATTACCATCATTTGCCACTGGATTTGGAACAGTATTGTGGACAATGGACCACTGTTCAGGTGACAAAATAATTCTGCCCTCTGGGACTACAATGTTGTTATCTGTTTCAATGTCAGGAATATCTCCATCGAAGTTCACTCCATAAAATGTAAAGTCTGTAACAAGCTCATCCACTTGGTTGGGAATATTGCCAGAGTACCACAGTGCCATTGGTGACCTATGACCCATTGTTCTAAGTCCATGGTAGTTCCACTGACTTTCAAATTCTCGGAGTGATGCATTTATTCTAGGCAAGAACACTATCTCAAGAGCCAACAAATGTGCTTCATTATCTACATCCAGTAAACCACTATTTTCCATTGTAATAAACAAGTCCTTGTATAAAGCTCCCAGTACTCTATTCACTTCTCACCACAACCGTTCAATACGTTGGTTGTGAACACTGGTACCTGCAATAAAGCTTCCTCTTCCTGTGCCTCGAGTTGTAATCATGAACTTTGCAATCTCAACGTTTTCCACTCCGCGGTCTGCTCGAACACGTGAAGGAACGCCAAATTTTTCATTACCTTCGATAAAGAACTGTACAGCAGTAGTTGCTAAGTTGTTAGTAGAACATTTTAAATAAATGATAGCTCGACTGTAGCCATCTATACAACCGTGAACTACAAACCTCCACTGTATAAGTTTGTGGTTGGTATCAACGTGCCATAACTCATTTGAAGCAGCCACATTGTACATTCTTCTTTGGATAGTAACACGCTTTCTTACAGCCCTTCCCACAGGATCAAGTAAACGAAGGCATTCTCTCACTCTGTTCCTTTGTACAAAAATTAGACGAGCAACTAAGTCTCCTCGAATATAAGTTTCGCCAGCATATGGAGTTTGCTGTAGTATACTTTTTATAACTGATTTCAATTCGGCGTCAGTGATTTCAGAAAATGTTTGCGATATGTTTAGCTCTTGGCGGTAGTTGTACAGTGTCCTTTCGTTTATGCCCAGCGTTTCTGCGATTGATTTCCAATTCGTACCCGTTTCTCGTAATGTTTCTATTTGCTCTTTAGAAACAACATATTTAGGCCTTCCCCCAGTGAACTGTCGACTCAAAGTTAACCTATTATATGGAAGTTGTTCACGACATTGCGACTGCACTTCACTAACAAGGATGTGTAACTCTCTGACTAAATTCTCAAATAAACTCTTTAACTCTTCGTGGCCAAATTTGAATTCAATAACTGATTGAAGAGCAAAAACAACATGAAAATGTCCCTCTAACTTTCTACATACATATTCTTTCGCGTTGGCATCTTCACTATCACGCGACGCAATAACTAAACAAGACTGTAGGGAAGTAAAAAACGCTATAATATCTTGAACATCCGCCATTACGCCATTCGTACTATATCAGAGCGCTGCTTAAAGTTGCAAAGAACAGAGCTATGAACCATGGTATAACTATAAATTATGTTGTTACGACTGGCATTTTATTTCTCGACCGAGATTTTTTTCTCGACCGGGATTTTTTCTCGACCGGGAATTTTTTCTCACAATATATTTGCTTTACTGAACTGCCATCTGCAAATTCTCAATGATAAACACGTGTTTCTCAACATCGGTTTGCTTTCTCAACGGAGATTTTTTTCTCGACCACCTTTTTTCCGAAATGGCTTGCCATAAAACACCTCTATCCTATTTTTTGTCATAGGATCTAATAACATACTTGTGCTTTGAAAAAGCATACAGAACTTTAATTTTTCTCTATTAGCGTTTCGTCTTCATAAAACCCAGGTAAAAAAGCCTTTCAATGACGTTTTCATTATATTAATAATGTTAAGGTTAGACCTGTCGCTGAATACACAGCAGAAAAGGCAAAAAAATGCAAAGTTCCATTTCCAAGATTTGTTGCAATTGAATATAAAACACAACTGGAACATGGGACGAAATACTTTGTTAAGGTAAAATGTCGGTCTTAAGTTTCTTTGTCACCTCAATTTCATTGAAAAATATTTAGATATGTCTTAGTTTTCATGTAGCTGGAAGAAAGACCTATGTGGCATAACTTAGCTACTAAAATTTTAAATTATATACAGGTTGATGCTGGAGTGTGTTTTGTTCATCTCTGCATTCATCAAGACTACGAATGTGGCGGAGGAAGGATAAAACTCGAAAAAATGTTAGTGAATTTAGACGAAGATCATCCATTGGAGTATTTCGATTAAAACTTTGCCACAATAGCTATAACAGCACTTAGCTGAAAATATCATCATTATCTTACACCTATTTGCTTTTAATACTTGGACCACCTAACGTCTTTTGTGCATTTTAAGCAGTTTGTCAAAGAAACGATCGATTCAGTGACATATATATGTTTCTCAGTTTTATACTTTTATTTCTAATCATAGTTGCGTGCTCTATATAAATAATATTATAGATAAATGTAAATTGTTTTGTGTCATTTTTACTTCTTTATGACTTGTTTTTCGTTATAAAAGATTTTTTCCTGCCCGAGTTTTGGATGTTTTTGATCTTTCTGTATTTCATTATGTATGCCAATATATTGAATGGTTAACGTTCATGGCCACTTGCCTTCAAATTACAGCTGGAAGATTTCTTACATTTAGTTACAGCAAAAGGAAAGCGACTAATTTATAAAATAAATTACAATAGCATATTTGCAGATAGTTTTTAGCAGTTTTTCGTCTTCGTTTTTTCAACATATGCCAGTTAGACTGCGGTGTTGTTTCCATCTAATCATTTCCAACTGCGACATAAAATAGTCAAAAGATGCCGATGAATCTAATATTTATTGGTTTAACTGCATGTCTTTCATGTTGGTTTGACTGTATTTCTATTTTATCAGTTATATGTGGTTCGTTGTCATTCTGTGTCATTTTCCTCAGAAACTGTCAAACTGACGACACGAGATTATTGTGTTTACGACAAAGATACTTCTAATCGTTAATAAACACAAGTATCATAACAAAAGGATTTAGTTAAACGTTGGAATCTTTACCGTGAATTCACATTTCAACTGAAAGGTATGTCAATACTAAATAGAGATGATTGAGGACTTATTTAATGAAAAGGAAATGAAGATTTAAATACAATATTTCAAAAGAAAGTTTATAATCATACAAGGTTATAGTAGTTCAAGAAAACTATACCAGATGACTTAGAGTTTTCTTTGTAAAAAGAAGATCTGATAAACAGAAGAATCAAACTTGTACTGTATACACTTTGAAAGCGGACAAAAACCAAACCCTGCGAGCTTTCTATCGCCATAAATCATGTAGATCAGAAAATAAATTTAACGCGTTGCTATGGACTCAAGCACAATTCAAACATCATGTGTTAGTAAATATATAGGACCTGTTTCATTCTTGACAAAATTCCAAAACTGTGCACGAAAGAAATTTTTAAGTAGCTAACTGCCAAAGAATACATCTATGTGTGAGTGCTGTACGGGAGAACTTCTACCAAATGAAATGTTTTATTTAATTTCCAATTTGAGGTCTTGAAACTAGCGAAAGGTTTAATGATAAATTGTATTATGTTTTTGATGATATTTTACGACGGAATCAAAAGGAATGCTCATTTATACTATATATACTGACGATAAATTTTACTTTTAAAGAGAAATAAAAAAGGTTTTTAACGTTTTTACCAGCATACAGTTGAAAGATAAGTTACTGTCTGTCCTACTGCAGAAATAATATGCTAATAATGAAAGTATTAAATGTATTCTAGAAATGATATAATAAATCGATAATATGGCTTTTAGACAATTTGGTGTATTACTTATCAATCATTAATTTTCCTCAAGTAGATGCCGTCTGTTCACAGTTAGAACAGTGTGACTTTTTCATTTCATTTTAAGAAGACAGGCAACCTGAATATGATTATGAAACTCAAAGGACTTACATGATTTGCAAGTTGGGATTCATTCTGATTAAATGTAAAGCAGAAGGCATAAAATAGTGTGAAGAATGGTGTTACTATCAAGTCGTCATACAACAAGAATAAACCAAATTACAAATTTATTAATTTCAAATTATTATCTTCAAATTACGGTTTTAAATTACTGTCTTCAAGTTACGTTAAGGACCGTTTGGTCCCACGTACAACTTCAACAACAACAATCTGTCTTTTTACTCTTATTAAATAACAACACCCTTTTTCAAACGTCACTTCCTGCTCCCCATTCCGTCCATAGCGGTAATTCATAGGGTAGCCATACCGGCCCCTAAATGGAAATTTCAACGTAGCAATCCATTTACAACTATATTAAGCTACCGTTAAATCTGGATAACACAACAAGAACATAACTCTCAAATTCTAAATTATTTAGATATGTAAACTTCAATTGTCCATCTCAAGTAGACATAATTTAGTCACGGGACGGATCAAGGTTACCGTGTTCATCTTGTAATCTCCCTTTCGTTGATGTTTGGCTCTGGTCGATACTGTTGAACTAGTTTTTACCTTCACTGTCCGCACATAACCGTCATTACTTGCTATTGCTTCTACAACGAGACCCAACGGCCATTGTCCCCTTGGGTAGTTTACGTCAGCTACAAGTACTAGATCTCCTTTTTTAAGATTCCGTCTCGGTGTGTACCATTTCTTTCTCTCCATTAATGTTGGTAAGTATTCTTTGAGCCATCTACGCAAAAAACATTTGCTAAGTATTGAGCCTGCTTCCAATTCTTCTTACAGCACAAATCATTCTTGTCAAATAATCCTGGGGGTAAACTAGTACTTGCTCGTAAATGCAATAAGTGGTTTGGAGTTAGAGGATCGTCATCTTCAGGACTGTCACTGTTGCGCGTGAGAGGTCTTGAATTCAGGATTAGAACCACCTCTGCAATCACGGTTTGCTGGACTTTGTCTGAAACTACTTGTTCCTTGAGAATTGCTTTGAGGATTTGTCTAACAGATCGTATCATTCTCTCCCATACGCCTCCCATATGGCTCGCTGAAGGCGGGTTAAAGTGCCGCTTAATTCTTCTTTGCGTACAAAATTTGTCCACTTTACCTTGATCCCATTCTTCAATTCCTTTATTCAATTCCTTGTTAGCACTCACAAAATTTGTTCCTCTATCACTCCTGATTTGCTCGGGACATCCTCGCATGCTAATAAATCTCCTGAGAGCGTTGATCATCGAGTCTGTATCCAAGGAATGAGCTATTTCTATATGGATTGCTCGGGTCGTGAAACATGTGAAAAGGCAACCATATCTTTTCACCAACGATCTACCTCTTTTCACCAGCATGGGTCCAAAATAATCGATTCCTACTATAGTAAAAGAAGGTTTTTGAGGTGTCACTCGGCTTTCTGGTAGATCTGACATTAGCTGCTCACCCAAACGAGCCTTTCTTCTTTGACAAGCTAGACAACTTCGTACTACGCGTCGAACTGCTGTTCTTCCTTTAATTATCCAGAATTCCTTTCTTAGTGATGATAAGACAGTTTCTTGACCCATGATGTTGACGAATTATCATATCTGTGACGGGATGCTTGAAGGGTAGAATAATAGAATGTTTTTATTTCCCGTTGATTAGCGCATCACCAAGCCTGCCTCCAACCTTTAGTAAGCCGTTCACCATCATTGGATTTAATTGTCGAATGGAGATTCCTGATTTTCTGAGTAGTGCCTTGTCAAGCTCCTTACTATTTCCTGGAACTGCAAACACTTTCAGTTCTTTAGAGAATGTGGTGTTCTGTTCATGTGCGAAGATCTCCCTTTCGGCGACATCCAATTCTTCTATTGTTAGTCATCCAACTTTAAATTCCGACTCCCAATGAGGACCAGAAATAACTTTCCTTTGTCTCGCCTTGCTAAACAGATAATCCTTAAAACGTAACAACCAAGGAACAGAACACCTCAACTTCCACCAAATGGAATGGCGTGAAATCAACATATCCAACAAGTGAGGCTGTTTTGCAGTCACGTAAATTTGGGCTTCCTTCCTTACCTCTTGGTATTCATCCTTTAGTTGAGGAATTGTTACCCCCTTCAGCCAATGGCTTTCATCCTCCCAAAGGAATGCAGGACCTTTTAACCATTGGCCTTTATTTCTCAACACGTCCAATTTAACGCCCTTGGAGCCTTCATCGGCGGGATTGTCGTCCCGGTTCACGTAATTCCACTCGGATGGGTGCGATCCACTACGAATCACTGACAAACGGTTGGACTCGAATGGGTGAAGTCTTTTGCTTTCGTTGTCAATACATTTCAGGACTGACATCGAATCTGTCCAGTAACAAACTCTTTGCACTACCATATCCAATTCTTCTCGAACAAAGTTCGAAAGTCTTACGGAAATGACGGCAACCGTTAATTCCAGTCTTGGTATAGAAATCTCCCTTAATGGAGCGAGTCTAGCCTTTCCAATTACAAATGAGCAGTGCATTTCGTTGTTTGCATTCTTTAGACGCAAATATGCCACCGCCGAATAGCCAAGTGGAGAGGCGTCGGAGAAAATATGTAGACTCACATTTTTAACTTCTTTTAATCCTGCAGGTTTAAAAGAGCGGCGAACCCGAATTTCTTGTAGCTTTGGGAGATCAGCTACCCAACGTTTCCATTGCGAAAGTTTGTTCGCCTGATTGTGATCATCCCATCCAAGTCCCTTTCTACAAAGCATTTGCAGTATTAACTACGCCTTCATAACAAACGGAGCAATAAAGTCTAAGGGATTGAAAAGCGAATATACTGCTGACACTATCTTCCGTCGATTGACGGGACCTTTGTTTTCTAACTGCAACCTTTTTCCGCAACAACCCACAAAAACATGTCCTATTCTGTGTTCCATTTTATTCCAAGAGTACTTTCTGTGAGAAGCTTATCCAATTTTAAATTCTTTACGGATTTTGTTCTCTCAGTTTTGGGAATCGTTGCTAGCGAGCTCCTACATGGCAGAGCAACTTGAAAATTATTATCCACTACTGTCAGCGTCTCTTCCATTATTTGAAGCGCTTTCTCGTCTTCAAGCAACGGACACACTTTAGTTTCAACTAGGGAGCCCTAAAAGTTGGTCTTCCACAGTCTTTCCAGTTGATACTTGAGGAATTCATTTTCTGCTTCATCAACTTCATTGTTAGTAGCATAGTCAGGGGCATCGAATTCCACTCGTGCAAGATTAGCCGACGCACACCGTTCATTTTGGTTCATTTGGACCAATCACTGTCCATCCTAAACTGTATTTAATTGCCACTGGATCCTTCTCCTCTCCAATTTATATTCCAAAGGTAGAAACAACTTAAAATTTTCGCACAGTCCGATAACCAGCATAACTTCACAAGTTTCTAACTCTTGCAACGGAAGATTGCGTAAGTGCGTCCATTTTCTTATATGACCTCTTTTTGCTACACAAGACTCTGAAATTGGTATTTGGTTCACCGTTCTGACATTTGGTAATTCAACCACTGTGCTGTCATCCATAGAACGTACTACGATATCCACTAATTCACTCTTTAGTTCAGTCGATCCAGTCATCCAAGTCAA